AGCAAGGTGCTGTGCGGTATGTGGATTAGGTCAAGATACTCCACCTCTCTGGTCTGGTTGATAACATCGTTCCAACACTTTCCTTTTGATTTGTCTTTCAGAAGGCAATACTGATGAACCCCGTCGATGTTTGACCCTCACTCAGCTTGTTCGCTCCCAGGGGATCTTATAAGACCAAAAAACTCGTTTTGCATTTACTCGCACGCTTGAACCGCTCTCGGCAACGAAGCTCTCTTGGAGCTGTGTCATACTGGAGATATAAACCGAAGCTTAGAAGATCTATCCTGTTCTTCGGTGACTGACCCCGAGAGGCTATATGGCGTACAGCGAGAGACTTTGTGATAGGTTATATTCATGTTCAAGCTTAAACATACCAAATTGGGAATTGGGGTTGATTATTGTTTCGAGTAAAAGCAGTTAGATGGTCATAGGACTAGGACCTATGTTCTTACATACGAGAGCTTCGGTCATTTATCATTAGTTATCCTTGGGAATCCATACATCTCTTGCATTTTTACAGCCTACGTGGCTAGTCAATAGCCTGCCCGAAAACAAGGTAGGATCGGAGAAACGATGTCACTAAGCACACATTTGGAAGCCATTCCAGGTAAAAGATCGGTCATAGCATTCAACAGCACTATTTACATACAGCTAACGTGCCGCGATGGGAGATTAAAAATAAAGAAATAAGATATTGAACACACACACGCACGCACGCACGCACAAACGTGGAATACAGAATGGCTCTACAAATCATCCGCGGTTCGAACCTTCAACTCGACGTTTTTGGCTTGAATGGCTTTCTTTAGGTTATTGACCATCTGATTCCGACGGTCTCGTTTGGCCTTCCATTGGTCGAGTTCCTCTTTGCTCACGAGGTCGTTGGCGCCGTTGACATTTCGGAGACGACTGGCACGGGCCGAGCCGTTGATGCTGGAACGGAAGTTGATAGCTCGTCCGGCAGATTCAGGGGTGTGATAGGAGCTGACAGGCCCATCGCGAGATACAATAGAGCCGGGGGTGGCAGGGAGAATGGCTTTGCCCTTCCTTGGGGTGGTAAAAGGCGAACCTTCCCGGCTGGACGGCGACGCGGCAGTATCAAAGCCCATTCTCTTTAGCTGAGCTTCAAGAACATCGATGTCACTGCGCTTGCTTTCGGCCATGTTCATCATGGTTGAGATGGTCGAAGTTACCGCCTCCACGGTGGGTCGTTTAGATGGGCGCGAGGCACCATCGCGAGGAGCATCGGCGATTCTGGCTCGCAACAGAGACACTGCAGACTCCAAGTCGGCAAGCTTGGCCTGAATATCAGTGGAAGTCTTCCGAAGATCTTGCTGGAGAGCCAGTTGTTCGGCGGAAAGTGGAGCAGAGACGATTGCTGCGGCATCGGTATGAGCGTCCAGGGTCTTCTGGATGCTTGCACATTGCCCACGTAGAGTAATAATATCCTTGCTGAGCAATGCATGACAAGCCTCCAGCTTCTGGTCTACACCTTGAAGTCGTTGCTTTTCGAGCTGTGCCGAGAGCTGATGCACAGCATCGTCAAACCTTTCGATTTCCGAGAGACGTAGTTTCTCGTCGAGAGATTCAGAAGGATATTCTCCCTGCAGCTTTTCGATCCAGTCTGAATTCGCTGAGGACTTTTGATACAAAAGGTAGCAAGACAAGGACCGTGCGTTGATTCCCAGAGTATCCACCATGGAATTGATATCGTGATAGAGTCTCTCGATCTGGCCAGGAATCCCGGGTCTGCTGGGCTGGCCTGTGTAGTCCTGGTGGGGAAGGAAAGGGTCCAGAGTAGGAACGGGTTCTAAAGCCGAAGCCAGATCGGCACGGAGTTTCTCCTCCTCGTCGTCTTCTGATAGTGCCTCAGCTTCATCTTGCTCTTGTTGCATCTTCTTTTCACGAGCCTTTCGCTCCTTCTCTTCCTTCTCCTGCAGCTTCAGCTTCTCCTCCGCAGCATGTCGAGCGAGCTCAGCCTTGCGAGCTGCTAACGCACTGCCAGGAGCTTGCTCAGAGGATTTCCTGGCCCCGTTCCGTACCGGGCTAGGCGATCTTGGAGAGTCATGATGCGAACGAGGTGCAGGTAGTAATGGTTGAGTAGTGGCTCCAAATAAGGAGCGCGGGGGTTGCTGCTGTTGAGACTGGGGTTTCTGGCTGGGTTTGGAGAGGCGCGAAAACAATCCTTCAGTGGAGCTCGTTGTCGAGAACTGAGACTCAAAGGAGCTTTCTGGGGTTTTCTTGAGGTCTTGCTTGAATTCTTGGGTAGTGGGCGTCTCTTCCTCGCCCTCATCCTCGTCATCACCCTCATGCTCATCCTCGTCGTTATCCTCGTGCGTTATCTCCTCTCCGCTATCATCAAAGTCGGAGTCTCCCTCCTCCGATTCTCCCGCATCCGAACCGCTAGGAACTGGGCCGGGTTCGTCCTTTGTTGGAGTCGCACAAGATTTCGAGGTCGCTGGGTCAGGGGGCAAAGGTGCCTCTTCCGCTTTCTCGGATTCTTTAAGCTTCTGCGTGAAATCAGGGGGCAGAGGGGGTTCTCCTCCAAAGAGAGATGGCTTGCTCTTGGGAGGAATGGTAAAGTCAGGGGGCAGAGGTGCATCTTCAACTGAGCTTTTGGAGACATTGGACGAAGCTGAAGTGTCTCCAGGGCCATATACGGCCTTGCTGGTTGGGTCCGGAGGTAGCGGAGGCTCGGCCATTGAGGAAGGAGGTGAACTCTTTGCGTCCGAATCCTCTTTGGATTTTGAAGGCGTCACCGTCTGCTCTGATTGCGGCGAAAGAGGAGTGGGTTTCTTCTCAGTGTTTCCGAACAGAGAGAATGGTGATTTGTTCGTCTGAGGAGCTCCAAATGGTTGAGATGGTTGAGATGGCTGAGGCTGGGATCCAAGCGAAGGCCCACCAAATAACGACGGTGTCGCTTGCTTGGGTTCAGGCTTCTTCTCTTCTGCGGGAGCTGCTGGGGCATCCTCCGCATCGTCCATAGACTCCGCGGGTGTGCTAGGTTTATTAGGTGAAGAGACCATATCATCCATGGAGGCCCCCAACGAGAACAATCCTCCCGATGGCTTGTCCGGCTTTGGACCATCGTTGGCAGCACTTCCATCGCCCTTCATAGTAGACTCAAGCACGAAACCACTAGAGCCAAGGCCGAAGGTGCCTTTAGACTCCTCGGTTTTCTGTGAGCTGAAGCTCGTACTAGTTGTGCTTGTTTGACCAAATGGCGACGGTGCTGAGGGTTTTCCGAACGGGTTTGCGGTCGCGGGTTTGCCAAAAAGCGGTTCGCCCGACGCCTTAGCAAACGGTGATTCGCCCGACGTCTTAGCAAATGGCGACTCGCCTGACGCTTTGGCAAAAGGCGACTCGCCCGAAATCTTGCCAAAGGGCGATTCTGCAGCAGGTTTAGAAGCCGCAACTGCACCGAAACCACTCGACCCCGAGTTAGCGAACGAGCTAAAGCCGCCTCCGGCAGGGATACCCGACGAGGCGAAGGGGAGAGAGCTGCCTCCGTTTCCCGCGGTAGACGATTGTCCGAAAGGTGCCGGCGTACTCGACGAGCCGAAGCTCGATTGGCCGAACTGAGCTGGGCCGCGTTGTCCCAACGCAATAGGGGCGCCAAAAGAAGAACCCATTTGTGAAGGGGCGCCGAATGATGAAGCACCTGGGAGCGAGGGTGCGCCGAATGAAGGTTGAGAGCGTCCACCCATTGCTGAAGGGCTGCCAAAGGATGGTGTTGCAGAAGACTTTCCAAACGCGGGGCCAGATGGACTGCCGAATCCTGACTGTCCAAATGCTGGTTGCCCAAATCCTGACTGTCCGAATGCAGGCCGTTTTGGAGCCTCGGCTTGCATGGGCTGGGACTTGGGCTGAGGCTGAGACTGAGGCTGGATTTGGGTCTGGTTTCCGGTTCCTTGGCCATGATAAGGCAGCTGCTTACGAACAGCCTCAGAATAGATGAACCACCAAGAAGCGAGAATACCTTCGTTATTGAGGAGGAAGAGGGCTGGTAGGGGGGTCGAGCTCTCCGTGATGTCTTCTCCTGGAATTGGAGCGATAACATTTTCCGTGCTGGAAAGATCGATGCCCAGGCCGATAACTGACGTCTCAACACTCGAGTCTGTTAATGGTAGCGATGCCCGTTTAGTATCATCGCTGACTTCTGTGGTGGTAAACACATCCGTAGTCTTCTTAGCATCTTCATCATTGGCAAGCGGTTTAGAAGACCTCGTGATCAACCCAACATCAGTTGATGCAGTAGAAGAAAGAATCAAAACGTCCCTGAGATCGGGAGCGTAGTTCCGAAGTCGCGCAACAAACTGATAGGCCGGGACCCGCTTGTACCCAAATGGCAGACACAAATCGGGGAGCTTCTGGATCAAGAAGGGTGCTTGTTTTCTTCTTGTGATAAGATAGTATGAAGAGGGTGGGGTTTGGCCTATCTCATCCTCTACGGTGTTCGGCGTGTAAACCATTAAAAAGATATCGTCCTCCAGCCATGAAATAGAAGACACTATAGATGAACCAGAGTCAGTGAGACGAAACCCTTCTCAACAATCGAATCAGGTCACTTACCATGACACTCTCCCTCGAGATCTTGGGGACGCGGAATAGTAGCCGTTTGTTCACCAGTTGGTTTGATCAGATGCGCCGTTCCGTCCGCAAGTCCAGCGACGAGTTGTTTCCCCTTGTTACTCCAGCAAACCGAGCTCACTCCGGATTTCATGATTTGGCCATTCGCTCCCGAGAGGAGTTGGCCCGTTTTGAGGTTCGCGATGAGAAGCTCACCACCGCCGGTAACCAGGGCCACAAGCGACGACTTGTCGACATCTAGAGTCGCAGGGTTTGGCGCGACAGCGCGGAAGGGAGCGCCGCTGACCGGTAGGGACAGAGCTGGTTGCCCATTTCCCGACAACAGACTGTCCGTCTCATAAACAAGCAGCTGCGACCCAGCCTCCGTAGTCACAACTAACGCGCTGTCGCCCGATGCGAAAGCTACGTGGGTTGGTCGTGCAGGTAGGGGGATCGTTGCTTGAGGTTGGAAGGGTTTTGTTTTGACTTTGCTGTCGGTAGGCGCGGATATTGCTTTTCTCACTGCATCGGACGAGGCAACACTTAGACAGTCGGGTCCTGCACCAACCACTACACCTTTTGTGGATGCGACGGCGAGAAGGGTGGAAGTTGGCGCCGGAAGGGCATCTTCGGGCCAGGGGGTCGGGAGTAGTCGAATGTTGCAATCTCCGGAGAGGCCTTTGAAGCCGACTTCCTATAAATCGATAGCTGATTAGACATTGGCTTCAAACAGGATGTGGCAGGGCAAGGAGTAATGCGACGTACCTCAGTGTAGACATCCGGGAGATCAGGACCTGCTTCCACTGGAGCGGCACCCCCAGCAGGGGTTGAGCCTCCGAAAGCCATTCTGAGTTTGTCAATATCGGAGGATATGGAACGAGGACGGTCGCCTAGGGATAGCCGAGACTTTTGAGCATGAGGAGAGGGCGGGCTTTGAGGAAGAGGCGAAAATGAGCGACGTTGGAGTGCTTTGGGACTCCGGTTAAAGAACTGCGCAAAAATCTTGAACTCCTCCCCTCGCAGGAAGGGAGCAAAATGGAAGGAAAGACTGAGAGCACTTCACACCAGGAAGACTTAGTGAAGGCGATCAGGCAGAGAATATTGACAGGAACGGAAAGTAGGCAGCCCTGTCGAAGAGCGGATGGAGGCAAAGCATTTAATTTGCATGAAGCAATGGCGATCTCAACAAAAACAGCGGAAGCTCTCGTGGCCCGTGCCGGGTGTTGCCGCCTGAGGCACCCAGATCAGGCGGCGGGAGCTTCGTCACTCTCCAGCTTGCCATCACCGACTCCCTCCCCTTCTCGCTGTCTCCGCATCGCCCCTCTGTCTCTTGATTCCCTCTTGCGATCGTCTCGATAGCTTCCAACTGCTGCAGCTTGCTCTCTTCAATCTTCATCTACTTTTTTCTCTCCCCTTCCCCGCTCCCTCATCCCACCACGCCGTCATCATGACAGGCTTCGACTTCTCCAACTACAACCGCAACGCGGCTCTTCACGCCAAAGGACTGCCTCTCCCCAAGGCCACTAGCACCGGCACTACCATTGTGGGCTGTGTCTATGATAATGGCGTTGTGGTACGTTCTACCGGAGTTGATGGAAACCCTTTCGAGTGCCGTTAACATGGCCATTGTTCATTCGAAACTGACTCTTCTGGTGATAATCGCAGATCGCAGCAGATACCAGAGCTACCAGTGGACCCATCGTCGCCGACAAGGTACGTCCCAGGACAACGTCTCTTTCCCTCTAGTGACCCGCTATGAGCCCCGACTGATGGACAATCCGATGTGTGATTATTAGAACTGCGAGAAACTACACTACATCGCACCCAAGATCTGGTGCGCTGGAGCCGGCACGGCCGCCGACACCGAGTTCACGACCGCCCTGATCAGCTCGAACATCGAACTGCACTCCCTGTCGACGGGCCGCGACCCGCGAGTAATCACCTGCATGACCATGCTGAAGCAGCACCTCTTCCGATACCAGGGACACATCGGCGCCTACCTGGTCGTGGCGGGCGTTGACCCGACCGGCACCGGTCTCTACACCGTTCACGCCCACGGTTCGACGGACAAGCTCCCCTACGTGACTATGGGCTCTGGATCGTTGGCTGCCATGTCGGTGTTCGAGTCGACGTGGAAGTCCGGCCTGGACCGTGAGGGTGCGATCGCTTTGTGTGCGGAGGCCATCAAGGCCGGTATCTTCAACGATCTGGGATCGGGTAGCAATGTCGACGTGTGTGTGATTGAGAAGGACAAGCCCACGCAGCTCCTGCGTAACTACATGAAGCCCAACGAGCGTGGCCAGAAGGCGCGCGACTACCGCTTCCCCCGGGGCACGACGGCTTATTTGAACCAAAAGGTCATCACCAAGGAGGATATGAAGAAATATGTCACTGTGGAGGAAGTCTCTGGGGATCCTAACCTGATGGAAGTGGACTCATAGAGGGGATCACACGGAGTAGAAATGCTTTGACATAATCTTTAGTTTTCTCTTTTCCTTTACTCCGGTCACGCATAAATAAATATTTATGGATTACTCGCACTCTTGGCGAAGACTTTACTCTCGTAGTATTCAACAGTTGAGAACAAAAAAATAATGTCACTACGACTACGGTCTTGAAGAAACGCCAACTGATTTGGCAAGCACCAAGACGATTTTCTAACCAAAGACATGGTGGAATGAAGTGTGAAGAATGTGAAGATAATAGATACTGTACATTGGGTATTTAAAACAACATTGTACATGCTATATAAATTTTAATTATACAGAGCCGATCCATAGCCTGCACTATGCTGCTCTTAACCCACGAAAGAATTTCGAGACCCGGCTCGATCTTATCCGTAGATATATTCGTTCTCTTCGAGATCGCCCAATTCTTCATGCATGTCGCCTGCCTGCGGCGTATACACGAGGGCCTCCACAAATTCAGGATCCTCATATTTCTTAACAACCTCCATGATGTACGTATACTGCGTCGGTGAAACGCGCAGGCCTTCCCTTCGATATCGCACAACACCAGCATGGTACATTGCTCGCGCAATAACAGGCCTCACTGGGGCGCCATGCTTCAGTAGGAAAACATAGAGCCAGTGGACCAAGGAGTAGGCGCGGCAAGGACTCAAATTCCTGGAGCATGAGATGGAAGTCGCCAGTGAATGGACCATTTCCAACGCAGCATGGGGGTCAGGACAATCAGAGCTTCGAGGCTGATCGTAGTATCGCACAAGTGCTTTCTCGGATGGTTCTGGAATGGGTTGATACGATTTGGACAGCGATATTTTGAGGGGGGTGTGGCTTCGAAGGAGGCGAATTAATGTCCAGGTATTCCGCGAGTTTCCATTTCGGACAATGTGAAGCATGTGCTTGATGAATGAAGGATCTGTGACGTCCGTTTGCCGCACGGTTCTTTCGAAAGCTGAGAATATGTGCGGCTTCATGGCGTTGTATGTTTGCAGGTCTGCAAATGAATCCCCAAGAGGTATGTCTGAGGCCTCTAGCCTCTGCAGGGTCTTTCGTGCCGCTTTGGTCACCTTCTTTCCCAGTTTGAGGTCAAAGATATACATGAGTAGACCATTGAATGGCAGACCCAAGTCATGAATTCCTTTCCTCATGCTCTCCATGAAGTCATCGAGGTTGACCCCCTTTTTGGTAGCTCCGTAGATGTTCAAAAGGCTGTAAGCAACATAGTCCGTCCATCCTGTACCGGGTCTCCAGGGTGGTCCTCCGACCAGGCTGTTGCTAAGCGATCTCAACACCCAAAGACGCAGGATGATCTGATGATGAAAGGAAATTTGAGATGTGCTGGCCGGGTCTTCGATGGCTCGAACATCGGTCCAAACCTGCGGGGAGATCATTTTATGGGTATTCTCCGAGGCACACAAGCAGCCTTGCCATCTTTCGAGTAGATCATGCTTTTTCGAGGATACCAGGAATTCCGTAACCTGGATTATATTCTCCAGCTTCGTGTCTCCTGTAAACTTTCTGAAGAGTGTGTTGACAAACTTGCTGTCTGCTTCGCGACACGATGCCTCCAGCTGCTGTGTAATGAGCAAAGGAGTCCAGGAACAGATTCTTAGATTCCGCCGGTGCGTTGCACCTAGAATTTGTTTCGCCAGAAGAAGGGCGTCGGGCGTGTTGCTATCCACCAGGATTTCAAGCCACGCATCAGCGATTACCTCGTCCAAGTCGTTGTGCCCATAAACACCGCACTTCCCAATCGCATCCCACATCTCCTGGTACAGCGCGATTAAGACGCCCGTATCATTGCTTTCTTCCCCAACTTGGTTCGGTAGAATTTCGACAATTGCTGTAAGTTCATCTGACTGAATGAGCCCGAGCTCCAACGCTCTAATGACGACATCCCAAAGAATCGGCAATTCTGTTAGACCAGCCTCTCGAAAATCCAGGTCTTTGACAGCAGCCAGATAATTCCCCGCCCCTGGAATATTCAAAGATCTGTCGTTCAGAAAGACGATGAGTTCATGCTCGCTAGAATGCGACAACAAATGCTCGAATATCAGGCGGCTGGCGGCTGGGTCCCTCTGAGGGTCCACGCCCAGGTTCTGAATCACATCTTTGACCTCAGCGACTGTATAACAACCCCGCAACGCCTCTTTCAGATTTATTTCGCGGTGGACTTCGTCTGTCGGCGCACCCGAGCCTCGCTGCCAATGAGGCTGGCCGAAGGACTCGCTTGAATCGATATTCTCACTGTAAAACGGAAGAGGAGAAGCGGACGACGAAGAGGATCGATAGAAGTCAGAATCTAGAGTATGTTAGCCAGATAATCCCCCCGTTGAATCCGCACCGAAAGCCTTACTCGGAGTCTCGGATGTCGCTCTTCCCAATTGGCTGTCGCTCCATTTCATATGTTCCCGGCCATTGCGCCCAAACAAACACGCAACATCATCCAAAGCTCCCGCCCCAGCTATGCCAGCGAATGCCGTATTCCGTCGTTTGGCCAACCGCCTCCTCGCCTCCATTGGCCCCGGCACTCGGCTCTCATAGCGTCGTTGGCCGTTTGCGAATCGCCGAAAGGTAGACGCAAGAAGATCTTCGCTGATCCATATATGATCAATTAGAACATTGGACGAAGGCTGGATAGTGCGCCTGTAGGCATATCTGCCGAGAGACATGAGGCATGAGGTGCTCGCGGCAGCAATTGGGAGGTCCGGGCCTGTCAGAATTGAATAATTAGCAAGACGCGGAGTTCGACGAGACTAACTTCAGAATGACTAAGCACGCACTCAAGCTGTTTCTGCCTCAGGCACAAAGCATATTAAGGCACAAAAGGCATCATATATCTAAGATTACACTGAGATACTTCATCTCTTGATTTTCTTAGCAGAGAACAATAGTGTTTTCTTCCACGATCTGGGAAAAGGTGCAAATTTGTATAGCACATTTCTTCCACTGTCGAAAAGCAACACATTTTCTACAAAATCTCTTAAGACATTCGTCGACTTGTACTCAATCGCAACTTTCAAGCACGGATAACGGATCGAATGAGCTTTTGATATTCAGGGTATTGAACTCAATAGGACATAAATATATATGTGTGAGAAGATAGAAAAGAAAATGAGAGAAATTATCCCGTGCACGCCTCACCATGCATTTTTCTTGTCAATGGTATCTTATGCTAATGTAATCCAACAAAGCCAATAGAACGAAGCAACGGCCGCAAGAATTTGGCAAAGAGCGAAATGGTCGTGAAAAATATTCGGTCATGACAGAACAGTATGGGTTCCTCTAAGGAGCTTGTTCCCCCTCGTGAGGTTTCCTGCCGGTCACGATATGGTAATCTGTGTAGCAGTGGACGTCGCGGTTCTGGATGCTCTTTCGAACATCAACGAGGAAGACTTCGATTTCGGGTTTGGACCACCCCAAAAGACTGAGGGGCTTGTATGACCAGCCAGCGAGGGCCTCGAGCCAGTTCGTTTCGCTCCAGTCACCGATACGCCTCAGCTGCGGGTCGGTCGGCCAGGTATTTGTCGGGACTTTATGGATTGTTTGTTCAACATCGACGAAACCCACTTCTCTCATCCATCGTGCAAGGCGATGAGCTACTCGAAATTGCCGGGGAGGGTCTGAGATCTGACCCGAGCGGATTTGTAGATCACACCAGTCCTGCAGGGCGAATTCGCTGAAGCTGTCGGGGTCCTCGGGCGGCATTGTTCCGTCGTCACATCTCGGCTTGGGATCGAATTCGTGGCACTCAATATAGCCACCTGGTTTAAGATGTTTGAAGATTTTCCGCAGCATATCCTTGTATGAAGGTAGTGCTCCTACCAGGTGTGCGGTGTGGATGAAGTCGAAGTGCTCCGGCTCCCATAACCAGTCATCCTCTGTGGCATCATCCACGAGAAAGTGAACATTTTCGGGAACTTCGGTTGGTTGCACGGGGGAAAGATCCGTACCAACAATCTGAGCATTTGGAAACTCGGTCGCTATGCGTGATGATCGTCAGAATTTGCCACATGGGTAGACGCGCGAAATGCAGGAGCAAATCATTAATGGTACTCACCCATCTCAATGGGCCATATACCAGATCCGGTTCCGATGTCGAGGATTCGCTTTGGGTTTTGTACGGGAGCAAGGAAAAGTCGTCCATGGTTGATGAGCTTTATCATATGATGTTGCATGTCCAAACGGTCCAATTCCTGTTCATCATTGGGGTAGAGATATGCTATAAATGTTGATCAGAAACTTTTCTCTCGGCATTGGAGACATCAGATCTAGATGACATACTGCCCTCGTGGTATTTGTGGTAGCGCCTTCCATTTTCCATAGGATAATCGGTCACACTTGCAGTCAAAGACTGGGTGTCACTAGAATCAAGCTTTTAGTTCCAACACCACGTAGAGATGCCGAGCTCCCTGATGTGAGGTCTAAATTGGCTGAAAAGGAGCGTTTCGGATACTTACAGGTCACGGCCCGATGACTTGGACATTCTTCGTTAGCTTGGTTGCACTGATCAGGTAAGGCGAAAGTAGAGAAAAGTTGACAAGGGAAAGGGGAACGAGGGCTTTATGGCATTGCCCATGTACACGAGGTTTGTGTCGGACAGGAGGCAACTATCAAGATAGTAGCAGCCGAGGTGACAGGCCGGAGACTACAACTAGGGCAACAAAATGGGGGGGGAAAGAGCACGCTTACAGCCGACTTCCCACCCATTGTTGGTAGCTGCTTAGGGAGACACTGGAATTCCCGAAGCGAATTTGAGTGGGGGGGGATGAAAATGGTGGTTGCCCAAATGAACGGACCCTCCTGCAAATTGAAGATTTTCGAATGGGAAAATAAAGTATTTTAAGATGGAGAGACCGGACGAGCAGAATGACGGAAGAAGTAAAACTCAAATAAAAAAAATGGGCAATGAGGGGTCCAGTTCCAAAACTTCTAATGAAACGATATTTACAAATGATGGCGACGGCAACAACAGTGATGAACACCAACACCACCAATGTATGGTGCAGCTGCAATTATAAGAGTAGATCGGGAAGAAAAAGAAACGAAATAAAATGAATAAAATAAAATCGACACGACAATGGGGTTTAACGACTTCTGTCATACGGATCTGGATAGGGATATATTTAAAGTACTCGGAAGGTTCATTCCCACTCTAGCCAGACAGCCAGACAGGGGGGGGGGGAGACCGAGATTGTGGGTAGCATTAAGGATACATAGAGGAAAGAGGAGTAGGGAGTAGTCGGCTACTTTTTCCTTTTCTTTTTGTAATAGTTATTTTATTTTATTTCGTTTTATATAATTTTTTTAAATTTTTTTTAAATTTTTTTATTTCTTCTTATTTCTTTTTCTCTGAACCCGACAGGATGGATTAAGTTTGATTTTAGCAGAGTGTGGGATTATCCTAACCCGAAGGAGGTGAGGAAGGTGGAGAGAAAGGCCAGTAATAATTAATTAGGGGTCATTTGTATGAGGCCATTATTGGATCGGACGTCTAGGGAGGGTGCCCGGTTGTATTGTTATTCTGTGTTAATTGTTCAGACAAAACCGAAAGGGGGGAAATCCCGTCTGCAGAAGTACAAAGTACGCGGTGTATCCACAAATCAAAGCGCTTTAATTTCCCCCTACAGCAGTCGACTGCCGTGCCAAAGAAAAAACCGAGTGCGCGGTTCCGGCGGTGGGAATGGAAAGACATGCAATTCAAGGTTCTGACCCGGGTATAGTTAATTACATCGAATACCAGGAATCTGGATCAGATCCGGCTTGGTTTGGAATTTAGCGACAGGCAGTCCGGATCTCTGGTTACCCCCGGTAAACCTTTCTAGTTTTTCCCCTTCGTCGACAGTCCTCTGTACGGCGTATGTGTTTCCCTGAAAAGATGTTGGATGCATATATGGTACGATGGGAAAATCAATGATCATTCTCCCGACAAGATGTAAACACTCAAGCTCTACTCCGTACTAGACATAGTATTCCGTACACTTACTCCGTACGCAGGAGTTGTGTTCAAAATGTAAATATATAACTTCTGGCAACTTCTCAGGGAAGGCTCGACTCCGTACTTATGGAAATGAGGAGAGAGAAAGGCAATTTGCCACCAAGGTAAGCGAGTCCCTTTGTCCGTACGAACGCCCATACAGCTTGTCTCTCTTCTTCCCTTCCCCCTCCCTCCCCTCCTACGCAATCCCTGCTGCACTCTAGCAGCTGAGGCTAAAAAAGCACGGGCGTCCCGGAGTGCCGGGAGAGGCATGGACGGGACCAAATGTACACTAAGGAAGGCACTAAGAATGATAGCTCGCGACTTGTGCACGCCAGAGAGGAGCCTAGAAAGCGCGAGGGAGAGGAGTCCACACCAGTCAAATTTTCCAAGAAACAATTGTGGACGGCCCGTGTCTCGGGCATTCATCCTCTCCGGGGTTTTTTTTTTTTCCTTTTTATTTTTTTCTTCTCTCTGCCCCCTACCGTTGGATTTATGTGGGATTGATTTCTCAACAACACATAATATCCTGTTAATTAGCCTCGAAAGCAGCGAGCCAAACTGACGATCAGCAGCGAATACCTAATGACTACCTCGGCGACGGTACGGTACAAATATCATACAGTATCCAAGAGGTCAGAACTCAGAAATTGAATAGTAAATAAATGATCTTCAACCAAAATCCGGCATCCAATGACTGTTGGTGCCAGAGTGCTGGAATCACCCATCCATGGATCACTCCCCTATTATCCGACGGGGCTGAACTCTGCGGACGACGCGATGCATGCAGGTTGCATGATCCGAGTGCAATGACTTGATATCCATAGTCAATAGGCTATAGTATGCAGTATGCAGTAGATTCCGCATCCGAGTCTGTTTAAACGAAGCAAACACAAGTCAACACCGTCCAGTCCTCGACTAGGGCCGACCCCCTCGTATGTGACCGGCCACCTGGACAGGTTCGCCGCACCTTACGCACACACCGTCACACACACACACCCACGCAGCCCTCGTTTTCAGAGCCTTCTCCGTAAGGGCGTAAGGCCGTCAAAATTTCAGCCGATGGAGCAAAGCTGGACGGAGATGCCGCTGTATCCAGTCTGTCGGATCCCTTGACCCACCCGGCTTGAACGGAATTTTCCTCCACTTCGTCCCACCCGAACTCCAATGAGCTTTCCGGACCGTCCTTTAATATTCATGATTCCAAATTCATTTCCAGACTTCACTCACATCTACTCTGTTGGCGAAAAAGTCAACCATGTGTCTTATGGGTTATCGGAAATGGTTCCTCTGCGCTCGTCGCTTACCAGACTGCACTGTCTTAATCCATTTCATCCCGGAACACGGTGGGATCAGGCCCCAGGGCCCGTAACGCATCGTCTCTTACTAGCATCATGCATGGATCAGCGACTGTCGTGCCGCGAGTCCTCCGTCGCCAATATGGGTTAAACTCGATTTCAGTTCTTCTCTTGTTTCTTTCACATTCCCTTTTTTTTGCCCAATAACGGCCGCTACCGACGCGTAAACGGGGATCTAGTCCCAAGGCGGAAGACGGTCGCATATTATCACAATATATTTGATTTCTTAGGTCACTATATTCTGCTTCGATCGTCGCCCCGCCGGCATCTGCGTAGGTTGGAAAGCGGCAGCTTAGAGACAACTCAAGAAGTAGCTGTGCCCCGAGGGGAGGGAGATTCGAGGGGGCTGGAGCCTGGAGGTTTGTCAATCACAACCACACAGGGACGCTTGTCATCCAGATGTAGCACCCAGTGGTCCCCCTGCATGCGCCACCGACCATCAACATGTTGACCACGCGGGCTGGTTTATATTCGAGTATACAGTTACAGTAGAGATATCTGGTGTCTGCCTAAGAACCAGAGAAACTTTTCGTTCGGTTATTTCCTGAGTGCTGGTTCAATGGAATATTCTTCCACGTGAAATTGTCCTCTTCAGTACCCAACAGCTAACAGCGGTTCTCCACTGAAGAGGGGTGGTGGGCTCCTGGTCAGTTCTCATTCAAGTGTTGGGATGACGAATCGTGATAGCAACTAGGCCATCTCCGTGACCGTTTTAGCAATTCCCGTGGACAGTCTTTCTAATTCAGGAAAAATACCCACGATACCTACAGGAGCTGTGCCTACTTTCCGTTGTGCCCCCTACATCTGCACGTCTGTACGGAGTACGCAGTACCTATGTGCTACCGAGTGTTCCACATAGTTGCACAGTTATCTCTGCTCGTCTTACCAGAATGCCTAGGCCGTGTAGTGTGTACTGATCGGTATTTGTTCGGACGTTTTCTGTTTACTCAATAGACTGTTGACGTTCTCATTCTCAATCCTCCCCACATTAGTTAACTCAGGTTGAATGATTTAACATCATTTAAGAGTTAAATAAATTAAGTGATATGGGTTGAAGAAAGGCCTAGACGCCCAGAAGGAGCACTACCAAGGTACGTCTTCGATTTGGCACGTTCGGATCTTCCGCTATGACAAATACCAGGGTAAATACAAGCTCGACGCAGTAATTCCGACGTACTAACAGTGTTTTCGGTCATTGTTCGGAAGCAAAACATGTGTTGAGCACCAGCACTATTGGCTGGACGCGAAAGTGCTCTCCATCGATAAGGTCAATTTAACGAGTGGCTTTAGAAACAACGAACCTAATGCTTAGTCTCCTAGCTGACCCAGAATTCCGCGTCTCGATTCACTATGATGTAGTCGAGGATCGATGGCAGACGATCGGGGCCTCCGATAGAAGCATCTGAGCAGCGCGAAAGTCACTAAGGAATGCTTGAGAAGAGAAGCCCGCAAAAAAGTTGGACACCGCGCGACAATTCGGCGTCATGTGTCTTAGTGAGCGTTCGGTTTTCGGGGTTTGGAATTTTTTTACTAGGGAGGAGCCCGTCCTCGCCAACGCTCGCCAGTCACTACGGAGTACACCGTAGGGATTACATTTAACTACTGTCGCTAGGAGAGGGTTAGCGATGCTGGCTACTGCAGGATAAGGACATCTGGCATGTCCGAGGAAGTGACAAGTCATCCCAACGGCCCAATCCCTGTCTTCTGTCCCCTTTCCTCCCCCCAGTTGTCACCAGCAGCGGCACCATGGCGTCCATCTCGTCTTCCCTGCACTGACCACCCGAAGAGCTGGGGCTTTTTCGTCATGTTTTGAAGACCGGTCCCTTCACTTCGATTGGTTGTTTGCGTGCAGATTCGCGTCGTAGGGAAAAAAGTAATAAAAAATAAACAATCGAACCCGCCCATTTTACTGGCAAAGACGTGGGCTTACCTGCATTACCCCCAGCAAATACTAAAGTGATTGACTCCCTCTTTACTGTCTTTGGAGGATAGAGACCGTTCTTTCGCACAAACCTGTTTCACGTTGATTCCTCGGCACAAAAGACCCTGGTCGTCACCAAAATAGAACGTTGATCCGTAGTCTCCGTCTCTTAGCCATCATTAACTGACAATACACCACCTCAACGTATGTGATCCGGGAGTATTGCTGCCTCAAAGGAAGCTGTGCATTTGTAGTGGGTAGACTGGCCAAGTAGCGGTTTCGGAAGGATTCCCCAGTGTTGGTATACAGCGACATGCTGGTGTTGGGCGTACCTAGTAAGCGACAGGCGTGAAATTTTTAGCGAACAAGCCCAACCACAACCACTCTACTGTGTACACCGTACTATTCTCACGGATATCCCCAACCAAGACTCTCCTCGGGTCAATCCCAACCATGATCTCTATCCCGCCTTTCCATCTTCGGTTGCGATTACGCGACAGCTCCTCGATCCTAGCTAGTTGAACCTAGGGGGGGTGGCAATGGAGGACCAACTCGCCAAGACCTGCAAGCCTAGGATCTTCGTACGCATTCGACACTAACAGGTGTCTTTTCGGGCCCAGGGTGAATAGTGGATCTCCGCATTCTAGCGACGAGAATGCTGCCCGGAACTTGATTTCGTGTAAGTTGCGTGGTGATTGCTGCTGTCTGTCCAGCATGGTAATCTGCTGGCAGGAGTTGCTGGCCAACGGCCCCGAGCATGGAATCCATACCAACCCATTGTATGTAAGTATGTAAATTTCCTACGATGATGGAAGTGTACTGTACGGACATCAGGAGGAAGGAAAAGGTGGCGCACACCGTATTTGACTAACACCATGGGTGATCGGGCTTGATTGAATCACCCTAGATCGGCTCTTTTGCCACGATCCTGTCCTACTCCGTACATCGCTTGCCAAATCCCAACTCTCCGGACCTGGGGAGGTTAACCGTAACACAGTCACGCAAGGTGAAAAAGCCAAGTATCCCTGGTGGACCCCGACGCGAGCCACGCAGCCAGCGTACACCGTACGCCGTAGACAAACCGACGACAGTACTGCTAGTTAGTGCCAGACCGCTAGCAGATCCAGCTTCCGGGAGGGGGGAACCCACTAGACTCCCTCGGCGCATATACCGCATGCACGCTGCACAGTCTAGTGTAGCAGCTGGTGTGCCTTTTCCCATCTCTTGCGCCAACAAGATGTAATCTCACCCCTCCTCCAGGGGAGGGCACGTATCACCAGAAGTACATGCAGTAGCCAGCAAGTCAGCAGCCCATCACCGCATGTGTATATCTGCCTGAGCCCAATAAAACCCCACACAGCGTTACATTGCAGATGGGGTCTTGGTCAGTCTAGAGGACTTCTAGGTGAATTCGGAGCCTAGAGCCGCCCTATGAAGCCAACCAGTCTTACCAGACTAGAACAAACCCCTCCCCCATTCCATTCTTCCCAACGACCGATGCCTAACTGCTTACGCAGTACTTCCTTCCCGCAGCTGCAGGTCAAGGATAGACGGGGTTGTAACACGCTGCGACCACGTAGGCATGGGTTTCACTTTCAGTCTTTGACAGATATGACAGGACGGATCCCGAGAGGATGGTAACAGCAACGCAGGAGATATTTTCGGTTAGATGAAGCAAGGTAGAGAGAAGACTACGGAGTATGATCGTCTCCGACTCGGGACCGTAGTCTACTCCGGTATTTACGCAGACTGGGGCCATCGATCCTAAAACCCCTCTTTAGATGATTTTTTTTTTCTTCCCCCTACTCGTTCTTACCAGATTGATGTCTTTTTTGCCCCTCTTCTTTACTTCGCCGGCCACGCTGGCAAACCCATTTCGGACCCCTGTCACTTTTAACCAACATTATAATGTCAGATATATGTAAAAATAAATAACGATATTCTCACTGTTTGATTATCAATTATGATTAAGAACTTGACTCACAGTTTTATTGTTCGTCATCACTGATAGCGGTGAACTTGATGGCAGATACTAAAACGTTTATTGTAGGTGCCGACAAAAAGCGTATAACCGTTATCCATTGCACACAACAAATAGCTATACAACGAAAAAAGTCTATCGAGTTCATTTTCATAAGGAACTCCGTTCTCTTTCTCTCTTCATTCCCCTAATCCCCTGAGCCTAGTATACGTACAAACTGAGTTTGTTCTATTCTCTTTTTGGTCGGGAAAAATGTGCCATCCAACATGACATGGCGCCAAACTATTTGAGAACGCCTCTACTGACTGGAATGAAACCAACAAGCAATCTTTAACGAAATCGGGTGTACTACATTTTATTCATGTCAATGTACCTTAGAAACATTGACATCCCAAAGGGGGGTTTCTTTCTCTTTTATGATACATTTTTCTTTAACAATCAGCTGCATTTGTCTCGCAAAAGTCCTCAGCCATCTTGTGGGTAAACCAGACCTCCCTGCTTACGAGCCGTGTCCATCAATCTCATCATCCGTAGCGATTCGTCAAGAGGCATGGCTTCAATTTACAACCGTCCGTTGATGACGTCCAACGCAAAAGATTCCGCCTCGTAGACGAAACCGACGGTACCCGACGGCATATCAAAAGAGAACACCTCCTCGGACCCTTGTTTCTTCACCACGAAGCCCTTGGGCCAGCTAGGGCCCTTTTCCGTATAAAAGGCGATGGACCCGTCCGTTCCTTCGATCCTGCCGAACCCCGTAGGGCCTCGAACCAACAAGGTAGACATACAGATTGCTGTCTTGTCTTGTCTGTTGTCTCTATACGTGAGGATGGTCACGTTGCTCTCGTCAATACCATCTACGATTGACCTGGTCGTAAAGACTTCCGGCACTGGAAAGTCCTTGCCTAGCCGAGCCCAAGACGAGCGATGCATAGGTGAGGGTGTAAATGCCGATATCAAGCAAGGCCCCGACCCTAAGAGCAGGATCCCTCAAGCGAGAATCAGGTGCTAGGAACGATATCGGCATTGCGGAGCCATAATCCAGAAATGCCCGACAGACTTTCCCAATGGACTTATATTCGTGAAGGTGCTTCTGTAGCTCCCTGATGCATGGGAAGAACCGTGTCCAAACGGCTGCGACCGGTTAGTTCTTTCTTTTTCTTCTTTTGTCGGGCTTTGTCGACGATTTCCCGCGCATCCCGTTCATTGATGGTGAATGGCTTCTCGCACAGCACGTGCTTCTCCGCGGTAATGACGTCCAGGCAATTCGTGCGATGAAGCGAATGCGACGTTCCCACGTAGACAATATCGACCGCTTCGTCTTCATAGAGATTTTGATAGCGATCGTATACAACTGGTTTCGGCTCATTGCTGTTGGCCCAGATCTTCGACACGAAGGCCTTCCCCTTTTCCTGTGTTGAGGTGCTAATGGCGGTGATGAGATGCTTGACTGGTGCGTCTGGTCGCGATCATGCCGGTGTCTGCGGGATTTCGGTGATCAATGGGGTACAAGGTATGGCCAGATCCAGGGAGGTGGTCAGAATGGATATAGATCAAGTACCTAGGATGCCCCATCGGATTGTCGGAGTCTCCATGTTGGTTACTGTGTTTGGAAGAGATAGGTAATCGGGCGTGCGTTGATTCTTCCCCTCGCCTTTTCTGCCATATGAATATAGTAGATCGCATTTAAATTTCTAGATGCTGACGGCACTGCCGACACTCCCCGGGTTCAACACGAAGGTAGACTTGTGTCAGGCACCGTCGGGGAGTAGCGGGCGAGTGGCCGAACGCATGAAAGCGGAGATGGAGCCCACACCAAACTGACGCCATCGTTAGTATTTATTAATGCGTAACCTGGACATCGACCATGAAGGTAGGAGGAAAGCCAACTCACTGTCTTCAAGATCTCCATGACCGATATTGACCAATTGCTTTCTAAGTTGACGCTGGAGGAGAAGGTGTCTCTACTGGCCACGGTGAACAGGTGGCGGACTCCGGTATTTCAACGAGACGGGGTTTTCGTGCCACATATCAAGGTGAACTACATTCTGTCCCGAGAAAATGGGATATATAAACCATGAGCTAATATATGGACAGGCGACTGACGGACCCAATGGTGCCCGAGGCGAGAGCTACGTGAGTGGCATCAAAGCGGCCTGTTTCCCTTGTGCCACGAGCCTAGGCGCCACCTTTGATCGGCCCTTGGTCTACCGTGTGGGCGAAGAGGTTGCGAAAGAAGCAAAGAAAAAGGCAGCTAATGTTCTGCTTGCCCCAACCTTGAACGTCATTCGTTCCCCTCTTGGTACGTGTCAATTTACCAGGAGATCCACGCACAATAACTAAATTCGAGAAGGCGGCCGAAACTATGAGACCTATTCGGAGGACCCGTTGGTGTTGGGAGAATTGGCGTCTGAATTCGTCAAAGATATGGAACACTCTGGATACTCCCACCTTGTTGCACACTCCTGCTCAGTTAGGCTGTCAATCCTAGGGCGTTGCGGCTACGCCGAAGCATTTCGTCGCTAACGACGCAGAGAACCAGCGGAAGACTCTCGGCGGAAATTGACGAGCAGACCCTCCGGAAGATATATCTTCTTCCTTTTCAGTTGGTTGTTAAAGATTCTAACCCGCTATGCTTCATGACAAGGTGAGTCTCTAAATGATCCCGACTCAGGCAGCGTGACTAAATCGGCTGTAAAAGCTACAACCTCGTGAATGGCACTTATGTTGTTGATGATTGACGTCCCATAACCGATGTTCTGCGGAAGGAATGGGGATTTGACGGCCTGGTCATGTTCGATTGGTTAGGGGTATACCCAACTGCCCCGTACATCAATGCCGGCGTCGACTTGGAGATGCCAGGTCCTACGAAATGGCGAGGACCTAAATTGCTCGAGGCCCTTCACCTAGGACAGGTCACTGAAGAGACCATCAGTGACAGCGCCCGACGGGTCCTCGCGTTAGCCCAGCGTTTGGACCGGTTCAATAATTCCTAGGAAGCTAAGGAAGTCGCGATCGAAAACCCTGGTCGCGATGCGTTTATTCATGATGCGGCAGCGGAGGGAATGGTGTTGTTGAAGAACAGCAATGACATTCTGCCACTCCCTGCCCCTTCCGAGAATTTCAAGGCCGCTATGATCGGTCAATTTGCCGGCGTTGCCAGCCTGGGTGGTGGCGGCAGTGCTAGAGTTGATTCAATCCGCGCAGTCAGTCCACTCGAGGGAATGGACACGGCAGGCTACCGGACCCAGTTTTCACCTGGGGTGCCTGTGTTCAAAGTTATTCCTCATGCTCCCACCGAGATGATCCTGGGAGCCGGTAATCCTGGCGGAAATAATGATAACGGCGACGATGTCAGGGTGGAATGGTACAATGGCAACGTGATTGGAGAGAACCTCGCCCATACAGAGATGAGAGCTACACCCGAGTACATGATCAAGGAACAATGGCCATCATAACTCAGGTCTGACTATTGCACCCGCATAACATTCGACATCCAGCCCTCTGTCAGTGGGCATCATCATCGCTCGATCATCACAACAGGACGAGCCAAATGCTACATCGAGGACCAGCTCCTTTATAAAAGAAAGCAAGAGACAGACCTGAGTCTGGAGTCTTTTTACTTCTTCAAAGCAAAGCTTGAGCGCCGGTTTGATTATCCGATGGAGGCTGGCCGTCGCTACACCGTTGTCGTGGAGTCATGGGCGACCGAGCCAGAGCTTTGCACGCTAAGCCACTCTATGGTAAGATGTTCCAGGGATCCTCTTTCCGTTTCATCGAGTACATCAACTATCACAAATGCATACAGGCAGCCGTCGAGGTGGAGCGTCAAGCCAATGTCGCCGTTGTATGCGTTGGCAACACAAACGAGATTGAATCGGAAGGATTCGACCGTGACACTATGGACCTCCTTGGCTGCCAGAATGACGTGATTCAGGCCGTGGCAGCCCAGAACCCCAGGACAGTCGTTGTCAACTTCTCGGGGGCTGCTGTGTCGCTGACTCCTTTCCTTGAATCTGTCGGCGGGGTCGTCCAAGCCTGGTTCCCTGGCCAAGAGTGTGGGCATTCCCTGGCACGAGTTCTCACGGGGGCGATCAATCCGTCCGGTCGGCTGCCATTCTCATGGCCCGCTCGGATTAAGGATAATTCGTCGTACGGAAACTTCCCAGCCAACTCAGACGGAGTTCTACGGTATGAGGAAGGTCTGGCCGTGGGATATCGGTACTACGATAGACCGACGTCGGCACCACTCTTCCCTTTCGGATTCGGTCTCTCGTATACCTCTTTTGAAGTAGACGATGCTCCGAATTTAGAGCAAGTTACTCTTCAGGGACCAAATGACCTTGTCGAAGTTTTCGCCATGGTTCGAAATCTCGGACAACGAGAGGGCAGGGTGGCGGTTCAGTTCTACGTGGGCATGTCCGATCCTTCAGCTGCGCGTGGTCAGAAAAGACCATTCAAGGAGCTGAAGGGGTTTGCCAAGGTTCATATTCGCCCTAATTCCCAGGAGCTTGTGTCTGTCATCCTCGACAAATACAGTGTTAGCTACTACGATCCTGAAGATGCATGCTGGCGAGCTGATGGGGGCCGATATACTATCTATGCTGGACTCTCGGCGATGGATATTAAAGAGACTGCCATTTTGGATATCCCTGGCAGCTCTTCTTTTTGACGGGTATTTAGTGACATATAGAAATATCGTCTACTAGAGAAGAGCATATCACGATGCAGTAACCTTAATATTATCTTTTGTTCATTTCTATAAGTCTGTCTGAACATTCAAAAGAAGTGAGCGGAATGATTTAGTATGCATAGAAGTCACCCAAAAAGAGAATCGAGAACTGTGGAATAGGGAAATTAGTCACTTCAGATATAGGCTAGCTCTTCCACTCTAAATAAGCATCACATCGAAGCGTCATCACTCTTAACTCTCAAATGTTCCCTTATCTTAATATACGTAGGACTATGGTATATACACAGATCCTTTCGCCGTGGTCGGTGAGCCATATGAGCAACACAGCGGTCGAGTTTGAGCGTCAGCTGCAGGTCTGGTAAGAAACCAGACCTTCGAAACACTTCAAAGGATGTTTTCTTGATCGTGTGTAAAACTGACGTATTCATTTCAGGAAGGACTCTCTACCAGAGGCTACGATTCAGCGACCTCGACAATCCAGCATGCACCATGGATGAATTACGTCTCACCATTCAAAACCGATACTTGGCAATCAAGTTGATGCTATATCGACCTTTTCTAGGCTACTCAGTCTCGCACCCATCCTGTGATCCGGCCATTCGACAGACTTTGATCCCACATACTCATCAAGCGTTGGAAATATGTCGCGTACATAATGCGGATGGGATCGGTGTACTTCACCGTCACCAGGGCATCTGGTACTTTTGCAGATCTATAGCCTTAAGGGCTTCGCTTATTTTAGCGGCTACACCTTCTGGATTAGTTGAAACGTTTAATTTAGACGACTTACCAGACTGGAGAACTGGTTTGGACCAAGCTTTGCATAATGCCGTTAATGTGTTAGGGTACTGGGAGCGGGAAAATGTTGATTTGGGGAATATTAGGAGAGCAATCCAGAGCTTGATGGTGTGAGATCAATTGGCTTTCAATTACCTGTAAATATCCTGAGTCCAGTCATCTTTTTTCCAACTTATTCTCTTCTGTCGGCTTTCGGTTACATTCATTCTTGGTTCGAGTGGACGATTATCCGTGCAGTAATCGCCTTCGCCTTTTCTCTTTTTGAACGGTTGCCAACCAATGGATTGTGAACTAATAAAGGATAGTCTTCACTGAGGAGAGAATGTTCCTTCTCTCGATAATAATGCAAACCACACCAACGAACATGATTGCCCCCATCTCCCCGAGGATAAAGATGCCTGCGTCGCTAATCTCTAATCGTCCTTCTGGCTATAATCCTGGTGAATGTATGTCTCACGTATCCGGAGACGCGAGGGTATTTATCCGAGCAGGTAGCGGTTATCTTTGATGGATCTAGCCAGGGGCTGCAAGAGACGTCGTGTCACGGATTGAAGGACATGGCTGGGTTCGAGACGGAGCACGTCGAGAACGCCGTATCTGATACAACCGGGGACAGGAAATAACGGATCTTGTAAGTAAGGGAAGTGGACATCAGTCGGTTTTGCTCTGGGATCTGCCCCTACGGCTTGGAACTCCTAGAAAGACGCCTCGTACATAAGTAGTAAACTAATAGGACTAGTTGAATACTAAGCATACAGAGTCTGAGTTGGATTCCGATACTCCAGAACATGTAGATCGCATGGTAAGAAGCTCTAGATCAGAAGATGTCCGAAACGGCAGATATGTTATCATCGTTGTTCTATGAGACCCAGGGAACCGAGGCTATACCAAATGACCCTTCGGGCACTTTGAGCCCCGTACAGGTGCAGACAAGAGTGGACAACGACCCCTTTTTATCCAAACCCTAACATGATCGTCTCTACTGTAGCCGTCCCTGGCGAAGGGCGTATCCTTCTAACCCGCTCAGAGTAACTAAACCGTGGAAATTTCCACAAAGAGCGACGGATTCGTCAACCGGGAGGACTTTGGCCCGTACGCCCTACGCCCTACGCCCTGCCAGCCCTAACCACCAACGTCTATCTAAATTTGTAATACTAGATTAGCAATATTAGGACTCCTTTCTACATATGCAATCAACAACGCCCTCATTTACACCTTTATACCAATTCCACTCACACTCTATCCCATCACCACCAAACATCACCTTCTTCACCCCGGCCAACCACGCCGGCATGTCCACTCTCCCAACCCCAACGCCGCCGCCAACCCTCTTCCAACCCCTCCGCATGCGCAATCTGACCCTGAAAAACCGCATCATCGTCGCCCCCATGTGCATGTACTCCTGCGCCTCCGACCCCAAGTCTCCCGCCCTGGGCGCCCTCACGGACTACCACGTCGCGCATCTCGGACATCTGGCCCTCAAGGGTGTCGGCATGGTCATCATCGAAGCGACTGCCGTTCAACCAAACGTACGCATCTCGCCGAACGATTCGGGCCTGTGGCAGCCCGGGACGGACTCCGATCAGTTCCGTGGGCTGAATCGAGTAGTCGATTTGGTGCACAGTCAGGGCGCCGCGGTGGCGGTGCAGTTAGCGCATGCGGGTCGGAAATTAAGTGTCGTTGTCCCGTGGCTGGCGATGCAGGCTGGGAAGAGGACTCTGAGGGCCGACGCCGCGGGAACTGAGCACGGAAGAGGTGGAGGAGCGCGGCCCTGGCGGTTTGCGCGGGTGTCGATGCCATTGAGATCCATGGTGCTCATGGGTATCCGATCAGCGAGTTTCTGAGACCCGTGACGAATCGTCGGACGGATCGATATGGCGGGAGCTTTGAGAATCGGACGAGGATTGTGCGCGAGGTGATCCCCGAGGGGATGCCGTTGATGCTGCGGATCAGTGCGACGGAGTGGTTGGAGCATTTGCTGGGGGATTCTTGGGACTTGACGTCCTCGATCGAGCTGGCTAAGCTGCTTCCCGGGATGGGAATTGATTTCCTGGACGTGAGCTCTGGTGGGAATCATCGCGACCAGAAGATCGATATGCATAATGATTATCAGGTGGAGCTGTCGGGTCATCTTCGACGGGCAATCCGGGATGCCGGCCAGGATACGCTGGTCGGGACCGTGGGCTGGATCACGCAGGCTGAGCAGGCGAGGGACATCCTTCAGGGAGTGAATCCTCTGGCGGACGCGGTGCTGATGGGGCGAAGAAGCTGGATGTCAAGATAACGCTGCCGTTGCAGATCGGGCGTGCGTTCAGCGTGTAGTGGTTAGATAACTTTGATCGAGTATATAGAGGCTACCATATACCTCGGCATAGGCTATCGTTCCTTAACATTAGCACCGTACAACAATGGAACGGCGTAGCGTGTAGATCAGGTAAGATGACGACTGAGCTGAGAGTTCGTCGATCATCAGGATCGACAATCGATGGAAATCCAAATCATGAAAATCGTCACCTTCTTTAAACTTATCTCCCACTTCACTTCAAAGTTGTTCATCATATAGTTCTGAATTTCAAGCATACGTCACCTTCAAACTCATGGATTAAAGCTTCCAAAGCTTCTGTTCTGTACGTGATTGCTTAAGGATTTGGGATTGAGGGCAGATATCTAAAGATATCACAAATACAGATACGAAGCATAACTCGGATTCTCTACAACACCCTGTCTTTCCCAGAATCCAAGGAAGTCCAAGCAAATACAAGTCAGCTGGTCAGCACCCACCTGTCTTAGTTACCACCGTCAATTCGCCGTTTCTCGCCGAACAAACTCGGTTCGGCATAGTACGAAGCATTATGAAACAATGTATCACGCCAATCAGTCCTCAACTGGGAGAGGGGGAATGGGATGGTGGTCAGGCGACCATCCTCAAAGGATGACTAGTCAAATTTCCGATGATCCAACGGCAGCGACGAGGATATTTGGGATCTTGGGAAGATCGGACTACGTTTGCTGATCAACGGGTCTCTGCTTCTCGATATCTGCATTGATTTACCTTCTCTAGATTCTTTCGGCTCTCTCTTTCTTCTCTGGAAGGTTGCGTTTGTGAAATATTCAAGACATGCGTACTCTCCAATCCATCCCACCAAGGAGTCCGTGCACATCATATCGGCTGAAGACGGTCTCCAAGCTAGACTCTCTTCTCCGCATCCAAAACATCCGGATACCACCATAAATGCGCCATTAATATGCACCAACAAGTAGAGAGCCCTGCGAGCAATTCATTTCCAATCCAAGTGCCGAAACTGTGGGGAAGAAAATCCACTCCCAACTTGATGAAAGCCATTCAAAGAAGCCCGTTATTCCTGCTGCCTCGGTCCAAGACATCAGGGCACACGGAGCTTCCTCCGAGCACGAATGCGGAAAGAGAAAATATATTAAATGGCGTTCGCCAAGTTCTGCACTGCACGGTGGAGGATTTCCCCCAGACACTGCAACCCTCTATCGCTCGCCAAGTGATATTGCCAAGCACTGTTCTATTGCCATTTGAATGACTTTGAAAGCATCTCGATGGGTGCCCAGCTCGCCGTTGGTTTTCGGGGACCTGACTACCTCGGTTTGAATCCTACAACTTTCAACTACCGGCAGAGAAGCCAAGCCAACTTACTAGGTTTGGAAGGTGACTTGCCAATTGTTTGACCTTTGACTGCGATACAATGCATAATGTAGCTATCGAGGGGCATACAGACAAGAGGGGACGAGAAGCCGAAGACGTGAAGACTTCGCAACTGCCGAAGAAAAGTGAATATGAACTCAAGGGCGATGAATGTCTATAAGAAGGGGGATGTCGTCGCTTCAATCTCAGCTTTTTTGTTCAGCAGCAGGGACAAACAGCAGATCAAAACCACTATCTTGACCAGCCTTCTCTTCTACAGACTTCTGTCTCAAACGACACCATGAAGCTCCAATTTCTTGCCACCATCTTGGCCGGTTTTGCCGCAGCCAGCCCCATTGACCTGGAGCCTCGCCAACGTATGTCATTCTTATCTCGCGATCTTCGGAGGGAACTTCAAGTTAACAAGCACAGTTGCCCCAATTGGAGAGAATGAACTGCGGAGCGGCGCCTGCAAGGATATCACTTTTATCTTTGCTCGCGCTTCCACCGAGCCTGGCTACTTGGTATGCGAATTTGGTGACCATTCTTATGTAGTACTCGACACTAATACTGTGACAGGGTATTTCAACCGGTCCAGCAACCTGCAATGCTTTGAAGCTCGCAAGAGTTGGTAAAGTCGCTTGCCAAGGTGTTGCTCCTCGCTACATCGCGGACCTGGCGTCCAACTTCCTCCCCAAGGGCACCACACAGACTGCAATTGACGAGGCCACCGAGCTTTTCCAACTAGCAGCGTCCAAGTGCCCAAACACCAAGATTCTGGCTGGTGGCTACAGGTAGACACCCATATCCTAACATACGGCCACCCAGTAATGAACCAGAAATGACTGACACTCAATTAATAGCCAAGGAACTGCCGTCATGCACGGCGCCATCTCTGGTCTTTCGGACAGCATCAAGAACCAGATCAAGGGTGTGGTTCTTTTCGGCGACACCCGCAACAAGCAGGACGGTGGCCGTATCCCTAACTTTGACACCGGCAAGACCAAGATCTACTGTGCTATTGGTGACTTGGTTTGCGAGGGCACCTTGGTCATCACGGCTGCGCACTTCACCTACGTGGCTAATGTGCCCAGTGCTGTTACCTTCCTGTTGTCGAAGACTTGACTTTGATATGATATAGAAATGACTCGCCTGGTCAAGAAAGGAGAATTTCTGTTGTCAAATTATTTCTGTGACCAGAGGGAGGATATATAAGCAAGAGATTCGTTGATTGAAAATGGAAAGTCTAGCATAGGTAGCTCCTGATATGAGAAATTGAACACTGGTTTATTTAACCTAGACACTTCTAAACGACAGACCCTGCGATATGTAACGCTAGATCATAGATAGGGCTGTGTATGCACACACAAGGAAGCGAAACCATCTCTTTGTCATAAAAGGCATAACACAGTAACCTATCACTTCGCTAAATTAGACTAACTAATGTAAATGTTTTCCATTTTAAACAGTTATGCCGAATACAGGATTGCTACTACAATCTCTATTACTTGTCAAGCAGTCAAGATAAAATAGATTAGATAATCATCAGAGCATTCTGATCGATCCTTGTTTTTAGGAACACAAATTAGGTGCTTAATAAGTAGTCCACAATACGCCCTCCCGTCAACCATAAACACCAACCATAACAATAACAAACCCACAGCCCTATCCAATTCAACCTCAAGCTGTGAGGATCCGCTCCACGGACAAAATCTCATTCTCCATCGGCTGATCCTTGTCGGTCCTGTTGATAAGAAAAATCAGCTACATATAGCTCTCTGCAAACTAATTAGATTTACAAACTCACCTAGTCGTCACCCGCAAATCCGTCTGGATGCGAGCAACTCCACGTTTATGAACAAGCAGGTGCGCGTGTCCGATCACCTGAAGGACTTGATCCCAGGGTCCCTCTGTAGTTAAGTATGTTAAATACGCTTTCTTCGAGGTACAGGTTCAACAGTTGTTGGTTATAGCTAAGTGTATGTATGGATCGAAGGAGTATAGGGTATAGATCAGATCTTATATAACTTACCAACGGCCGTCCCGGTACAAGTCATTTGATGCTTCAGGTCGCATCGCTGAAGCAGGCGTTGAATCTCTGCAATCTCCTGCGCGAAGGACGTGTCGTGGGTGCCGATCTTTTTTTTTGTGTATATTAGTAGATGTCACTTTGAGGGAAATCGTTTGCGACATACTGGGACTAGAGAGAAGTCGGCAACGCAGTGAGTGGGAGTCTCGAGGGTTTCGGTAGTGGATTCCATGATATTTTGCGATTGTAATGTTGTGTCTTGTAGGGATGATGTTCATGAGTTGAAACGGTTGAGGGTAGTGGTAAGAGTTTTGCCTGTAGACTAGGACTTTATATAGAGGTGAGGGGTTACACTGTCAATATTTCATGGTGACGTTGGCATATATAATAACAAGATATCTGAAGGACATGCCCACCAATGGGAGATTGGAGAGGGGTGTGGCTGAATTAAATAGTTATTATTTGTTGATATCTTTTTCCCGAGCTTTATGTACATGGGACATCAGATACTACTAGTATCTAAGAAGCCAACTTAACCCTGGTAGTAGGTTTCGTCGATCGTGCGCCCGCGCCTCTGTTGAGGCTCGCTCCCACGCATGTAAACGTCCTCGTATAATATATCCATCCGGGGCTCGGGCTCGGGCATGCTTTCAGCCTCGTCCTTCGCTTTGTTGATCTTCTCTCGCACGTCCTTGTCAATGGACTTAGCTTCATCATGAGTAAACACACCCCATTCGATCAATCTGTCCCGGAAGTTCGTAATAGGGTCGTTCGATCGCTCGGACTGAAGCTCGTCTCTACTCCGATAGGCAGTTCCCGGATCAGACATTGAGTGTCCTGCGTAGCGGTAGGTGACAAATTCGTATACCAGAGGCCCGTTTCCGTCCAAGACAAACTTCTTCCCGTGTTTGACGGCGGAAAGAACGGCAAGAACATCCATTCCATCGATCTGTAGTCCTGGGATATATTGGCCCCTCTTGTAGTACTCGGTCATGGCGGAAGCTCGGTCAGCGGAAGTGCCCATACCATATTTGTTGTCTAAATACATGGTTAGCATACCGGGGACACGGCCCGAATGAATTGAGGTAACTCACTTTCGCAGCCAAAGATGATAGGCAAGTTCCATAGCTTAGCCATGTTAAATGTTTCGTGAACCTGGCCCTGGTTCGCGGCTCCGTCACCGTATAGATCGATTGTGAGATTTTTCGCGTCATTGTACTGCTGAGCCAATGCAATACCCGCACCAACAGGAACATGAGCTCCCACAATCCCATTACCACCGAAAAAGCCCTCGCAGAACATATGCATCGAGCCACCCTTGCCATACGAAATACCGCCTCGTCGCCCGAGCAGCTCCCCAAGGATGGACTCAACGGTCCCTCCACGCATCAACGTGTTTCCATGGGAACGATAGGCCGTAATTAACTTGTCACTCCTAGTGATTCCATGTTCGATGCCCACGGCGACCGCCTCTTGACCGGTGGAAAGATGGCAGAATCCTCGGATCTTTTTCTCCTTGTATAAGCCGTCAGCGGCTAACTCCATACGTCTGCTATACGTCAGCGTTGGGCTCGATTGGTCTGTCGGAAATGACTGCCAGCCAACCTTATCATTGACATATCGCGGAATAGATGTTTGAGTTCATTTTTTGTCGTCTCCACATAGTATGGCGGCGGGTCGAAGTTGTATGTAGAGTAGCTTTCCTCTGAGATTGGGACTTTGAAGGGCTGGTCGTCTTCCTTTAAACAAAGGCTTTGTCAGTAATTTCGCTAGCATTGACGCATATTCATAGGACCACGTACCGTAGGGATATCTTCTAGATTAGCGACGCTCGCCATACAGCGGCCTCCAGGACGGGGTAGCGACGAGCGCGCCCAAGAAAGGGCACCCGCTCGTCTCAATGACCTTGAAAGCATGATTAGGTTCACCTTTCTCGAGATTAATTGAAAATCAATGAGAGAGCAAGTGAGCAGGATTAAGAGGAACAGTAGTATATAGCGGTGATTGGAGTTATGTTGGCATGTAGGAGCTGCCATGCATAACGTCGCTATGACGTAATGATCGGTCCACCGTAACAAGTCATCACGCATGCCTGAAGGGAGATGCTCTATCCCTAGTACTGATCACCAGGAATACCAGCCCAGTGAATTCCACGGTAATGGACGTTGCCCTGTAGCTTATGACAGCACAGCCAACTCAATGCTCAAGGGTTCATCCTAGCATCTAGCTCTTGAGTGTACACCGAGTAGTTATTGGGCGCGGCTCGGAATACATCGTCTAGGACATAAAGTGTAGTCACAAAGCACACTTCTCAATGTTGCTCTGTTGACGTGCCATATGTAGTGACTATGGTGTAGTGTGTACATCAAAAGAAAGTGTAGGCTGCCGGGGCCTCAAGCCGTTGTTGCCTATTTCGGACATGAACCGCTCGCAGCGGCCGAACGTTGTTCCGTAGCGGTATGACGCATGTTTTCGAAGCAGCCGAGCATCGCTAGGCTGAACCAGTTGCTACATGGATCCGATCCCCTGGTTCACGCTATATCTTCAAGCCCGGTGCGGACGGCTATGCTTGCCTGGAGGTCACAAGTTGTTGCGTGACTTTAGGAAACATGTTGCACACCATTAAGTAAACATTTGTTATTCCATACCAGCTGGTGATGCAGCAACCCTGATCTCACCCGCATATGGACTTCGCGTCATTTGAAGACACCTGACAGGCATTCATGTTGTTGAACGCATTTTCCCGGCAACATGCGCCGTTCCAATCGTGCTCGCTCTGGAAAGAGCGGCCCCTCCAGCGGTCGCCAGTCAGGGCAACATGACGGGCCAGGCGACGACGAGATCCCTCAAGTATATCGGGAGATGCTGGCAGAAGCTGAAGCCCGAGATGCTCAGGCACTAGCAGAAGATCGGCCCATTAAGAGGCGCAAGGTGCAAGAGCAACCAACCACAGCAAATGCCTCCCAAGTTACAACCCAACCAGCACAATCCCAAACAAGTGTCGATCAACAATATGACCGACAGGTGCAGACGGTGTATGACTCTTCCACATCCGATGAATCAGATATGGAGTGGGAAGAAGTTGATCTTCAACAACCCCCCGCTGGTCCAGCCGATACAACTCCGGCTGCTCAAGACAGCGGGCCCATGGAGATTACACTGGGCAAACTCGATGACCAGAAGCGAAGAGTAGCACCAAGGCGAAAGCCTATCACTGCGGCCGAGAGGAAGTTGAGATTGGACATCCACAAAGTTCATTTGCTCTGTCTTATGCGCCATGTTCACATACGTAATCTGTGGTGCAACGATGAAGAAGTCCAGGTTTGTCATGCCTTCTACAAATACTTCAGTCTTCTGCATGCAGTGCTTATCAAATCCACTAGAAATTTCTCAAACGAATGCTGTCTAGAAATACGGTCTCTTTATTGAACCCACCTGAAAATAAACCACAAAGCACCAGATCCACCACATTCATAGACGGGCTGAATCAAGCTAGCGATGCCTTTCTCAAGAGATTCAAAGTGACCTATCCCGGATTAAAGCGTGCTCACTGGGCCGAAGATCCAGACTGTTTAAAGAAGCGAGTGGTATTATGTCCTTCTATGGATCCGAATGTTTCTCCTCTGACTACTTAGTAGGAGCAAATCATGGTGGACCCGGAAGTCATATTGTCGAAGGGAGACTTTCAGAAGCAAGCGAAGACACTACAGGGCTCTCGCGATTTCGGTGCCCAGATCTTTTGTGCCTTACTACGTTCCGCGGCTGTAGAGGCAAGATTAGTCTGCTCGTTGCAACCGTTGCCGTTTTCCGGTACAACGAAGAATATGACCCCGATCAAGCCTAAACCGCAATACATTGTCATCTCATCAGACAATCCCGAAACCTCCACTGATGAACAAGCCAAACCTCAGGGCTCTCCGGTTCCACAATCTAGAACGCGAAGACTTGGTCGCCCACAATTCAAACCATCTCGTCCCTCAAAGCCGATCGTTACCAGTATGTACCCAACTTCGAGTTCGTAAATACCGCGGTATCTAACCTTTGAAGGTCCACGACCAACCACCCATCGAGAGTCATCATATCCTGTTTTCTGGGTCGAGGCTTTTAATGAAGCGGTTCAAAAATGGATTCCTGTCGATCCCTTGGTGACGAAGTCCCTTGCGAAGTCCTTCAAGTTTGAGCCTCCATCTAGCGATCCATATAACTGTATGAGTTACGTGGTTGCCTTCGAGGAAGATGCTTCAGCGCGAGATGTCACCCGCCGTTATGCAAAGGCGTTCAATGCCAAGACGCGCAAACTCCGAATCGAATCCACGAAGAACGGCGAGCGATGGTGGCAGAGAGTGTTAGAATTCTACGAAAAACCGTTCCTTGAGGACCGCGATGAAATCGAGATCAGCGAGTTGACAGCCAAAACGGCTGCTGAGCCTATGCCTCGGAATGTGTTAGATTTCAAGGATCACCCCATTTATGCTCTGGAGCGACATTTGCGTCGCAACGAAGTTGTCTTCCCCAAACGTGCCATCGGTCAAGTTGGTCTGGGCAAATCAGGCTCGAAGCATGAAAAGCTAGAGCCCGTCTATCGACGCTCTGACGTTCATTCTCTCCGTAGTGCCGACAAATGGTACCGATTAGGACGAGATATAAAATTAGGGCAGCAACCTATGAAACGCGTTCCGGCTAGCAGAGCTCCCTTAATTGATGAAGACTTTGAAACAGCCGCGGAAACCCCTCTCTACTCTCTGTCTCAGACGGAGCTATACAAGCCTCCACCAGTCGTCCAGGGGAAAATACCAAAAAATGTTTATGGGAATTTAGATATTTATGTGCCGACAATGGTGCCACCAGGGGGTGTCCATATCATTCATTCCGACGCCGCACGGGCTGCCAAAATTCTCGGCATCGACTACGCAGATGCCGTTACAGGTTTTGATTTCAAAGGTCGCCACGGTACTGCCGTATTTCGAGGGGTTGTTATCGCCATCGAATGTCGTGAAGCTCTTGAGGAAGTTATTCGAGCGCTCGAGAATGAGAAGGAACAGGCTTTATTGGAAGAGAAGTCTGCCGAATCTCTCCGACTTTGGAGACACTTTTTGCTCAAGTTGCGCATTTCAGAAAGAGTCAAGGGATACGCCATCGAAGGAGAAGAAGGCGATAACGAAGGAAGCAATGATATGAATGATGATGATAATGATGATTTTGGGGACGCGGAAGATTACGGGGGTGGGTTCGTACCGGAGCCAGATCAAGTAGTTGCCTCTCCTCATGCTGGGACAAACATTGGGGAATATGCTACACAAGGCCCAACATCACAGCATGTTTCTGGGTCCCTATCAGATGCCGACGACACACCTGGTGGAGGATTTATGCCCGAAGAGGATGCCAGCGCTACAGTCCCTCCGCCTCGAACAGATATGAAGCCCAATTATACAGATCGGAATACAGCAGACAACTCGCGCTACACTCTTGTTGTTTTACCGAATGATAACTATGAGAAAACAAATGACCTGAAGACTGCTGACAACAACCTTGGATCGTCACCCAGGGTATCCGAGTCCAAAGTCAATACAGAGGCAGGCCCTTCGGAGAATGCTCAGGTCAACCAAGGCTCGTTGGAAGCACCGATCACGGTCGAATCATCCACCGGAGCAGATTCCAAATCTGCCAGTTTGGAAGTTCTATCACGGCCACCCTCACAGCCAGAGTCACGAATCCCATCTCTGGAACCTCCGGAAAGCGAGGCAGGGAGTAATGATGAAGGATCGTTACTATCTGAAGATCCCGAGGATGAAGATGCTATACCCGAGTGGCTGATGTCAGATTAACCTTTCGGTCTGTTCAATAGCGTTTTTGTGTATAGAGAATTTTGCCAGGAGACAAGTTGGTCAAACAAAAAGAATAGAAACATTGTTAGTACTGAGAGATGATTTGAATGCTAGCCCTGAAAATCAGGCATCACTGCTAACCGTAAAGGTTAAATGGGCGCGCACGGACCACGGGGTATGACATGTGGTTCGACGCGTCGACGCGCCTTTGCCTAATCCAGGCATCAGTAAGCAACGAAAGCCCACCCCATCTCTTCCACCACCATTTTTGCCACTCTTGCGAACCCTATGGCTTCTTACGAATCTCCAAACGGCTTTCTCGATCTTGAACCGCGATGAGGCGAGGGGACAGAACCGGTACAACGTCCAGACCCAATCCGGAACGATTCCGCACCCCAGACAAGCCTGCGACAGGGCGCTCCTCAACGGTGTCGGACAGATCGAAACGAACTAGCCTTCTCTCGAGGGGAAGTAGTCACGGAACCCCCGCGTCGTCGAACTCGACATTCAGATCGTCTAGAAGGGACACAGGGCCCAGTGAACAGGGCCAACCGACCCTCACCCAGATCGACTTCGTGACGCCCGTGTCGCAGAATGTCCCGTCCAGCGATGATCTCGACTATATCGGGGACCACGGACAACAAAACTATGCGCGTAAGACTAGCGAGGTGATCGAGCTAGACGACGACTCTGAGGACGATACCGAATATAGACCTTCGAATTCGAATTCAGAGAAGAGACGAAGCCGGGGCGTTCGATTCGACACAGATACAGGGAGCAATAAAAAACGCAGGAAGAGTGATTCTACAAACCAAAGTGGTCGAAATGCCGAACGGAATCGAAGAAAGAGTGACGATAGCGTCAAGGGGAAGAAGAAGGGCAAGCAGCCGCAGTCGAAAGAACAGCACAAGACTCTTACGCAAATGGATTATGTACGCCGTTACTTGAAGATCGAACCGGATGATGAAGTGAAGCTGGAGTATACGTATCAAACGCCCAAGAAGCAGAATGAGCAGAAACCCGACAGGAAGCCCACGCCCGCTGCGGAAGACGCACGACTGGGCCCCAATCTTGGGCAGGGGTATTCAAGCGAGCTGAAGAGAAGAAAGCCAAACCGCCCGGAGCTAAATAAGATTTCGGAGCCGGTGGCATATCGGAAAGATGGGAAATCGTTGAAACAGCCAGTTACTCCACAGAAACCGCGGAGGTCTGAAATACCTTCTTCACAATCACCCGAAAGTCCCGGACTAGCTATCATCTCTTCTTCTCAATTCCGCAGTGCAACCCGCTCTCCGCTGAAAAGGCCACCTTTATTGGCCGCTGATATGCCTATAAAAAAGGAATCACCGAAGCATGAACACAGCGGAGAGGGAGATATTCTTAATGCAAACCAAGATGCTTCACCGTTCCGTGATACGTCGCCACCCATGATGCTGGATTCTCCGCTGTCACAGAAACACGCTGTACCTGAAAATCCTATCGTTAATGTTTTCGACACACAACCCAATCCTTCAAGTGAGCAACCTCTAGAGAGGGGCGACCTTGAACCCGATGAAGCGAACAAGCCCCCCTCGACCACCCAGCGCACTGTGGTATATGAAACTGACGCCGAATCCGACTACGGTGATTCCCAGGACAATTTGTCCAGCCCTCTTGGGTCTCCCACAAAACGACAGTCAGTTGATCTTGGGCATGATGAGAGCAAGGAAGATGACGATCTGGAAAATGATGATTCACAATACCTCCCGCCCCCGCCCGTCCCTCCATTCGGACAGGAAACAGACTCAGGTCTACTGAACTCGGAAAACTTGACATCCGATGCATCTGTTTATTACAAAAGGGTGCAGCCTGCCACGCAGTTCCCGCTCGAGCCGATACCTACTCTGAACACGCAGAAATTGGCCGAGCTTTTCCCGAACGAGTCGAGTCAACTGCGGACGCCTGTGAAGAAACCGCGATTACTTTCAGACCCCAACAACTGTATACCTTCTACACAAACACAGACGCCCACCCAAACCCAAACCCAGACTCAATCACAAACTCAGTCTCAAGACGCGGATAAAACGCCGACCGAGATCGTTCCCGAATCTTCACCCATTGCCCGACAGGAAGATGGCAGTGCGCCCAACAGGGAAACGCGCTTCAAGCCCAGGCTCCAGGATGCAGTGGTACAGGTCGAGTCCTCACAACCAGCTGATAAGCTCCCTCGAGGGGAAGGCCGAAAGCAGGACTCCTATCAGGGTGGTATATTGTCAGAGGGTCAGATCCTCACCTCCAGCGTCATGGAAAGCGTGTCTATGCCAGGTTTTTGGTTGGGCAGTCAAGACAGTGTGGGAGAGCCGTATGAAACGCCATATACATGATAATACCTCCGCTAGATTTTATGACTATAAAACCCGACATAGATAATATGATACCATCTACATACTCCATAAATGATGATGACGATAAGCAACGTGTAGATCGGCGGGGCTTCGGGCCGTCGTAGCCCCGGGAACGGAAGCGGAGAATCCAAGCAACGCTGACGGTCCCTCCGTCATTCTTCACTTCCGTCCCCCTGCCTCATTTAATTACCTCGAATTCCAACCCCCTGATCGCAACGTCATACTGTGCCCCCACAAACCATGGATATAGCTTATGACCACATCCAGGAGGAGATCTTCACCTCCAACGATGCCTCCAAGAAAGAAGACGCCAAGGACCAGTCGACCCCCGCCGACCGACCCAACGTCGACCTGAACACCGAGCTGCAGGAAACCTTCCGCGCATTCTCCGCCAGCCCGTGGGGTGCCCGCATCGGAGGATTATGGGACAACGTTCGCAAACAGGGCGAGAGCTACTACGAAGGCGCTAGACAGGAATATGCCGCTGCCAGCGAAGAGGCGGTCAAGGGCTTCTCGGACCTCAGGGAGACTATCGTCGGACGCACGCGCGGTCTGTCCCTCAGTACGCCGTTCGCTGCTCCAGGAAGCACCGAGAAGACGTCAGATGAGGCACCTACGCCTACTGCGTCCCGCGCGGGAGAGGGTCCGGCCGCGGAAGGAGGAGAGACCAGCGAGAAGAGCGTGGATGGTGCGGGCGCAAACGCAAACGCCAACGCAGGCGAGGGGTTCCTATCTCGCTTCAAGGCCGAAGCGGGTCGACGGTTGAAGGAGCTCGAGAAGGCGGAGGAGGCAGCTGACGAGGCCATCTTGCGGTTTGGACAGAATATCGGCCAGAAGCTGCGGGATGCCGTGAGCATTGTGCCGCCGGGTACGGATTCCAACAAGATCCTGTTCGAGAGTAAGGACTCGGAGGGCAAGCGGGTCATTCATGCTACGCGGTTCGAGGCCCAGCTCCATGTCATCCACTCCAACCTGGACAGCTTCACCAAGGACCCGGTCAGTGATGAGTGGCCTACGTTCCAGAAGGAGTTCAACGTGGACACCAAGACTAGCGCCATTGCGGCCGACCTCGAGAAGTATCCTGAACTCAGGGCTGCGATGGAGAAGGTTGTGCCTGAGCAGGTTGAGTATGCGACGTTCTGGTGCCGTTACTATTTCCTTCGTCTCGTGATTGAGACTGAGGAGCAGAAGCGCAAGGAACTCCTTAAGGGTAAGCCTCTTTCTCTCTTTTTGCTAGTATTTCAGGATTGCGATAGCTAATCATAACTTTATAGGTGCCAACGTGAACGAGGAAGAGGAGGTTGCCTGGGATGACGACTCTGACGACGAGACCGACTCGCCTGCGACTCCCCAAGGAAAACCTAACAAGCCCACCGAAGCCCAGAGCTCGGCTCCCACCACCGAGAAAAACAACCTTTTGAAGCCCAACGAGCCTCGCCGCTCCAACGACCAGCAATCCCAAGCAGACAGCGAATCCAGCTATGATGTCGTCAGCGGTGCTACAAGCCGAACCCCCGCTAGCCCCAAGGATAAGAACAAGGACGACGACAGCGACGAGGACTGGGAGTAAGGGAGTTAATCGAACTCGTGCATGCGACATATAGAGCAAATGATCGGTTTACCTAGATCATTTGTGAACAGGTGCCATGTGGACGATTCCCTTTGACCACTGGCTGGTCCGAGCGAAGCTTCAACTGGATCTGACGGGGTGACGGTATACGGAGTGGTGTTCTACGGCGCTGGATTGTTGTTCTGTTCTTAATTTACGGCGTGATGGGGATTTCTCTCTTCTTTTTCTATATTCGTTTTCTAGCGATTGAATTATTTTCACTGATCTTTAGTAATTGCGTATATCTGGTCTTGTCTTCTTTTCCTTGCGATCTGATTCGAAATAAAGTCTAATCTACAATCATGAACATACTCTAAGACAAATCTCTATTGGTATCGCTAATCTGCAGTCGCATAAACTTACAAACTCAGTTGTTTCTATTGAGATGCGTGCGCACACATGACTTCATTCATAACACGTCCATAAAACCTATGATTTCTTATTCATTCCGCACAGCCTCCGCAGCAAGCCAACAATCACCGGCCCTCCGCATCCTCTGGACGAACCGACGAACTACGCAGCGAACTCGGCTGACGCACGTCCGGCCGCGCCGGGGTAGAGCGTCGCGACCGCAACGGCGTCTCCGGCGTATTCTCCCTAGAGCGGAGATGGAACCCTCGCACGCGGTCACTCGGCGAGTAAGGATAATCAGCACCATCGCGGGGATACCCCGTCGGCGTGCCATCCGGGGCCCAGGTGTACTGATACTCCTCGCCGCGTCGTTTGAGGGGGCTTTCGTCGTAGGGATCCCAGCCGACTCTGCGACGGGCGTCGGCGCGAAGACGTTGCCGGTGTTGCTCGTCGCCGCCGGCACCAGTGGTGGCGGACTCTTCGAGGAAGAAGTTCAGGAGTTCATCGCTGATAGAGAGGTGGGATTGCTGTTGGAATTGCTGCAGGGACATCAGACGGAGGAGGATCTCGAGGAGGGAGAGGGAGGTGCGGATGTTGTTGAATTGGGGGTTGGAGACAGTGGCTGTGGCGATGTTTTGAGACGAGGAAGAAGGGCGGGAGATGTCTTGGTGTTTGTGGCTGGAGGGAGTTGACCTGTTGCTGCCGGGGTCGAGGGAGAGTTTGGCCATCATTTCCGGGTCGAAGGTTGAGGATGACTCTTTGGCGGGCGTTTTGGGGGGTTCATCGTCGGACTCATCGTCTGATGATTCGTCCTCGTTGTATACTTCGAAAGCGATCCATTCGGGGTCGAGATCCTTGGGTAAGCGCCATTCATCGGGCACCGAGGTCTCGTGGAAGCTGGCGTTCATGGAAGGGGCAGACGCTCCGTTTAACTGGGCGTCTAGCTGCGCTTGATCGTCGTCTCCTTCTTCGGTGTCGGATTCATCGGAGGGAGTGTCGTAGGCGGTCTCTTCGCGCTCTACCATTCGTCGGGGAGGGATAGCGTTGACGTCTCGCTTCAGAAGTAACACGGGGTTGTTCGTTTCGCCGTCCGTGCTGATATTCAATATCTTGCCCGTGTCGGCATAGAATATCTTGGAAATTTGGTGAATGGGGAGTATTTCCCGTAGTCCGGCAGACTTGACGTCCTCATAGCTCTCTGGACGAGGCTCGTCGTCATTGAACGTGTGAACCCGCCCGTCGTCCAAATCCTCGATTATCAGCAATTGATAGGCGAATTCATCTACCCTTGCCTCAGCGGGGTACAGATGACGTTTCTGTGCCGCCTGTGGGTTGGTAGCCAGGTCCATAGGCACTCGTCGGAGCTTCAGGCGGGCTTTGTGCATGACCTCCTTCCAGGTCGTTTCGCGAATCCCATCTTCGTCATGTGGCCGAAGATGACTCGCATAAAGCATGTACACTGACAGAGTGAAGGTAGGGCCGATTTGGACGGCCTGCGAAGGAGACATTGAATACTGCGTGTCACCAGCGATAAGAAAAGTGCTAGCTTGTAGTAATCTGGATGGCGAAATGGATGACGGTAAATTAGTTGATAGCTTAGCCCCAGAGGCAGTGATCGCCAGATTCATGAGGGGCACTGCATCCTCAATTCGTATCAAGAGTTTCCTGATGTCCTTGATAATGAGCTTGATCTCCGCATCGTTTTGAGTGCGACTAGCGGCAGACTTGCTTCCTTTTCGGAATTGCTCTTCGGATGCAGCCGCATTCGCCAACCGTTGGCCAAGAGCTTGAATGTCCCATCGTAGAGCTTTGGTCAGTGATACCGCAGATTCTAGAGATGTGTTGCCACGCGCAGCACTAGAGAAGGTTAGCACGGCTGGTTCTGATAATATAATCATATCCGATTACTTACATCAGCTCGATCATGTCGATGGCGGGGGAAATGACCTTTCATTCCGGTTAGCAAACTATGAAACCGAACTGCATACAAGCTAAATGCAGATAGCAAGAACCTGCCTGGATCTTGCTCTCAAGTCGCTGCTGCAACGTAATCAATTCATCTTTCTCCTCGCTGTTGTCCACATTCTGCTCGACGTAACACAATGGTCAGCCGTGCTTGCTCCAGATTCCGCCAGAATATACGGTCAATACAATAAGGGCCTACCCACTTTCAACAAACGTCCAGATTGACTGATAGCATACTTGGCGGTAATAGCAATTCCCGAGCTAGAAAGAACGGTTCAGCTTAAGATCCTGACTGTCGCATACCGGGATTGGTGGGGTTTACCGGATGGCATAATTCATTGCCTGCTGGGTAAGCTATACGGGGCGTTAGTGACATCATTCTGTTGAAATTGGGCGACAGAAGTCATACTCGGGATAGAAAGCCATCCATCTTGCCACCGCAATCTAAACCAGGACGTTTGGGCAGCAGAAGAGTCGAGAATCGGAGTGCACTGAAACCGTGCGGTGCCTGACTCTTATCGATAACGTGCCACCCACCGTGGCTGGGGAACGCAGTAGAAGCCCATGTGCAAGAGGGGAAGGAATTGAATCCAAGATGGTGTGCTCTCGCTGCAAACCAGGAGAACAGAGACAAATGAGGGCGAGAGATGGACTGTTTACTGCGGTCTTGTAGATGCAGGACGGACAAAAAGCGCCGCTGCAGGCAAAGCAAACAGTGCAAAAAGGAGGGTCAGGCGCCTGAGACGCCACAGACGCCCAAGGCGGGGAAGCGCTGAGTCAGCGGCTGCAAAATCAGGCGCAAAGAATCGAAGCGCCCCTCCGCCGCCTTTCAAGCCGGCCGGTTCTTTATTTCTCTTCTCCCCGTCTCTTCCTTTCCTTTGATTCTCGTCCTTCATTAGTGGTCTTGCTTTGTCCGCGTGCTTACGTGTTTCCCTTACAACATGGCCGACCAGACCCCTGACTCGTGGGAGGATGAACTCTCCCGGCAAACCGAGGGCGTCAACCTGAACCAGAACGCACAATATCGCCCTCAGGCTCAGGCGCCTTCCTTCCACCCCGGCGCCGCTTCCTTCCAGCCTGGTGCCGCTACTTTCGTCCCCGGTCAGTCCTTTGGCGGCGGATATGGCGGTTTCCCCCAGTACGGCCAGCAGTACGGCCAGCAGGCCTATGGCCAATACCAGGGCTATGGCCAGCAACAAGCCTACGGCCAATACGGTGCCTACGGTCAGCAACCCGGTGCCTACCAGCAATACCCCGGTTTCAATCAACAGCAGCCTGCCCAGGCTGCCCCGGCCGCTCCTCAGCAGCCCCAGGCCCCGGTGAACACCCAGCCTGCCCAACCCGCTCCCAAGCCCGCCGCTGCCCCTCCCAAGGCCAAGGTTCTGTCGATCGGCGGTGCCAGCAACTCCCCCGCCGCTCCCAAGACGAAGGTGCTCTCCATCGGCACCCCCTCCCCGGCTCCTTCTTCGAACACCCCCTCCTCGGGAGCCGCTACTCCTGGGGACTCCAAGGGTCCCCAGGCTGCCACCGCTGCCAACAAGGTGACCGCCAGCAAGGCGATCGATAAGACCGAGAAGAAGGCGGAACAGAAGGCTAGCGGCAAATCCTCCCCTACTCCTTCGGGCCGCTCTAGCCCTGGTCGATCGAGCCCGTCGCGAAGTGAAGCCGCCAAGGCTGCCCGTGACGCGAACGCCGTCGCGATGGAGCAACAGGCGGATGTGGATGATTCGACATTGAAGGAAATCTACGGTGAAAAGAAGGAGCACGTGAACATTGTGTTCATTGGACACGTCGACGCTGGAAAGTCTACTTTGGGTGGATCTATCCTCTATGTCACCGGTATGGTGGATGAGCGAACTCTGGACAAGTACAGGAGGGATGCCAAGGAAGCCGGTCGTGAGACCTGGTACCTTTCATGGGCCCTGGATCTTACCAACGAGGAACGTGCCAAGGGAAAGACGGTCGAGGTTGGCCGTGCTCACTTCAAGGTCGATGTGCCGTCGCCGGAGGGAACCATTGAGCGACACTTCTCTATCCTGGATGCCCCCGGACACAAGTCGTATGTCCACCACATGATCGGCGGTGCTTCGCAGGCCGACGTCGGTGTGCTTGTTATCTCGGCCCGTAAGGGTGAGTACGAGACAGGATTCGAAAAGGGTGGTCAGACCCGTGAGCACGCTTTGCTTGCGCGCAACACGGGTGTTAAGAAGCTGGTCGTTGCTGTCAACAAGATGGACGACCCTACTGTCGAGTGGAGCAAGGCTCGATTCGATGAGTGCACGGTCAAGGTGTCCAAATTCCTTGAGGCTCTCGGCTACAAGAAGGACGACCTTACCTTCATGCCCATCTCCGCCCAGCGAACTCTCGGTATCAAGGACCGTGTTTCGAAGGAGCTCGCGCCCTGGTATGATGGCCCCTCGCTCATCGAATACCTGACGGACATGAAGATGCCCGAGCGTAAGATTAATGCACCTTTCATGATGCCGATCACGGCGAAGTACCGTGATATGGGTACGATGTGTGAAGGCCGTATCGAGTCCGGTGTTGTCAAGAAGAACGCCAGCTGTATCATGATGCCCAACCGCACGGAGATCCAGATTGCGGCCCTTTACGGCGAAACTGAGGATGAGATCGCTACTGCTACCTGCGGTGACCAGGTGCGCATGCGTCTCCGTGGCGTGGAAGAAGAAGATATTCTCCCTGGATTCGTCCTGTGTTCGCCCAAGCGTCTGGTTCACACCGTGTCGAGCTTTGAAGCCAAGATTCGTATCCTTGACCTGAAGAGCATCCTTACTGCCGGTTACAGCTGCGTTATGCACGTGCACTCTGCCGTGGAAGAGGTTACCTTTGGCGCTCTCCTGCACAAGTGCGAGCCCGGTACTGGACGTAAGAGCAAGCGTCCTCCTCCTTTCGCCAACAAGGGCCAGACCATCATTGCTCGTCTCGATGTCACTAGCACCGCCGGTGCCGTGTGCGTTGAGCGCTTTGAGGATTACAACCAGATGGGACGATTTACTCTTCGTGACCAGGTAAGCCTACCTATGCAGTTGATTCTATTAGAGGATGACGATGCTAACGTATAATTATTAGGGACAAACTGTTGCCATCGGCATGGTCACCAAGCTGATCATGAACGAAGATAAATAAACGTGCATGAATTAGAAAGCCTGTTGGCATTTTCGATACCACGAGTCTATTATTTTGAACGATCTTGCGGAGAGTTCACGTTGCGGCTGTGGACAGGAAGGGATGGGTGGGCAGAGGCTGGGTAACGATATCTCAGGACTAACCCTGCCTTGGTTGACGATGATGAATTCTCTTTTACTTCTTTCTTGCTTTTCGTATAGATATCAGTCCTTGCTTTCGCTTGGAATTAAAAAAGTGATTGGTTCTCACATTCAAAAGCTTTGCACTGCCTGTATAAATTAAGGAGGCATTCAAACTCCCAGCACATCAATCATGAGGTTCGTAAGGAACAATAGTCTTCATAAATAGGTATCCATACATGCAGAGTCAAATGTCTATACCGAAATCCTGAGATCCCAATTTTTTAGCTCCTAGATTGCCCAATGTCGGACAAACATCAAGATGAAAGGAGAGCGCGAGATGAAGAGATAACAGAAACTCAATCACCGCTTCTTCTTCCCAACCACCTTCGTAAACCCGTCATCATCAATCTCCGGCTCGACCCTCTCCCTCGGAGCGTTCACCAACGCCGGCGCATCACCCATATCCTGATCCTCCTCGTCCTCATCATCATCATCACTCGCCTGATCCTCCCCCCTCTTAAACCCTTCCACCGCATTCGCCGCACCCCCCTTCGCCGCGATCTTCTGCTGCCACGTCTCCCACATCTCCTGAATGACACCGAACTCGCCACGCGCCGTCTGGTCCCTGAACTCGATGATCTGCGCCGCCACGGGCACCGCACTCTCGTCGTCCACCACCACGTCGAACTCGTCGTTCATCACCTGCTCGAACACGTCTTCGAGGTCTAGAGCGTCCGTCTCCGGTCGCTCCGCTAGCATCTCGGAGATCGCGCCGCACAGCCAGTCCCGCTTGTCGACTGATGTGGGACCGCCCCAGTTCGACTGCACAGCCAGGTTCATCGCTGGCCAGTTGTTTATGGCCAGTGTGATGCCCATGTCGAGGTAGGTGGATGCGGAGGTGGGTTGTTGTTGTTGTTGGTCGGCCATTTTGGAGGTTTGTGTTGATGGATTTAGGTAGGTAGGTAGGTAAAGGTAAAGCAAGGTGAACGTGATGTTTTCTCTCGCTCGCTCGGAGTGTTGGATTGGCGGGGTCGATTCAGATTTCTTTCAGATTCGGTCGAGGTTTTTGTGTGTGCAAGAACCGGTTGAAATGATAGGAATCAATTGGTCGCTTGTGCGAAGCGCTATCGTAGAGATGGTCTAGATTAAAAAGGAGGTGGGCACAAGACCAATTGCGAAGAAGAGGATGCGTGGACCTTGGAGGTTGATTTGATCTGAAATTTTTTTTTTTTTTTTTCCCTTCTCGATGCTCCGAGATCGAATCCCTTATCGATGGGAGATTAGATATGATAAGAGAGGTCATGTGATCTGGTGTCTGGCCTGGAGGGGTTTCCAGATTGGGTTTTGCAGAACATTTTTAAGCTATTTATTTATTACTTTTTAGTTTATTCGAAAGAGATCATAGTATGTGATATGATGCAATCAGTCAAGTTGCTCAACTGTCAGTGGTGGCTTGGAAATCCACTATGGTACTCAGTCTCGAAAAATATATACCCATGCACAAAGAAGAAGAATGCCCATCAATACAAATGCTTCAGGTTATATGGTCAAGACAAGACCCGAAAACGCCTGGTATATCCAATCTTGTATGCGCCACACAAGAACCGCCTAATATACAGACAAACGAACGAGGGGAGGGAAAAAAAGGTGGTATTGTAGCCAGAAAGGAAACACCGTAAACACCACTAATCTACCTGATATGGTCCCCCGAAAAGTAAAAAGCAACAGTCGTAGATTACAAGACATAACTCAACAGTTCCTGGGCTCGAATGGCAGTGGAGATGTGCCAAGGCATCGTGCTGCGCTGTACAGCACAGGTCCCCCTGGCGCGGGCCAGGGTGGCCAGATCGCGATACATCCCCAGTGTTTCGCGAAGGAGTGATTCGTGAATTGAAGGGTGTCGCTGTGTGTATATGAGATTCACTGTGAGCGCGTACAAGCCGTCGCCATCAGTGGCGCCCTTGCGACGAAGTAGATACCCACTGGTCAAGGCAGGGCGGTACTCGGTTAGGTGCGGGGAGCTGTTGAGGCGATGGGAAAGGATCACCCCCCAGGATTCGTCACAGATATCAGTGAGCAAAGACTCCGATTCAGCTTCTAGCGTAGATTCCGTAGGCGTGGGGGCATTGACACCGCTTGGGGGAGTAGGGGCGTTGCCGGTTTGATCAGGGGAGAGAACACTGGGATTTGGTGTGGCGACGGGCGTGGAGCTCGTTTGGGCATTGAAAACGCTCATCGGGATCGGGAGGAATGGAGGTTCGAGGTAGAGATCAGGTGTGGCGCTCACGTTCAAGACTGTCAATTCTGAAGGCACTGTAATCGTCTTGTTATACTGCTCAACAAGGTTCGACCATGCTATAACGTTGTCAGTCATGTCAAGGTTGGGGGTTGTGTCCGGGTATCATCTTACAATCGACCTCGTCCTGGTCCACAGGTCCAGTGTACACGAGTATGAGTCTCCAGCGTGCCGAAATCCGATCCATTATATCTTTCGTTGCTCCCCAGATCTCGCCTCGTATATCATGAACATTTCTAGATGAACTCCCACCCCGAAAGCGCAGGTTATATGACATAGTTCGCTGGAGAGATCCGGTATTGTCTGACCAGGCCACACTGATCCAGCGCTGATCTTGACTCTTGGAGCATGCAACGTGAAGGCATTTGCCTTCCTGGAGCGGCGAAGATTTCTCAGATGCGAGTCTGAAATGAAGACTCCTTGGAAGAGGCTCCGCTAGAAGCATTGGGGGTGCACAGTTGACAAGACTGGGCTGTGCACTCTTCGGTGGACATCGGCTGTATACCTCCAAGGCCAATCTCAGATACTCAACCTGTGGGGGAACAACTAAGGATTCGGTCGACACGACAAAGTCCATGGGAATGATCTGCAGCACCACTTCGTTGAGTAGACGAGATTGCTGTTTTTCAGGATCAGTTGCATATTTTTGGAATAGACTCCAAAAAGCAGTGCACAAGTCCACCATTGAAGCAGCATGGGTGAATGGATTTATCATATAGATAACAATATTATCTTTGCTGGGTGGAATGTTTTGAAGAGCAATCCCTGCATATGGTTAGGATACTGATCGTGGGAATGAGATGATCGCGGGCCATGCGACGTACCAAGTGATTCACATATCCCTTTCAGAGATTGCATCGCGGAGGGGTAATCCGATGATTCAATATTCCATGATCCTGAAGTCTGATCCAGCCCATTAGACTTGTCCCCTCGGGCATGTACACCGAGATTACAACTCGAGTAAAGTAAGCTGATCCGCTCTAAGAATGCATCGGCCGCTTCTGTCATACTTTGCGGACAGATGCAATAGGCCGCGACATCCTTGGGACCAAAAGCAGGTTCTAAACCAAAGGTTTCCCAGAATGTGACCGCAGGAGGCAGAGTTTCCAAATATTCCTTGCCCCGGCGGACGCGCACATGGGGTGGATATAGCTTTGATATTGAGCCTTTTCCTGCCTCCTTACGTTGCGAGGCCTGGCGAGAAGTGGCAGTATTGGCGGGCGGAGGTGATTGGTTATGATCCTGTAAAGAAATAAAACCGTTCAAATCAAGCCTTTCCATGCCATCCATAAACTCGGTGTCCTTAAGGAGAGTTCGTATTGAATATGCTCCGTCACCAAGGTCGGAAATGCCGACGCGTCCATCAAGTTTATGATCCAATGACGATTGCACAACTTGGTCCGCTAGTATCTGGGCTACCTGGACTTGTAGATCTTTGCGAGCGAGCACGGGGAAGGTTTGGTTTTCGGGGAACGAGAAGTAGCCTGTCATCGACCAGTCGGAAAATGTGGACAGAAAATTGCCGAGAAAGATCGACTGCCCGGCTTTGGGAACGGAAGACTCTTGATCAGGTTCTCCTATTGACTTTTCCTGGACAATCAAGCTACCGGAATTAGAGCGAGCGCGCTTTCTTTTGCGGGTTGGAAATGTAGCCGGGGAAGCCCCCCTTTCTGAGGCAGCACTATCGCTTTCGTCACTTGAATCACTGTCGGAGTCGGAAACCTGCCATGGCTCCTGGTCATCATCACCCGGTGGGCTTGCTTGGCCATCAAAAGTTTTTGAATTGGCCTCCGCCGTCGAAACCTTTCTGTGACGCCGAGGTATGCCAATAGTCGGTATGTCACCCTGAATGCTAGAAGATTCCATGCTGGGCCCTGCGTCTGTGGCTGTAAACCAGAACTTGCCAGCAGCGCCATATTTCTGATCCCAATTGGACATGTTCTGTTTGAAAGCGACGGGATTGTAATAACTCTGGCCTTGTAAATGTCTGGGAGGAGACTGGCTTTCCCCGTCCGGTCCAGGCAACAGTATCTTCTTGATTTCCACTGGACTGAGAGGAGGACTGATTGTTTGGTTATTCTCATCAGGAGAGGAGGGGCCCACCAAATTGTCGTTAACCGGAGTCTTTTGAAGTGTGGGTTTTGGTGTCTGCTCATGTAACGGACTCATTTCAGGGAGAGATGCATGCTCGATCGGTGTTTCCTGCGGTGCAGGGACGTCTGGAATTATGATATCAACAGGATCAGGCTGCATTTCTGGTTCGCTGGGTTCTATCACATCGGACATGTCTTGAACAACATGCTGTGCACTACCGGCCATACGATCAAATCCAGGGTCGTCGAAAAAGCTAAAGTCGACATCAGTGATCCCTTTAGCTCCGAAATCTTTCTCATTCATGTCACCAAACAGATCGTCATCGTCGTTCGTGTCATATAATCCCGATCCAACCGTGAGCCCAGGGGTTGGGCCGAACGCGGTTGACACGTCCACATCCGAGCGATCTTTAAAAGATATGTTGTCTTGAATTTTTTGCTTGTTTTGGGTATGCGAGAAAAGCAATCCGAGGTCTGCGTCGTCAACGAGACCGTCTGAGGGGGCAGTGGCGTGCAATCCCATTCCGACCGCCCCATCCGGCGGCGTCGGATATACAAGACTCGCTGTTTGAAGCTCGGGATACTGAGAGGCACGAGAAAGGCTTTCGAGCGCCTCTGGGGGATCAGTGAGGTTCGTGAGAGGAATTTCTTGTTCTTTGGCCTGCTGTTGGTGATTGGGAGCTGGTTTAGGAGTGGCATCGCTATTTTCAGGTATTTCCATCCCACGCCATTTCTGCGCAAAGTCTAGAGGATCCTCCGCCATGGGATGATAATCATGCCTGCGCTCTGAGGTAGAAGACTTTACCCTCCTGAAGCAATATATCGCAGGCCATAAGATCCGCTTCAAAGGGAGCGAAAAGGTGTTTTCCTCATTTGGGCGCATAGTCTCTCCGGCCAATCTGGAATAGAACGGTTCCCAAACTTCTACTTCAACCCAGACAGTTTCCTCGATCGAATCAACTGCTAGTCCGAAGTTCTTGAGCCACTCTAGAACAGTGAGTTTCCATTGCTTGCGCTGGGCAGTTTCGTTGCCGTCAATTGCACTGCCGTCGCCCGATGGATATGGAGAGAACGGATCTATTGAGCCGGGCGTAGTGGTGACGAGTCTGGCAACTGATCCGCTAGGAGATAACCAAAGGTCTATACCCGAGGGTAGGTTTTGGAGGCCAGCGAGATCGTCTCCAGGTTGAAGTAATCGCAGGATACCGGGTTGGGAGATCGTTTGCAAGGTGACGGTTAACTTTCCCGCAGAGGTCAATTGAACTTGCAGCGTAGTGAGGGCGGAAGATGGAGAGGGGTCATTGTTGGCGGTCTTGAGGTGTTCGTAACACTCTCTATCCACAATCGTGAACAGACTACGTGATCCAAGAGGGATGACTTTGTTGCGCCGAATTAACTGGAGATTCAATGCACCAGTAACGGCCGATATGAACGAAGCATAGATAGTCGCCGAGCTGCTATACCCGTCCATGCGCCGAGTGGGTGTACCGGCCGCATTTTGGGGGCGTTGCGGCCCAGCGGGAGTCCCACTTGCGTTTTGGGGGTCATTTGAAAGGTTCTTGACAATATCCCAGGCGGTAATATTGCCCGACGCGGACACTGAGGTTACGATGTTAGCGCATATCCCGTTCCAGAGCCAATGCATAGGTGCCAGCGCGGGGAACTACGAACCTTTCAACGTGGTTGCGCCAACGAGAAGGCGATTCTGCTCGTCTTTACCTTCGCGTGAGCAGAGTGGGCCCAGACTCTCAAAACCCGGAGTCGCGGAAAACACCCATAGACCCAGCCGCCTCGGATAGCTCGACACCAAGCACTCTAGATTCCGCAGTCGAAGTTCGAGATCCTTTAGGCGGCTAAGATGCTTCAGAATAGTGTAACCATTGGCAGGCGCCTCGCCTGGCTGGTTCGTGATACTGGGATCTTCCGTATATATCCTCCAATATATGTTGGAGAATCCATCCTGGGGGGTCACATTAGAGATTACCGCGGAGATGCGACGGCGGATTTACGTACAATAACGCGTATGTTTGTGATGGACCCTCCGGGAAAGTCCATGATTTATTTACCTCTGGACCCCAGAGAAGAGGGGGCAGTTCTTAACAATAGCGAGGGCAGATTTAGACTCTGAGAGCGAATTCATCTCCAGGAGTGTCTGGACAGGTAACCATATCCCATATCCATATAGCCCATGGAACTTATCGAGGTCAGCAGATTGGTCAGCTTTTCGACGTCATCGCGACCGCCGGAGTCGGGTAGCGCGGGAGTACCGGAAGAATAGATATAAGACAAACAGTAAAATGAAGCGATCAAGACCGCTCGGGAAGGAGAAATGGGCAGGAGGATGGCGATAGCATGGCCGAGGGAATGTTGTTGCATCGCAGACCTTCGAAACCCAAACGGAGGTTGGTTGGGCCCGTGTCGCCCAATCAGCGCCGGGTCACGCCCACCGGGTCACGTGGGCGTCCCTATCGATAACTTTTTTTTTTTTCTTTACATTTTCCCATCTGTTGGTCTTGTTGATCGCGACTCCAGGAAAGTGCACCAGCGCCGTCATGAAGCTTTCCAACCAGTCTGAGGTGCCGGTATACACCATATCCGGCTCGAATACCGCTCGTCCACTTCCAGAATGGCTTGCCAGACGACGCAAGCGCAGTTTGAAAAATGATCCGGAGTATGCGAATCGAGTCGAGCTGCTTCAGGATTTCGAATTCGAGGAAGCTAGCCAATGTATTCGGGTCAGTGAAGATGGCGAATGGGTCATGAGCACGGGTGAGTCTTCTCAACTGTTTATAACTTTCTTAATTAAATATTTGAGATTCTTTGCGACTGACCAACTTCGTCCAATCCAGGTACCTATAAACCTCAAATTCACACCCATCATCTCCCGCAGTTGTCGCTTTCATGGGCTCGTCATACGGATGCCCTGAACACAACCTTCATCCTCCTCTCGTCCGACTATTCAAAATCCCTCCACTTGCAATCCGACCGTTCCCTTCAGTTCCATACACCCGCCGGATGTCATTACACTACGAGACTTCCCCGCTACGGCCGTGACCTGATCTACGACAAATTTTCCACGGATGCGTTGATTCCCTCTGTCGGTGTGAACCAGGATGGAATGGGTGAGGTGTTCCGACTGAACCTCGAAATGGGTCGTTACATGCGCAGCTTCGAGGTCGACGTCGGTGGTGACGATTTCACGTCGACCGGCGGAGGAGCTTTGCAGGGTGGTATCAACACGGGAGCGGTCAACACGGGAGCCATCGCCGAGGACAGTCACGGTCTTCTGGCCTTCGGAACCACGCTAGGAACCGTCGAGCTATGGGATCCCAGAGCCAAGGGCCGAGCGGGCATTCTACTACCACCTACACAATCAGGGCCCGACGATCTGCGGTCTGAGATTACGGCACTGGAGTTCCATCGCTCGGGCTTGACTCTCGGAACTGGATCCTCCAACGGTCTCATTCACCTCTACGATCTCCGATCTCCGGTTCCTCTTCTTAAGAAGGATCAAGGATACGGTTTCCCCATTCACACGCTCAAATTCCTTCAGCCATCGACATCCGCCCGTGAGCAGACTATGGAACCCAAAATTATGTCGGCGGACAAGAAGATCATCAAGCTTTGGGACCCGCGGGATGGCACTCCTTGGACGTCTGTGGAGCCTGCTGTCGACATCAACTCCGTCGCCTGGTGTAAGGACAGCGGAATGCTCTTGACCGCCAACGAAGGCCGGCAGCAGCATGCGTTCTTCATCCCCCAACTTGGCCCCGCACCCAGATGGTGCTCGTTCTTGGATAACCTGGTGGAAGAGATGGCCGAGGACCCCAACGATCCCAACTCTTTCAGCACCGGCCAGGCTGGTTCGGTTTACGACAACTACAAATTCTTGACTATTCCTCAGCTGAAGACTCTGAACCTGGAGCACTTGATTGGCCGGACCAATCTCCTGCGTCCTTACATGCACGGTTACTTTGTGGCTCAGCGCTTGTATGAAGAGGCCCGTCTGATCACCAACCCGTACATCTGGGAAGAACAGCGCGCCAAGCGAGTCAAGGAGAGAATCGACCAGGAGCGTGAGAGTAGAATCCGCGGCAAGAAGAAGGCCGCCGTCAAAGTCAACAAGAGACTCGCCGAGAAACTCATGGCCATCGAAGACAAGAGCGAGCGTCGCAAGGCCCAGCGCGTGCTCAACCGTGGCGGCGACGAAGACATGGTCGATGCCCCTGCGACCACCGACAAGCCCGAGCCCGAGCCCGAGCCCGAACGGAAGGGTATTCTCGGCGACAGCCGTTTCACCCAGCTGTTCGAGGACGAAGATTTCGCCATCGACGAAACCTCTCGCGAATTTCAGCTGCAAAACCCCAGCACCGTTCCCGACCAGTCCACCCGGAAGGAGCGAGGCCTCACGGCCGTGGAGCAGGAAGCGATCGACGACGTGCCGGGCTCGAGCTCCGATGACGACTCCGACTCCGACAGGGAGCAGCAAGCACAGCCCGTCCAAGAAAAGCCCTCCAACAAGTTCTCTACCTCGTCCTACAAGCGCAACAACAAGTCCCACCCGCGCATGCAGGTTTCATCCTCCAACGCCGCCAACTCTTCCCGCGATCGTTCTTTCGGTTCTCGCGCGCAGAATATGGGCGGCAAGCAGAAGCCTGCGCGCCGTGGCGGCGGCGGCGTGGTCGGCGAGAGAGAAGTGACGTTCGCGCCGCGTGTGGCGTCCAAACGAGCACCGGCGGCACCACAATTCGACAAGACCAGTTTCAAGGCAAAGGAGCGACGAAGCGCATCCGGAAACACGTTCCGAAAGATGTGATTCATCGCATCTATTACGAAAAAGCCTTGTTTCCATGTTCCAATCGATACCCCTACCTACTTTGTGTAGCAAAAGCAAACCAAAAAGCAACAAGGCGTTTAATGAAATTTGGAACCGACGATGGAAGGATTTCCCAGTCTCTTCTCTCGTCACAACGTATTGTTCCCAGTGACCAGGTCTCCCTACAACACCTTTGAGTCTACCTATCAAGTGCAGGGAGTATCTGCCCTCCTGCGGTCCTGCAAGCATTTATCCTGTACCTTCCGCTTACCTCGGGCTTGCTGCCTCTGCACCGCCACTGTTGGTGCTGACCTCACCCGCTCAATATAGTTAGTTGGGAAAGCGCACCTAATGCCTGGATACGTCGGTGGCGTCAGAGATCTTATTCGAGTCCTCACAAACAAGGACGTTTAGGACGACCCCTTAAACGACAAATGGAAAAGGCAAATGGAACGAATGATATGTACGAGAGGAAAGCTGGATCCTGTGTATAATGTACTGTATATATGACCTAGAACCAAAAGAATTGCATTACGCCTTGAAGTTTATACAAGTTCAATCATTTAGTTACACCAATTCAGCTATCTGTCAGCCAAGAAAAGAGGTTGAAAAACTCTAGGACGAAAGAATTTTGACCAAGATATTCAAATTGTGTCACTGTTTCTGATAATAGATCAAAATAGATAGTAAATAGAAGGCAAAAATCCATCCAACTCCAGACCTATTAATAGGGCATCATCAAAGACAAAAAACCAAATCATACTCATAGGGATGCTGTAATTACATACCAAAAAATGCACAGGTTAAAAGGAGAAAGAACAAGAACAAGCGTAAAAACATTTCACAAGAATCTAAAACAAATAAAAGGGCGATATTAGACTCCAAAACGCAAGATGCCCAGGTAAAAAGATTTTGAAAACAGCCAAAAAGAACGAAGCCTCCGTGCCATTTCTATTCTCCAAACCTTGTTTCATCACGGTGTTGCTCGCATGCGCGTATCAGTCTATAAGAACAGCTGCCCTGGCTTAAATGGCACGAGGAAAGGATGAGAAGAAAATCAAAATCAAAAACGTGGTATAAGATCAAATGCGGTAGTAGGCTGAATCCTGTTCAAATGCCAAGAATGTAAAGAAAATGTAGAGAGGAAGGAAGAATGTGAAGGGGGGAGAGGGAGAGAGAGAAGTGACTTCGAGAAAAAGCAGCGTATTCACATTCAGGACCCGATGTGGTATATTCTACCAGACGTGAAATCCTGCTAATCCTCCTCGCCGACCGCTGCCTCGTCTAGATGCGCTGGAACCACCAGTATCCGCGGAGTGATTGCCATGTCGACCCTCTTCGAAACTGCGGCGAGAGGCGCCGAAATCGCTCATCGCAAATAGCAAGGGCTCATCCTCTTCCGCTGGCTGGGGAGGTCCACCACGACCGGCACTAGGTCGTCGTCCAGCCCCGCGGCGTTCATCCAAGGCGGAAGTTCCGCTGTTGCTGCCGCTCCCGGTCCCTTCGCGGTCATTGTCACGGTCTGCCGCGTACGGCGGGACCATGGCTCCACGCGCGAGACTGCTCGAGCCCGAACTGAGAGAATGAGAATGAAGACCACCGGAATACCCTCGACCACGAGAACTGCTAAAGCGTGGTTGGTATACGTGGTGATGGGTCGACGATGTAGAAGCGACTGTGGCTCCGGAGGCTAATGAACTTCGATGCTGAGCCGGATCATGCGCCGTTGAGGTCGCAGTCACGTCCGGGTTATCGGTCAGCGGCGTAGTACGCAGCTGCTCCTGCGTTTGGTCCACGTTGGTCTCATTGGTCTCGTACTCATGTTGCCGATGGAGTGCACTCAGACTGAGATTAGACCTCTCTTCGGCTCCCAAGCTCACGCTTCGCATGTTGAAGGGGAAGATCTCGTCTTCGTCAACAGCGATCGTGCGGCGGCGGTGTGCGGCAGAGCTAGAGCGACGGTAGACGGGAGGGAAGACCCTCGGCGACGTGGGAATGTCGATTGGGTTCACGGCGGATGGCGTTCGCTCCGTTCCATCGCTGTTCTCGTCGAGGGAGGAGTCCTGTTCTCCAGGCAAGGCCCGTTGGTCGGGGTGATTGGGGTCATTGTAATCGACAATACTGTTGGAGCTGAGGCGAGAGGGGATGGCCGGAGTGTGTGGCGTATGAGGGGATATTGGCTTTCCGGGTGACGACGCCGTGGAGATGGATGTGCCGGCCACCATGGGGGGAACGCCCGAGAGCTGCTTGCTCGAAGAATTGGATGAACGCTGCAAAAGCAAGGAAGACGACATTGAGTCTGAAAGAGCTGCATTCGAATCTCTCATACGCTGGAATCGGGTTAAAGCGGCACTGGTGGCAGTGGTTCTACGCGCAGCAGCGTCAAGAGTGGTGGACTTCGAAGGGTTTAACAGATCCTTTTTCAAATCAAGCATTTTCAAGAACTCAGAGATATTCTCATCGTCCGCATGGATGGACTCTGCACTCGTGCCCGTTGCTTCTGCGAGTAGGCCAGAGCCAGGCTGGGCAGAAGACGTCGCACTGGCTTTGCCACTAGAGGTATCGTCCTCAGCCTTGATTCCACCGGAAGAGGGCCTACCTCGGCGATGGCTGAAAGCGCTACTATATCTCGAGATCGGAGCGGGTCGCGGAGACGCGGAGTTGGAGGAGGCAATGGCATTGTCCGGGGCCGCGATTAGGGACCTGCGCGCCGACGCGGCCATCGATGGGGGAGGCATAGTCCGAGCCTCGGTGCGCGATCCTGGCCCCGAGCGCGGAGAAACGCCAAGTGGAGGGTCGACCAACGACGGTGAGGCAGATAGCGGCGGGGCTTTGAACGGTTGGAAGGAAATGGACGGTCGTCTTCCAATCCCGGGACTGCCTTCTCCGGCGAGGACAGCGGCACGGCCGGCAGGACTAGCCTTGGCCATGGACAGAGGTCGACGAGAAGAGGAGCCAGGCGGGGAGGGAGACGACGTGCCTGAATTCCTTGCAGCCCGGAGCGCGGAAATTGGGCTTGCACTTGTCGTAGGTCCGACATGGTGGAAAGTTGACAGGCTCCCGTACGCCTGGCTTGGGTCTGGATCATCGACGGTTCTCTTCTCCAGTGGTACCGACCCAAGTTCAGGATTCGGTGCTTTGGCATGCAACTCTTTGTTCGGTAACGATGGACGAAAGATTTCATCGTCAGCTCCCATGAAACGTGAGCTGAGCAAAGCCTCTGCATCGTCCACTCTAAAGTCACAACTGGTTCGATAAGTGACTTGCACTGAAAATGGACCAGCAGGCGATTCCGTGACCCCAAAACTATACGTTTCCACCACCTTATTATTTCCTTCAAAGAGAGGAATAGTCAGGTGATCCGGCTTGGGGGTGTCTTGAGGAGCTTTGCCACTGAGGAGTCTATATTTGATGCGTAGGGCCGGGTTGGCCCGCAGCCGTCCATTGCGTTTGGCAAACTTCCAAGCGGGCAAGAATTTGGAATACGCATATAAAGATCTGAAGAGCACGATGCTCTTTTTGTATATCGTCGGCAAGATAGAAGCAAGATCAGTTGGGAGCCGGTTGGACGTATCTCCCAGCTCAACTCTCCACCGCTCCAAAATGACATCATCGGATTTGGAAGATGGAGGTCGAACGGGCTGTGCCTCTCGTGACGTTGCGAGAGATTCAAGCACATCCCATCGCTTCCCATTCTCATCTAATGCAACAAGACTCTGATTATTTGTGAGACCTGCCGTATCCAGGTAGGTTTCGATGATTAAAGGAGGGGGTCGATTCTCGGTCGCATCACATATCCTCCACGTCCGCAACTGTTCTCGAAGAGCATCCGTATCCTCCATCTCGACATTGAACTACAGAAGCGGCGGTATCAGTATTCTGCATAGTATTCTGGGAGATAAGAGGCGCTCTGTGAGGTTGGAAAAGGGCGCCGCCCTGAACGTAGCCAGCCTTGGGATATGGGGGTACGTACCCAGCGGTTCACTTTCGGGGCGTCGGAGCCCTTGACAAACGACGGTGGGAGTTCGACTCGCGAATGCAATATGATCAAGGCGGCTTTAGTGTGATAATTCTGCCCGGGGAAAGAAAGAGGAGAGTTATCAGCAGACTGTCCATCCAAGGATCCAAGATTCAGGGTCATACCGAGATGATCTGATTGAGCTTTGCCAGCGCCTCCTTTCCAGGCGGGGTACTCTGCGACTGCTCCGAGGCAGGCTCCGTCTCAATGCCCAGGCCTCTGCTATGTTGTATGCGGACATCGGCCGTGGGGGAATTCGGGCGGAAATCGGGGTCTCTGCGATCGGCAGAACGAGATAAGCTCGACCTGCTCGAGGCAGGCGCTTGCGGCGCCGGCGACCGTGGATGTTGATGCATGGTCGGTCTGTAGAAAGGACCGGCGAGTCTCTGAAATGTTAAAAAAAAAAGTCTCCTATAAGAAGTGTGGTGGTGGTGACGACACCAGGGTCGGGCTATCACGCAACGGATCTCTCAATCAGGAAGGAAACGGAGAAGCGACGAATGCGCTGCCGCGGTCCATGCTAACGAACCCAAAAGAAAATCGTGGAGACGGGCGATAAGGCAGCAGAGGGGCAGACGGGGTTATCTAGCGCCCTAGATAGCAGGCATACACAGGAAAGATTGAAGGTAGACGCCAAAGGGCTCAGGCAACAGGGCGTTGGAGCATTCGGAGAGCATGCGGTCTAGACAACCTTGCGAGCTTCTCCGCATTAACGAACGACTAGGCGGGAACCAGTCGTCTCTGGGGGGCGTCCTCACGGTGTGAGAGGAGGCAGAATTCAGGGAATCATGATGACAATCAATGATATTCAAAATTCCAGAAGAAGATAAATAAGAGGGGAGAGGAGAAAGGGGAGGAAGAAAGATAGAGAGAGAGAAAGAGAGAGAGAGAGAGAAAGAGCGAAAGAGCGAAAGAGAAGGGGAGGATGAAACAGGAGGAGGTAAGTCAAGCGGTACGGGAGCGACCAAGTCTGTGACGCACACCCGGTGACTCGACGGTTCGTGTGCAAGCGGTCAGTCAGTCAGCCTGACCAGAGGTGCCACCGATGAAGACAAAAAATAATTATTAACTTAATAAATTAAATTAACGATTTAATCTCAGCAAATAAATTCATCCAAAAATAAGAAGTTCAGATTGCTCTGGGTAACCAGTCACCACCAGTAAGGGATATCTGCTGTAAGTCCTGTCTGTATAGTACTACGATCAATCAATCGTCAAAGGCGGTAAAGGACAGGCGCACCTGCAGTAGTTCTGGTATCGTTCCGTATTTACCGCCTCTAGCTCAGGTACCGCCCTCTCTCCACAGGCCTTCGCTCTTCTTGGGAGTACTATGTACTTACCTCCCTGCACTCCTGGAGAGCCTTTGGAGGCGTGAGGATGATCAATCTGGTAGGACTTTGATTCAGTGTCCGGGTCACGCCTGAAAGTGCACATGTCTGGATGACGTATTGTCACGTTATTGCCCTCCATATTCATTCCATCATGGATAGGTATGGTAGGTTATTACCTGTTTGATAGTGGAATCCCTGACAACTGGCACGGGGTCTGGTCTTCCTGTGTACTTCCAGTGTACGGTACAAAATATTTCCAACTGACTCATTATTCTTAGTTCTTACTGCGTACTTGATAGCTCTCAAAAACAGAAAAAGCAGAAAAGTTACCGCTTGCGCCAGGGCGATCAATCCACCCGCATGACAGGGTCCTTTGTTACCCGCCGTTTTCCTCTCCCTTTCTTTCTTTCTTTCTTTTCTTCTTTCCTTGTCGTTTCCGGCCCTCAACGGAATCCCGTTTAGGCCTTTCCCCTTGGACTGGAGACGGAACAATAATCTAGGAGATTTAACCAGCTGTCAAATTCGACACAACGTGTGCCAGTGTCCAAGACTCTAAGCCCCTTGAAATGGAGAGAGACCGGTGGACCGTCGCCCAGGGTGCTGGGACTGGTCGCCTCACTGTAACGAAGTGGAGAGTGGATAACTGAACTATCCAGGACAATCCGGTCCCATTCTGCTCCATTTTGTACTATACTCAATACTCAGTACTCATTACTTCCTGTACTTTCCTGGACAAAGTTACACGGAGCATCGGCGTCCAGCATACTCTGCGATCTGGGAGTGGTCAAACCCGGGCAACAAGCGCCCATGCGCTGCGCCGGGATGGCAAAGGCTGCATGAGACCTCCTGGGTACTTCCTTGGGATCGCGGAAGATAACAACGCAGTAAGCGACCTTGCAGAAGGGCGCTTCCAGGACTTCCCCGTCTAGGCTTCTGACTCCTTGACCTCCTTCGCTCCACCGCCAACCGCCAATCCCTGGCCGTCTCCCTCTTTTGCCTATGCACGCACTTGCGGCGGTATTTGGGTTGGGATGGCCGTCTGGAGTAACCTCTACGTAGGGGCTACGATTGAGCCCATCTGAATAGTGCCAGAGACTTGGACACGCTTGTTTGGCGCCAGCTGGTAATGCAGCTCAGCTGTACCTTTGTCTTCTTCTTCTGTCTCTTCCTTTCCGGGGTTTGGCAGGTGAGGATTGACTTGTTTGCTTGTGGAGATCTAGCTTTTCTTTTCATTGCTTTTTTTCATTCATTTCACTTCTTTTCTTTTTTTTTTTCTTTTTTTTCTTTTTTTTTGGGTTTTTTGGGGTTTTTTTGGGTTTTTTTTTTGTAATGTATAGTCCTCTTCTAATCTCGTCTCTCGATCTCGCCCTAGCCCTTTATTGAATCCTTCTTATTTTATTGATTTATTTTTTGGTACATTTTGGCTTGTTTCCTAATACGATCTTCTGCATTCCATTTGTCGTCACTTGTTCAATCCCTCGCAATGGGACAGTTATACTGGGGGAACCTGGGCGTACGGAGTACTGAGTAGAGAATCGTTAGCAGGAGGGTAGTGGACGATCTCCAGAGTCCAGAACGCCTTCCGGTACTCTCGCTCTCTCCACTGATGCACACGGTGCACTACTCCGTAGGAAGACATCCTCACTCTTTCCACTCCCCGTCAATCAGAAAGCCGAATCATATCAGTGGCGATGACGCTACCTGTACTGTACTTCCACTTGTCACTGCCAGATCATTCGATCCACCGGGTGCATCCCCTAGTGGTACTCCAGACTCTGGAGTAGTAAGATATATACTGCGTAATGTTCTGCTATACTCCGTCGTCGTCACGGGATCGGACCGGATCATGTGATGCCTGGAATCCCTTCCAGGCTTCTTGATTCTTAATGAGTAAACCCTGACGAGATTCCAGACCGATGAATGCGGTAGGAATCATCTCTGTAAGACAATGTCGGCCTCTCGTCTGGGGGCATGGAGGGGCATCGCCAGCGATTGGCTGCCGACCGACCGAGCAGATCCACGGGCGTCGAAGTCCTTCCGCGGTCATTTCTCCCTCTCCCTCTCCTCATCCAAGGAATGACTGAAATAACGTCCTCTCGTATATAGAGAATCCCCCGCCTTCTCGTTCCCCGTCGTCCGTGTCGAACTTGTCGCCTGTTACGCGCGAACCGTCCGCTTCTGTCGAACCCTGCGGTTCCCCGCCGTTCGAGATCGAATTTCGGAGATAATCATCGTGCTCTGTTACTAGTCACATAGCTAGGTAACGCATCATCGCCACCACACATTCGACACGTTTCGCTTTTGTCCGTCGCGCGTCCTCTCCCATCCATCATTTCAACTTCACCCGTCCGAGCTTTCGAGAATCGTCCTGCGGTACTGGCGACGCGTTGATCCCCGTCACTTCCGCCCCTCATCCTCCCTCACTCGGTCAGAATACTCTTATCTCCCGCAGTACTCTTACCAGTGCGCCGTGAACCCTCGGTGGTTACCGCGACGCTCCGGTCCTGGGTTGATAAGAGTTTCTGACACCCGACAATCCTGGGCACATGAGTAGCAAGCTTTGGGAATTTTTCCTGCGCGATGACGTCGAGAACTTCCAGCGGTTCCTGGCGACCGCCAGCTACACGTCGGGCGGCCAGCGGACTCCGGGTGCTGGAGGTACTTCTTCGTTCAAGATCGGGGCATCCGGAGCCTTAACGCCCTCCTCCCCTGGCGTCTCTGTTAGATCCAAGAAGCTCACCGGCACCTCTCCCGGTACTCCCACCCCCGAGCGAGGCGGCAGTTCGCGACCGAGCAAGACTTTGTCTCGAGAGGAATTGAATGCACGGGACCAGCATGGCCGGACTCTCCTCCACCATGTGGTGTCATCCACCAAACCTTCGAGTGCTGAGTTTGCTGCCTCGCTTCTCGAGGTGCCGTTTCTGGATATATATGCACAAGATTGGGAGAGTGGGTGGACTGCACTGCACCGGGCCTTGTATGCGGGGAACGTCACGATCGCCCAGGCGTTGATAGCCCGGGACATGCGCGATGCAACGGACTTCAGTAAACAGGGCACCTCGGCTCAGGCTGGAGGCTTGATCAAGATCAAGGATCGGGAGGGGAACAGCCCTTTTGACGTTTATGGCGCCACGATCACATCCCGCGACATCAAGCAGACCGTGACGTCCCCCACCCAGGACTCCATATTTGTGGACGTGGATCATAGCGATGTGGCGTCTACTACGTCTTCCGAGGTAGACGATTCGGACGACGACGGCCACATTGGAAGAGGCCTTTTGAAGCCGCGGACAAATTTACTCGCTGATGAAGTGTTTACCTTTGGAAGCAACAAGAACTTGAATCTTGGCGTGGGTGACCAGGATGATCGCCAATTTCCAGAGAGAATCGCTTTGACACGCCCACAGCATCTCTTGCAGCGATTCTATCGGGATTACCAAAAGAGAAAGCTGGGTGGCAACGGCTTGGATTCGCACCATGAGCAGAACCATCCCAACGGTTTGCCCGCCTTGATCAAGAACAAGTCCATCAAAATCCAAGATATTGCCATGTCAAAGCTTCACACGGCCATTCTTACAAATGACCCTGAGTCCAACCTTTTCTTGTGCGGATTCGGACCGGGAGGACGATTAGGCACTGGCGATGAGTCGACCAGATTTGGTTTTGTCTGTATCGAGACAGGGGGGCTAGCTAATCGAAAAATTGTGGCTGTGGCCCTTGGACAAGACCATACTCTTGCAATCACTGATCATGGGGGTGTCTTCAGTTGGGGAAGCAACAAATGGGGCCAATTAGGCTACGGTCTTCCCAGGACCAACAACAAAGACGACGTGCCGATTCAGGACTCCCCTCGCCAGATCTTCAACCCGTTCAAGAAGGAGATCATACTCGGTGCAGCCGCCTCGTCGATTCATTCAGTTGTCTTCAGTCATGCGGGTCTTTACACATTTGGTAAAAATGAGGGTCAACTGGGACTTGTCGATTCGGATGCCCGATCGCTCGAAACCCAAACAACCCCACGGCGTGTCGGTGCCTCGCTATTCAGCGCGGTCATTCAAAGCGTGTCTGCTATCGATCAAGCCACAGCTGTTCTCCTGCAAAACCATGAAGTCTGGGTGTTCTCTCAGTATGGCTATTCAAGGCTCTCTTTTCCCTTGGATGTCAGCTCCAGTTTTATCAGGAACAGTTTCATGACCACTCGTTACGATACATCTGTCAACCACATCGCCAAAATCAGATCCGGTGGCGATACTATCTGTGCCTTGTCTAGCTCCGGTGATGTTTTTACCGTCCAAATTAACAAAACGGAGAACCTACCAGCGTTAACATCGACAACGAATCCAGCCAAGATTCGTAACTCGCTGTCGCATCCGTCTCGCGTATGGTCTGTTAAAAAGGCCCATATGGCCGTCAGGGATGTCGATGTTGGACAGGATGGTTCCATAATCATCTGCACGGCCAACGGCTCGGCATGGCGTAAAGAAAAACGTCGAAAAGCAAAGGATGGATCGTCGAAGGAGTACAAGTTCGCTCGTGTACCTGGGCTCTCCCGAGTCGTGGGAGTGTGTAGTAATGCGTTTGGCGCCTATGTAGTCGCTCAGCGTGACTGCGACGTGACAAGAGAACAAATCAACATCGACCCAACTACCTTGTCGAATGATCTGTTGCCGATATCTCCGTTCAGCTCATTTATATCGGCAACCGATGAAATCGATCTGGGTAGTGCCGAGAGCAGTCTATTGGACTTGGAGCCGGTCATGTCAATCAAGGCAGCCGTTATGTCGGTATCGGATATTGAAGCTTTCGCTCGGCCACTCCAACATGAGAATTCGCCGGGAATGGTTTCGCTCAAAACCACCCTTTCGGATGTGCAAATACCCGTGCACGAGTTCATCCTATCAGGGCGCAGTCCCGTCTGGAGGAAAGCATTCCATGAGTTTCGGCTCGCAGGTTTCTTTTCCATTCCGGACGTTCTAGATGTGCGGCATGACAATGGGCACACCCAAATTCTCTTCCATGGCATTGACATTCTGACGGTCTTGAATGTCGTGTTCTTCTCATACACGGACGCTGCGTTAGATGTTTGGCAACAGGCTCGACACACACCGCAGAGCGCCTCCAGATATCGTCAAGTCCGGACTGAATTGATGCGCATTGCTACGTGTTTAGATCTACCGGCATTGGAGCGAGCCACTCGGCTTATGATTGAACCTGCTAAATCCTTGAAAAGCGACATGGCACTTGCGATACTTGACCCAACCTTTTTTGAAAGCGGCGACGTGATCATTGAGCTGAAAGGCGATTCCTTGAAAGTTCATAGCCAAATCATCTGCCAAAGATGCCCCTTTTTTGACGCCTTGTTCAACGGTCGCTCCGGTGGTAGATGGCTGGCATCTCGCCGGGAAAACGGGACAGGACTCATCAATGTCGACCTTAAACATATCGAACGGCCCATCTTCGAGTTTGTTCTTCGATACATGTATGCCGATATCGAGGAGGAATTGTTTGATGAGGTGCGGACGAAGGATCTTGAGGACTTTATCGACCTTCTGCTCGATGTTGCCTTTGTGGCCAATGAATTGATGATTGATCGACTGGCGCAAATATGCCAGAAGGTGCTTGGTAGATTCGGTAGGTTACAAACGTCCCCGGTTTTACTTTGGACATGTTGCTAAGATAAACCAGTGAACACGCGCAACGTGTGTCATTTCCTCAACTCCGTTGCCCCCTGCTTTGTGCCCGAATTCAAAGATGCCGCGCTGGAATATATTTGTCTCAATCTGGAGGATCTCCTAGCAAATAGGCAAGTAATATCCGGTTGTACATTTATCTAGTACTTACTAACTAGTTGTCTAGGTATCTGCTGGTCCTTGACGAGCATTTGCTTCGTGCACTCGACCATGTCTGTCACGAAAACCAAATCACCAGCTATCCCGTTTCCCGGGGGCGCAATTCAGAGGAGTTCGTCTTCGAAAAGTATCCGGAGCTTGCCTCTGAGATAGAAAGCGATAGGCGCCGACGAATTGATTCCATGCGGATCAGGTCCCATATTAATCGGATCGAAGCCCTGGAAGGCAAATTGCGAGCAATGAACATAGAGAAGACAGCCGAATCACCATTAGCACAAAAGACAAAACCTTCTCAATCCGGAGACAACCTTGCTATTGCCGCCCAAAGTCCTGCTCTGAAACCCAAGCAGTCAAGCAATGATCTCATGTTTCAAATGGATGATGACAATATACTGTCACCAGGTGACTCGATCAAAGGAAAAGCAGCGGTGCGAGGCATCCGCCAATTTGATGCAAATGAGGGCCGCTCACGCTTCGACTCGCCGACTTCGCGAGCTGGGATGGTGGATACAGAGTCATTTGGCGATCAGAACTACCTGGATGGTCAAATGGCTTCTTCGCAAGATACAGCTCTCGGCGAGTCCCCAACTGAATATCGAGCTGCCGCCGTTAAGGATAAAAGGAATGGATCTTTCCAAGGCGCTTGGACTTCGTCGGATCTCGCGACCTCGAAGAAGAATCTCAAGGACATCATGAGCGAGGTTTCCGAAACCCGGGTGTCCAATTTGAGCCTAGGCATGTCCGATCGCCGAGAAAACAGTAGCAACTTTATCCCCAAAATATCGCAGAAAGAACGCAAGAAGATCCAACAGCAGCAGATGCAGGACATGTTTGCTGCGCAGCAAAAAGCCAAAGAAGCACCCCAGAACCCCTGGAAGCTACCTGACCCGAACAAGACCCCAAGCAAATCGTCGCCTTTCGCCAGCGTTAATGAAGAGGAAAGCCCAGTCTCCGAGGCAGCCAAGTCAGCTCAGAAGCCCTCGATGACACTTCGCCAAACGGTTGCTGGAACACCGCCACCCCCGAGAGCTAGCCCCGGGGCAACAAGGCCGGTTCAGATTCAAGGCCGCAGCGCGTCTACCAGCTCTGGTCCGCCACCGAGATCATCAGTCTCTGGTCCTTCAGCGGCACAACCCCCCTCGTCCTATCCGAATCCATCCGCCAATCCCCAGCGTGCTCCCCAGTCAATCCGACACATTCCGCGTCCCGAGCCATACAAAAAGAGCTTCCACTCCGACTCGCCCAATTCAATGTCGTTATCCGCCATCCTCATGCAACAGCAGACCGAGAAGGACGAGATCCGAGAAGCCGCCACTGCCAAACACAATCTGGAAGACATCCAAGCCGAGCAACAATTCCAAGAATGGTGGGACAAGGAAAGTCGCCGAATCCAAGGTCTCCCTGACCCAGAAGAGCTTGCCCCTCAACAAGAAGGTGAAACTCGCGGCTGTGGATCAGGCCGAGGAGGAAGAGGAGACCGAAGTAAAGGGTCATCCGGACAACAACGCAAGAAACGCGGAAAGCCGACCCCTACACCGCATCCCCCATCTTCGACTCCTGCAGGAACTTCCAGTCCTGGTGTCTCTGCCTTATCTCAACAGCTCCCGCGCAACCCTAAACCCGATGGACCTGCGTCTCAGAAACAAAAACCCCCTTCTGGACCCCGTCGAGAGAAACAGCCTCGTTCGGCGTCATCTGGTGGGAAAGAAATTACTTCTGCTACCCCTACTGCCCCTGTTGCCGCTATGGGCAACCGTCCCCGTCGTGGTGGTAGAGGCGGCGGTGGCGGCCGAGGTCGAGGCAAGGACCGCGGAGAAAGACATCATAATGCCCAACCTGCTCCTACTCCTACTCCTACAACTACCTAGGTATTGTGATCACGACTACCTACTACTTCCCCACCTTGCGATATGTACTTGTTAGTCTCGACCATTTAGCTCTGTTTCTTTCTTACACTTCTGCCAAATACCACTGGTCTTACTACGCATCTATTTATTTGTACACCAACTTGTTCAATCTGACCCTACGATAATATGTCATTATGTTCTGATATGGGCTTGTTAATAGATTCCTATTGTTTAGACAAAAACAAAATAAGAATACTCAATGTGTTAGTAATTTGATCAAATTTAGCTCTGTGAAGGCCAAAGTAACTGAAGTGAAGTTAATTACAATATTAGAAGAGGTAGAAACCCATCTATACTGGTAGGTCAAGAATAAACAAATAGCTGAGAAAGAGAAAAAGAAGAAAACAGACCCAGACATTGAAAAGCAGATAAGACAGACAATTCTTCTGGAGCGGGAGAAAGGGGAAAAAGGTAATTAGAAAAAACCAGTATAAAATGATACTTCAACCACATCGTGAAGAGAATTAGAGACAGTAAGAATGGGAAGGCCCGAAAACCCGAAAGAAGAAACGCCAGAACGACCTCGTACGCTAAGCAGAAGAATCAAATGCAAATTGCGGTATCTGAACGCCAGGTTTGCTGGAACAGGAAAACACGTATGAATAAAACCAAGGATCAAAGCCGAATATGTAGGCTTGCAGAAATGTAGTGTACATATTAAGAGGGAAGACCCGTCTAGCCGGATTCAGCAACTTCACGACTTTCCCACATGCGACGGATCATCATTTCAGTCTCGTTGCTGAAGTAGGGTGGTGGTGCTGCATCTTCGGGCTCCTCTTCGCCCGCAGGATTATTGTGAGTTGTTTCATCGGAGGTCGAGAGAATGCGGTGAGAGGGATGCTGGGGCGCCTTCGCAGGTTGGCCCGTCTCGGTGGTATCATTGACCAGCTCTTCGGGGTCTTGCAGATATGTTTGTGAAGCGGATGTGCGTATAGCTGCCTGCTTCCGGCCCATGAGCTGCCTGGGCTCCGGGCTGGGACTGTTTTGACCGAGTTTCTGCTGTTTACCGTCTTGCAAATGGGTCAACGCGGGAGCAGATTTGATCGGTTTACCGAGTGAAGAGTGTCGCTGATGACCGAGGTTCGGGCCGTTCAAGTCGTTGAGGATGAAATTCAACCGGCGGAAGCTGTCTCCCGTGGGGGACTGGAAGCGTCGAACCACCGTCAGCTCTAGCGAGGTCTTTTCGTATGCCTTGCGAATATGCTTGGTCTCATTGTCATGAACCACGCCGCCAGACCGGGCGGACCCATTCACCAGGCCACGTCCGGGATCAAACGGACCGGCACCCGGGCGCGTAGCGATGTAGTTCGGATCCATGGTGGATGGAGTGACGGTCGTGGAGACTCCATGAGCATCGGGAGGGGAGGTGTTAAGAGCCGCCGTCCGCTGCAGCCAAAGCTTCTGTTGCGTGCGGGAGGGCGGTTCGGTACCCGGGGCTCGGGTCGGAGGAGACGCACGAGATCGCCTCGAACTCGAGGCACGGTTCGGCGACGGAGGAGTTTGCGGGTGATAATGTGGTAAGAACGAGGAAGGAGTATTGGGGTCCGAGTCCGTGCGGACCGAGGCGTGAAAACCAGTCTTGATGAACCTGGAAACACCCCCTTCGATCGAAGACGAGGTTGCCTGGGCCGGAGTGCCGGGAGTATTGGCCAAGGGCGGATTCGAGGACGATAGAGGGCGTCGGAGACCATCCGGGCCGGTCGCGATGTTGGTCAGGGAGGCATTACGGGAGATGGAGTCAACGGCGGTCGGTTTCACCGTGGCGGAGATAGACGACATGGCGGGCGGGGCTTTGGCGGAGTGAGACGGACTCAACAAGCGATTAGCAATGTCGGCGTGGTCGAGCGCACGGCCAGCGGCGTCCTCTTGTTCTTCGGTATCCTGGGAGGGGCGCGTTGTTTTGGTGTCAGAGTCGTCGTCGTCGTCGTTTTCGTCGTCGTCTTCGTCGGTATGACCTTCCCCAAAACTCTTACTGGTCGACTCCGGAAGGCTGGTCGCTCGAGGGAATTGTGGGTAGGGACGTTTGACAAAGGTAAGAGGATCCACCAACACTGCTGCAGCGTTCTCCACGCTCTCCTTGGACTGGGCGACCGAGCTTCGTCGGGTACTTTCTGGCGACTGAGTGGTATCCTCCCAGTCGCCGTCGTCGTTGTCGGAGTCCGCCAGCTCGAATCCTACGGTCTTCTTCTTGCCGGAGCTGGAGTTGGGACGAGACGTCACTAGGGCCTTCTTGCCGACGACACCGCCGGAGTTGGTTCGTCGAAGAGCGGGGCTAGAGTTATTCTTCTTCATCGAAGCCGTGGTAGGATGACTGTCCACCGCCCCATCCCAGCGGACGTGATTTTGGCCCCGAGGGCTGGTGGCGGGCGTGGCAGGGGCGGACTTTTTGCGTTGGTGGTAGCGACCGGTCGTCGTCGTTGTTTCCGGCAACTGAACCGAGGTATGGGAAGTATGACGCTGAATTTTCGCGAGATTCTTGGCGTGGGAAGGATTTCGGTGGTGATTTCGGTGACCACCGACGACGTGCGGGCGATGAGGACGAAGAGGAAGTTTCTGGTGGGAGGAGTGCGAGTTGGCCAACTCGTTTTGCTGTTGCGTGGAGCGCGTGACGACGGCGTGTGAGGAGACCGCACGGCGGCCCAGACCGGGGCGCTTGACGGGCGAAGAGTTGGAGGTCGGCATGACGCTAGGGAGAGAAGGGGAAAAAAGGATACGCAAGGGGACCAAGCAATGGAAGCAGCCACACAGGTGTCACTGCTGCGGGAAGAGTCGGGGATGGTAGGGAGGATACAATTGGTGGATTTCCGAGAATACGAATTGATTAATTGGAATTCAGAGGGGAAAAAGGAAAGAAAGAGAGACGGGGTGGAAAAGGGAAAGGAAGATAGGATGAGAGAGGGGGGAGAGGGGGGAGGGGGAAAGGAAGTAGTGAGATGCAGGAAAGGAGTGGAGAGGAAGAGAGGTGAAGTCCCCGCAGAACAATGAAGAGAGGAAGAAGAGAGAAGAGCGAGAGAGATGGAGAGAAGAAGAGAAGATGGAGTGGAAGAAGGGAAAAGATTCCAGACCCGGCCGGTAATTATCAGTTACCATACGGTATCGTCCGGTAACTTTGGGGTAGGTCGCGCCTTCCGTTTTGGGAATCTCTTCATCCTGCCATTTCCGGTTTATTCATTGTTCATTATTCTCTAGCACTAGTCAACTTCATCTCCCCATCCACCCTCCGTCCACCGTCAACACCTCCCCTGTCACATACCCACTGGCCCGACTTGCCAAAAACACCGTCACCCCCTTAAAATCCTCCGGGGTGCCCCATCTGCCCGCCGGAATCCGTGCCAGAATTCCAGCCGAGCGCTCTTCGTCCTGCATCAATGCGGACGTCATATCCGTGGCCACATATCCCGGTGCGATGGCATTCACATTGACCCCCTTGGCCGCCCACTCGTTGGACAACGCCTTGGTCAACTGCGCAATGCCGCCCTTAGCCGCCGCGTAGGCTGGGACCGTCAACCCTCCCTGGAACGAGACCAGAGAGCCAATATTGATGATGTTCCCACGCTTGCCGGAGGCGTCGGGGGCACGAGTGAGCATATAGGCACCGATATCGCGACAGAGCGTGAAGACTGTCGATAGGTTGACCTGCAGGACCTCATCCCAGTCCGAGTCCGGAAAGAGATGGCTTGGGTGTCGGCGTTGAATCCCTGCGCAGTTGAGCAGGATCGAGATGTCATGGCCATCCTTGAGGACGGAGGATACGAGCGCCGAGATAGAGGGACGAGATGAAAGATCCGCTGTGTAGATGGTTGCAGTGCGCCCGAGAGCTTCGATCCGTTGCTTGGTCTCTTGGTTGCTGGTGTCTCGCTGCGTGCAAGGGCTTATTAGTTGTGCTGCTAATTTGGTCTATAGTGAGCCACATACCTGGACAAGGACGATGTCGGCGCCAGCCTCGGCCATGCCAATGGCCATCTGCTGGCCAATGCCGCGAGTTCCGCCGGTAACGAGTGCAGTTCTACCTGAGAGTGAGAAGATATCCATCTTTGCTTAGCGTTTGACCACTCCGATGAAGATACCCCGGGAGACTGGTGCTATAAGTACTTAAAGCTGTCTAGGCATATGACCTATGCTAGACCATCGGAGATTATTCCGCATAACCCCCACGCTTCCCCGCATTGCTTGCGAGGAGGTTGACAGAAAGCATGGGGTGGTCGAATGGGAGGTCAAAGATTGAAACTATTCGGAGTCTTTTGATGCGCAGAAGTTAGGGCTACAGAGGAAGTGTGAACCGGATTCTAACCACTTGTATTGATAATGGTTCTATTCCTAGTCTACCACTCACGAATCGCTCCATCCGGTCCATAAAACTCCTTAGGGGCCCACGGCTCTGTCTCCTTGCTAATAGCTCTCACCAGCTCCTCGTCAATTTCAATTCCCAGTCCCACGCCCGACGGCGCTTTTACAAACCCCTCCGCGATGTCAAACACCGACTTGTCTACTAAATAACTATTCAAATCAATATCTCCGGCTTCCACGTTGTAATGCATTCCCAGGCTCATCTCCTGAATCACAAAATTCGGCGTCGAAACGGCCACCTGGATCGATGCTGCCAACGCAATCGGGCCCAACGGACAATGCGGCGCAATCGCCACATCGTACGTCTCTGCCAGCGACGCAATGCGCCTGGTCTCCGAAATGCCGCCTGCATGTGCAATATCTGGCTGCAGCACATCCACCGACCCATCTTCAAGGAACCTCTTCACGTCCCACCGTGTGAACAACCGCTCCCCGAACGCGATTGGAATTGTGGTCAGCCCGGACAACTGTTTCAGTGCCTCGGGGTGCTCGCACAGCAGGGGCTCCTCGATAAAGAGCGGGCGGTACGGCTCGAGTGCCTTGGCCAGCTGCTTTGCCATGGGCTTGTGCAGTCGGCCATGGAAGTCTAGCCCTGCGTCGAGACCGAGTGATTTGACGGTCTTGAGGCGTTCAACGCACGAGTCCAACACCGCAGGTCCGTCAAGCCAATTCACATCCTCGGTGGCGTTCATTTTGATACATTTGAGGCCTTGCTCAATCCGTGCTTTTCTGTTCGGTGTGAGTGGGATGGTGTTGTGGACTAGGAAAGATAGGTAGGAGGCATGGTGAAGGTATGGACGTACGCTGCAACCTCAACATCGCTCGGCCGATCGCCTCCAATCCAGGCATAAACCTGCACTTTGTTCCGAACCTTCCCTCCAAGAAGCTGATACACAGGCACGCCCAGTGTGCGCCCTTTGAGATCCCACAATGCGATATCAATACCTGAGATAGCGGACATGAACACGGGGCCTCCGCGGTAGAAGCCCAGTCGCCAGACAAGCTGCCAGATATGTTCAATGTCACTGGCAAGGTCAGTCAGTCCTCCATATTCGCATAAACACACACGAAAAAATGAACCGCTCGCCGGAAAGTAGATGGGCGGAAAAAAGAAAGAAACAGGGATTAGATGGGGACATACTCCGCCTCCAACCCCACAAGCCTCACGATAATCTCGTCAAGCGCTCCCTCGACAGCCTGGGTATGACCTTCTAACGTGCCTTCGCCCCAGCCGAATCCGCCCTCGTCGTCGGTGACCTTGACAAAGAGCCATCGCGGCTTGACGCGGAAGTATTCAATAGATTTGATTTTAGCCATTCTGCTTTCTGGTCAGGCGTTTGGTATTGGGTGTTCCCTGTGAACAGTCGTAGGTCGGTAAATAGAATAGGTGAGAAAGTATGCCGAGCAAGACATGTTTACCCCAAGGTTCATATTCATATATAAGGCGAGCTCAGTCTCTCGTTGAAAGCTTCCCCGCGTGGTGCTTCCCCGCGTGGGGGTCGGGAGAAATCCGGGCGAGCAAACAAGAAGCCCCCACGCTCCAACCCTTGTAAGTGGTGGGGGTTTCACGCCGAGGGCAATCTCACGGATATTGAAGGACCTCTTTTCCGGCACAGCTACTAGCAAGCACTTTGGCATTCGAGGGGGTCCTTTGAGGGCGTTGAAAGTTCTCGACCGGGCTAGCGACGAGATACAGATTCATACAAGACTATTCGGTATACTATGAAGTTGGCTATAGTTGTTGTGAATTTTCTGTTTGACCCGGGCCAGACGACCCTAATGAGTTGTATAGGAGCGACTCAAGTATCTCAATGTTGGTGAGAATGCCGAACCCAAGTGCAGGTATTATGCGACACATTCGAGTTCCCGGTGCAGTTACGAAGTCTTTTCGAATGACCGAGGCAATATCAGACAGCCTAGCATGACCTTGTCTATTGTAAAACTTCATTCCAGTAAGGTGGGCCGGTGTTATTGATGACGCTCGGTCAGCACCGGCACCTGTGGTATATTCCCAGAGCAACTTTAACTAACAATGTTGCTAGGGTACCTGCTATCTACTCAGCTTCAGAAACTGGTTCGTCAAAAAGGTGGATATTATATGCGCAATGGTGAAGGTGCACAGGTGTAAGGTGAATCCAAGTTAAGTAGGTCGAGCAATTGCAAAACGTTCCGGCTACATGAGGACATCTGTGATATGTTTCTTTAAGCTAGCCTAAGGTGGTTGATCAGTACATGAATCCAATTATCGATGCATATGTACCTGTGTCTCGGTATAGGTGTGTCTTGATCTCAACCGTGACTTTGAATTGCCCGAGGCAGTGGCAGTCAAGCCCCCGGATGATAGTCAAGCCTCAGAGAATCTTGGATATGGTCATTATTACAATGCTTCAAGGCAAGATACGAGGGGGATATTTTGATTGAAGAGCCACGGTATACATCAGCAGAATCTTTCTAAACTCTGTCTTTATTAGTTTGTCACTGGCTGCAATTGGGCTACAATGCTATTCAAGTCACTCTAGTAAAGCGAAATATATTCCACCAGATCTTATATTTGCGTATATCCCGGAATGTCTAGAAAATGTTTTTTAAGAAAGGCATATCCTGAAGAAGGAAACAATCGAGATGCGCACGAAAATCTATTCACTTGCAAAAGGTTGCTTTATGACAATTTACAAGCACTTTCCATTCTAGGACCTAGAGAAGGACATTTCAAAACTCTCAGCAAGCAAGTGAGAAGCAGTTGAATCTGACATCATGCGGGCTTCCGAGCCCAAAAGTGATACGGAATCTACCGTTTTATTGATCAAAATCAAGGAAATACGCCACCGTTGACAACGGCACTGAAATCCCGAGCTCGTATTTTCCTTTAACTAAATATTTCTGCTGCTAAAATACATCTCTTCGTTCAATATGACCTTCCAAACAAAGTCCATTTCTCGGCCAGGTGCTCACAGCCCTTTGCCAGACAGGGCGTGTTAGTTCCCTTCAACTCCGTGATCTGCTTGAAGGGTATACATAAGCTCTTAGCCCCCATGCTCGGCGCTCTAGCATCCTGCTGCTTGGCCTCCGAAGTGCTCGACCGCTCACTCATCTTCTTGATCTGATCTTCGCACTCCGGTCTCAGGCAGAACGGAATCAGACAAACGTGCTTATTGTTGATCGCAGGCGTGAATCTTTCCCAGTCCGTGATTACTTTGACGTTGTTTCTGAAATTTTCCAAAGCCCGGGCATACATGTCAGACTGGATAGTCTCCAACAACGCAAGGACTTCCGATGCAGCATCCGTCAGCGAGATCCATCCTTTCTCCAACGTGTCCCGACGGGATGTAGAGAGGAATCCATTCTTCAGCTCCTTCGGCCCGAGCTCCAGACGGAGAGGGATGCCCTTCAGTTCGTAGTGGTTGAATTTCCAGCCCGGTGAGTATTCGGTCGCAAGGTCGGTCTCGATGCGGATATCTGCATCTAAGAATTCCTTCTCAAGCTGAGCAATGTTGTCGTAAAGGTCCCGCTTCTCCTCGTCGCTTGTGGTGGCTGTGATACCCACTGGAATGATGACCACTTGTGTGGGAGCAACCCGAGGAGGAAGCACCAAGCCTTTGTCGTCGCCATGAACCATCACCATGACCCCAATGACACGAGTCGAATACGCCCATGAGTTCTGCCAAACAAACACGCGGCTCGAGTCGGGCGATTCGTCTTTCTGCGGATTCTCAACCGAGATGTTAAATATCTTGCTGAAATTCTGACCTAGGGCGTGAGACGTGGCACCCTGGATCGCACGTCCAGTCGAGGGAATAAACGCTTCCACGCTCGTCGTATAGTCGGCCCCTGCAAAAGCCTCATTCTTCGACTTGCTACCCGGGACTACCGGGACGGCAAGGAAATCCTGATAAATGGTTGTGTAGAGGTCCAAGATTTCGAGAACCTCTTGATCGGCGCCGGCCTTGGTAAGATGGGCCGTGTGGCCTTCCTGCCAGTAAAACTCTCGCGAGCGCAGGAATGGCTGAGGGTTGCGGAATTCCCAGCGTACAACCGAGTTGTACTGGTTCAGCTTCACGGGCAGGTCGCGGTGGCTGCGGATCCAGTTGGCGAGGTAGGGGTAGATGATGGTCTCAGAAGTTGGTCGAATGGCAATTTTATTGTCAAGTTTGGTTTTGCCCCTTGAGGCACATGGTCAGTATTGAAGACATAAGGAATATAAGTAGTTTGAAGCTATCGTCAAACTACTGTTCTTGGTCGAGACAAGCCAGCTTACGATTGTGTCACCCAGGCCACTTCAGCCGAAAACCCCTCGATATGATTCTCCTCCTTGACTAGCATCTTCTCATTCACGAAGAGCGGAAAACTGCAGTTGCGAATCTTCATCTTCCGAAGTTGCTTGTTGAACCATGCCTGCAGGATCTCCCAGATCTCCCAGGACTCGGGGCGCAGGATATAGCAGCCCGAGATGTCGTAGTAGTCGATCATCTTGCTTTTGAGTAGAACTTGCTGGTACCAGGTTGAGAAGTCATCTTCCTTGGAAGCGCCGATCCCGATTGGAGGGGTCCCTCCACCTTGACTTTTCTTCTTTTTCGTGTCCTTGGGGGACTGTCCTGGGGTTCGGACTGGTAGGGTATGGGACGGAGTGAAGACGTGCCATGGAGAATCAAGATCTCCGATGACGTCGCAGGTATTTGTCATGGCGGGGTGTTTGCAGATGAATAGTGTAGAGATTTATGTTGGCAAGCAAACGAGAGATGGGAATTGGCAGGGCTATATAGAGGAGCATTGGGAATGATACTCGACATCCTAGAAGTATATACGTGTTGCTCGGATACTAAGCCGATCTGACAACAACGGTGATGGCATGATTTACGCAGTGACTATTGGCTAAAATAAGATTCTAAGATGACATTTCGGCATTCAATCACCGATAGGGCGCCCTACGCTAACATCTTTCGCACCATCTCCACCCTACTCGTATGTTAGCCCGTCTCTGACAACAGGGATAGCTTGTAGTGACCGTCAACTTACGTGGCAAATGTACCCGCAGAGACCGGCATCGCACGCAGCAACGCAGGCCCCAGACCCTGAAATAATCCTCGAATTCTACCAACAGCCCACGTCTGTTGGAACGCATGTCTCAAGCTGCGGTACTTTTGATCGGGACCAAACCCATCACTCTGCATCTTACTCTTAATCACGTCTAACGGGTGACTCAGAAGCCACAAGGCTTCGCCAGCCAAGCCACCGCAGACAGCGATCTGCCAGTTAGGCAATTCATGCCGTTTCTTCTGGGTCCGGTCCTGCAGGATTTCCAGAAGTCCTTCATACGCGGCAAACCATACACCGTAGCCGTGGAATTCGCGAAGAAGCGTCACAACCTGCCCGCGGTAGATTCCTGCAGGACCAGCCACCCGGATAATCATTCGCGCACAATCCCAAGGCCCGTTATAAAGCCGGGTCGTACCGTGTGGCTGCGTCTGAAGCCGAATGCGAATATGCTCCACGGGGCCGGAGATGACGCTGTTCGTCACTCCGGCTAATCCGCCAGCCAAGTAGAACTGTGGGATTGATAGACCTTTGCCTTGAACATGGCCCTTCCGGTGGTTGTAGGTTTCAATGAGCTGTCGGAAGCCATGGAAGGCACCGAACTGAATGCTGACCTGTACTGCCTGTTAGAGATTTTCAAGGCAGTACGTGAGTAGATCGACTTACGCAAGCGCCAACACCCAGTAAAGGTACTATCGTCCCCTAACGAGAAGAATTAAAGACTGATCGAGTGACTCTTCCAGGGAAATTTGCGAACCTTGTAGAAGGCCGAGGGACCTTCCTTCGTCCAGATGTTGCGCGCCGCTGAGAGCGCCGAACCGCCGGTCTGCGTCTGCAGCCGCACCTTGACGATATCTGGGGAAGGTTAGGAACAAAGACATCGCCCTCCTGCTATTGTCTACATACCGAATGGCTGGCCTGGTTGATTGTTAGCGACATCTGCAGTAATGATAGCCCTTCATCGAGCTATCTGTTCATCTTACCGATTAACACCTGTGCTACACCTCCCGCGGCGCCCGCAGTGAGATCCTTCACATTCTCTTTCCAATCCATTGGCGGCGCAGCTGCCTCTGGAGTAATGGATTTCGCATCAGCAGTCATGGTAACTAGGAACACAGGGTGTAGCTTCTTGGTCGCGTGTTTCTCAAGGCTCTAGAGAAGAGAAGAGAGCCGGTCTTATCTGGTGCTCTCGGATGTCATCCGAGATTTCGGGATCGTCACCCCGAAGGCCCAGTATTGGCCACGCCTTTAAATGTGACGTTAGGAAGCCAGATAGAATGGCCCTGATCATTCTGATTACCCTCTAATACATATTTACACGCAAACTATTCATCATGGTGCTTTCTCGTCGAATTGGTGCCCTCTCTAACAAGTCTGCTCTCAGCGTCCCTGCGCGGCGAAGTATGGGAGGATTGGCCAATTTTCGCGTGCCTCCCATTCGCAATGAGCCCAATGTTAGTGATTCAAGAGCAAAACGTGTATCAAGGACCGAGTGCATTCAGGATTCTGACTTTTTCTCTAGCCATCATATGCAAAGGGCTCTGCCGAGCGCTCTGAACTTCAAGCTGCCTTGGACAGGCTGAAGAGCCAAGTGCCTATGCAGGTGCCCCTGTCTATTGGCGGTCAAGAGGTATGCTATGGTTTTATCTGTCAAGTTAATGAGAGAATGCAGAGAGCTCACCATCTCGCCCCGGTATAGATTTCATCGGGCTTGACCCACATTCAAGGCAACCCATCAGCACATTCAGGGCCCGTCGCCAAATATGCCCAAGCATCAGCCGAGCAGGTCAACGAGGCCATCGAAAAGGCTCTACAAGCCAAGCCAGCATGGGAGAACATGTCTTTCAACAACCGGGCCGCGATCTTTCTCCGCGCCGCCGAGCTCGTCGCAACCAAGTACCGCTACGACATCATGGCCGCCACGATGCTGGGACAGGGCAAGAATATCTGGCAGGCCGAAATCGACGCTGCCGCTGAGACGGCTGATTTCTACCGTTTCAACGTCCACCACGCCTCGGAGCTGTATAAGCAGCAGAACACCATGAATGACGCGGGCATGTGGAATCGCATGGAATACCGCCCCCTCGAGGGCTTCGTCTACGCGATCAGTCCCTTTAACTTCACGGCGATCGGGGCCAACTTGATCGCTGCTCCGGCCATCATGGGCAACGTTGTGATCTGGAAGCCCTCAGACTATGCGGTCTACGCGGGTTACCTGCAAAAGAAGATCCTCGAGGAAGCTGGCCTTCCAGAGAATGTCATTCAATTCTTGCCCGGTAACCCCAAGACCGTTACGGATACTGTCCTGGAGCGTCCAGAGTTCGCGGCCCTGCATTACACCGGCTCGACTGAAGTTTTCCGTGATTTGTACGGCCAGATCGCTGACGGCGTCCGCGCCGGCCATTATGACAGCTACCCTCGCATCGTTGGCGAGACTGGCGGAAAGAACTTCGCAGTCGTGCACTCGAGCGCAGACATTCGCAATGCGGTCGTGAACACCGTCCGCGGAGCCTTCGAATACCAGGGACAAAAGTGCTCTGCGACCTCCCGACTCTACGTCTCCGAGTCTGTATGGCCGGAGTTCAAGAAGCAACTCGTTCACGAAACCGAGAAGATCAAGATCGGGCGTCCCGAGGACTTCGAGAACCTTATGGGCCCGGTCATCCACGAGCGATCGTTTAATAAGCTCGCCAAAGTCATCAACAACGCGAAGAAAGATCCCTCAGTCACTCTACTGGCCGGCGGCACGACGTCCCGCGAGAAGGGCTGGTTCGTCCACCCGACGGTCTTCCAAGTTCAGGACGCTTCGCACTCACTCATGAAGAACGAGTTCTTCGGCCCTATCCTATCCGTGTATGTCTATCCTGACAGCCAATTCGAAGAGACTCTGTCCCAAGTAGACAAGGGTACTAAGTTCGGTCTCACCGGTGCGTTCTTCGCAAAGGATCGATCGGCGATCGAAGTCGCGGAGAGGCTGCTGCGTCATTCAGCTGGGAACTTTTATATTAACTGCAAGAGTAGTGGAGCGGTGGTTGGTCACCAGCCATTTGGGGGTTCCAGGGCCAGCGGTACGAATGATAAGGCGACGAGTACAAACCTGGTTGCGCGTTTCGCAAGTATCAGAAGTATGAAAGAGGATTTCCAGCTCGCAGAGGAGGTTGGTTATCCTTCTAATGTGGTTTAGGAGGCAGGTGGGGGAAATTGGAAGGCTAAACTGGTCTGGGTTCTTTTTGTACTTTTCTGTTTTGAACAATAGCCCTTTATTACATTCACTGTATAGGTTCCTTGTTCAGGAAAATAACGTGCCCGATAGGTAAAGGCAAAGCATTATGTGTGGTCATTGTCCGACGATAACTGTTTGTAAGATTCACATTCACTGGTGCCCAAACTCGCATTAGGGGATATTAATTCACTATATTTTGGTCAAGTAAACATTTGCACACTCACTAGGCCACTCTACTCTACTTCCCTCTCCTCCCTGATGGCAGCCCAACGGATCCCATTTCAACTCATCATCGTTCCATATACCGACATCGCTCGTCTCCTCCCAGTTGAGTAAGTCTCTCTGCCAAAATAAAATATGGCTTTCGATAGAGCTGACAACTTCAACCGACACTGATAGGGAAATAGAAAAAGCAAACATTCATCGCTGCTAACTGGGGCAAACATCTCTTGGCTAGGAGCGGGGGAACTCGACTCAAGGAGAGTACTTATTTGCAACTCTGCTTTTATGCAAAATCATTTTGCTCCGATGGCCTCAGTCTCGAAGAGCCACAGCGCTACGGTGGTGGGTCCGAGTAGAGAGGACAGCCCCTCTGAGGTTATAGTGGCTGCCGGTGCTGATATCCAACCGACACGTCCTGGTCTTCTCCCTCTCAAATGGGCTGTCAGTGGGGGATGGTGGCACCGTTCGAGGTAAGCCTAATAATATCCATGGAATCAACTATCGCATCATCTCACAGATCTCTATAGCTATAGTGGAGCTTTGCTGTTCAACATCGGTGCTTTCATACTTCCCGCGCTATACAGCACATTAGTTAAGGTCTGGGTTGCGAAAATCAACTCCTCCTTGGTGGTCACAACAGACGTGTATACCTATATCGGTACCATCGCAGAGGTGCTAAACGAAGGTCTCCCCCGTGCTGTCTGGGTGACTATCGCCGACAAATCTACACGATCGTATGAATCTCGCTTGGGCCTTGCATACACTCTGATAACATTTCAGACCGCACTGGGACTCATCATGAGTATCGTCTTTACCAGCGCAGCCAGAGCATTCGCAGCAACTTTCGTTCCGCGTGAAGCCCAAAGGGCAAGTATTACTTATGTCCGAATAAGTGCGTTCTCCGCGCTGAGCTCCGCAATCGAGGCTGCAGCATCTAATGCGACAAGGGCTTTGGATAAACCCGACGTTCCCCTTCTGATTAGCACTGTCAAGGTCGTTGTGAACATCGTGTTAGACCTACTGGTGATATCAAAGTTCCACGTAGGCAGCTGGACCCCCAACGTCAATATACAAGCCGCAATCCGTCTGAGCTGTGATATGGTCGCCGCTGTCTCCGGCTTGGTGTATTTCATTATAACTACCAACAGGGCCGAGCCCCGGCATAGACGGCCCTGGAGCAGAGAGGTACTTAATTTGTCTGCTCTTTTCACGCTCCTTAAGCCAGGGTCGCTCACCTTCCTGGAATCGGCTATTCGGAACACGCTCTATCTCTGGTTGGTGGCCGGAATCGTCGCCATGTCAGCAGATTACGCCACAGCGTGGGGTACATTTACGACAATCAGATGGGGCCTAGTCATGGTACCGGTTCAGGCCTTGGAGGCGACGTCACTGGCTTTTGTTGGGCATGTTTGGGCTTCGTTCAAAGGCAATGATATACAATGTGGGAAATGGAGGAAGTTTCTCGGTAGGCAATAACACCCTTAACATGTGTGGATCTTGCTCTTAGTATACTTACCTCTTTAAGTGATCACACGTCCTGCATTACTTGCTGCCTTTATTGCCATGGTTCTTGAGGTACCGCTTTGCATATTTCTCGCTATATTTGGTTGTAAACCATTTGCGTTCTATCTCAGTCAGTCCGAAACGGTAGCCGAAATTACAGCGCACATGTGGAAAACAATAGATTGGTGAGTGAGTCTGCAGTTGTCACAGCGACCATTGTCTTATACATAATTCACAGGTGCTATATTCTATACGCGATATCCACTCAGCTAGCAACTATATTGCTGGCTACTCGTCCTATCTGGTATCTTGGGCAGTCCCTAGTCTCTAATATTCTTTACGTTCTCCCTTGGGCTATTGTCTGTCAAGTCGCCAATCTTGATCCTAATAACGCGTGGACGTATCATAGTCTTGTCTTTGGTGGCAGCTTGGTGTTTACTTTTGTAGAGATTTTTCTCGTCATTCTTTCATGGTATTGGAAAGTGCTGTGAAAGAAGCTCTTCAGCTGAACTTTATCTGGTGGGTTAACGATTTTCTCTAATGACTTTGCAGTTAAGCTAGTTAAGCTATTCAAGGCAGCACAATCTACAAAGCAAGAGATAATAACAATATTCCTAAGTCTTCAAGAGTTATTATGTACGGATTTAATTCTTCAAAGAGGATTAGATACCTAAAGTAATAGTGACTGTATATCAACATCCCACCAAATCTGACTAAATGGTCACCCCACCGGCGCATTCAACAATTTCTCAATCTCAAGCCAATCCATATAATCAACTCCCGTCAACGGCAACGTCGGATGATGAAAACTCGAGTAAATCCCCTCCGCCTCTTCCGCGAAATCTATATCTAACTCGTTCTGCATATCAAACGCCCCGTCCGACGGAGCCGAGTAATTCCACGGCTCAAAGAATCGACTCTCATCCTGATGGAATGGTTGTCCTCCTACAGACATGTAATGTGGCGGTGCACCTGGTTGATGAGAGGGCAGGTCTCCTCCCCTTCCCTCCGGAACTGGTCCTTCGGCGTGGGTTTGAGCTCTACCACGGGCTTCTGATTCTATTTCACTTGCTGGTATATCGGACGCGCCGATGTCGAAGGTGTAATCTGGCCAGACATGCGAGCACGATTGAGCGATGTCTTGGAATCGTTGCTCCGCGGCGAGATTCCCGGACCGAGACAAGAACCGCAAGACTTCAAACGCTTGGGTCAATGCCGCAGGTGGGTGTTTCTGTGTGGGATTCGTGAATCCTGCCATGACGAGGACAAAAGCGGCTGAAAAGGTGGCATCGAGATCGAAGAAACCGTATCGTGCTAAGAGCATAGGGGTCAGCTCGAAGTCAAAGTGTCGTGAAGACATTAATATGGCCGATTGAAAGGGCACAGCATAAAGGCTACAAGAGAGGAGAAAGGGCAGGGGACTAACGAATAATTCGCTGAAGACGAAGAGCATATAGTATGGCCAGACTCCTAGTTGCTGCCTCGTTGCACGTCTCGCAGAGTCGTGCTAAGCTGTCCGAGGCTGATTCAGGAGGTCGGGGCGGTTGTTGACCCTGTGCTGCCACTCGTACTTTGTGTAGAAGCATCGGTCGAGTGCATAATATAATAGCCTGTTCATTAGGAGGACGTCAGATACAATTCAACCCGAACTTGCAGGACATTTAACAAACTTGGAGTAGCATTAGATAAAGCGACGACCCCGTCCGCGAAACCGTTTGTAATGGGCGTGAGAAATCGAGAAGTAGGGACTGAGGAAATGATTGCCCTATATCATGTAATTCTTGAATGACGTTCTGGACTTTTCTAACAAGTTCGACTTGGGTGACCGTAGTGTTTCCATAGAGCGCTGGTTAGACTAATTAGCATGTGTACGCTGTGGTGCCCAGTGGCCAGGGACGAAATCTCACAGGACATGATATCGTCCGTGACACGGGCGATTCTGACATTGATCATCATTGCGACTGGTGATTGGAAGCCCACGGCGTGTTTTGGGAATCCTGCTCGGAGCTGTCGCTCATCGGCGCCAGCGGCGAGTCCCATGCCTGACGATAAGCGTCTGCATACCCATAGATTGATTATTAGTTTCCACCGGGCCATAAGACTAGTTGGAGGACATCATGTATACCTGTCGAGCATATATACCGTCCACCAAAGTCTTAGTCGATGTGTGCTTTGAGATGGAAGACAACTTTGTTCGTGTTCGGGTAGATTGCACCCCAGAGCAATCGATAGCCTTATAGCGAGGCCGATCTTTTCGGTAATCGTAAGTCACGGCCGTAGTCAGCGGGCAAGCATGAACTGAATCACTGGCATAACATACATGAAGATAAGCATCAAGCTTTCGATCGCACCATTGTAGGTATGTCGTGATCAATGTCAAAATTTCAACTGCCAGTACTCCTTCTCTGGTAAGTTGATGCAACGGAGGTAATCGTTTCATAGCCTCTGCGAATAGATCGGACCCGGGCGGTTGAGATGTCGGTTGTTCCACGTCCATGAGTTTTGCCATTGCCATGACCAGAAGGTATTCGGTATACCATTGTGTGCGCTTTTGTGTTTCTCGCGTGGCTGGAGACTGGAAGAGCAAAATCATAGAATCGGAGAAAGATCGCGAGTCGAAGAAGTGTTGGCTCACGCCAAGGAAGAAGAGGAATTGGTCTAGTAGGTGCTGTGATACATCTAAGGACGGTATGGATGGACCATCCGCATCGTCAATGAACGTTTCCAGCGAGCCCCACTGATCGTCAGTAAACATGTGCCTTTCTCTTTCAGCATATCGAGGAGACCGCTGGTTAGACATGGTCAAAAGCGACCGTACTTGGGATTCGAAGGCCGGACCGGAGGTCAAATCTGTTGCTGTTCATCTGTAAGTGAGTTTGTCGTGTTGTCGAGTGATGATATCATGTTCTTACCTGGACTGATGTCGGCAGCGCCATCACTGAAATCCAGGGACTGAGGCAGACCATTTCCCAAACTCGCTCTTCGACTTGAGCGCTGGGATTGCTGTGGTTGTCGTGAGGAATGTACAGGACTTGAGTTTGGCACTGGACTGTTATTTAGCGAAGTCCCTTCGAGCGAGCCCTCGCCGGGATTCCGAGCAGCCAGCTGCTCCTCGTACGATTGAATCTTGTCATAACTCACGTCTCGGAGTATCGTTTGCGATCGGGACGTCCGAAGACACATTCCCAGCTGTGTTTCACGCAGGCGCCACAGGGGTGCTCGCCAGAACATTTCACCTTGCGTCGCCGGCATGATTCGCATCTAGATCGATATCGATGTTACCGCATGTTTGTCAGAGCGAAGAATTCGGCGTAGACTTACGCATTAGCAGATCGGGGGTGTCCCGTTACCATCGTGGATTCTTTGCGTGGATTGAGAAAGTTGTGTTCGGGCAGTCGGTCCGGCAAGTGGACGAGACCATCGGCTGCGTCACGCCGGCCCCGGCAGAAACGACCCGAGATATACTTCGTTGGAACCACGGTAGGGATTACGTTGTGCAACTTTGGCATGATTTCATATAATTCCATTTCGGTCATTCCTAGACAAATACAGTATATCACATTATACTCTTTCGGATCCGACGAAGAACCTCTTGCCGGACCTGGAGATATTCCTCCTTTGTACGCTCAACTGCATCTCGATTCTCCACAGCACGCCGTAGCAAATAGGATAGACAATCCCCTAAGGTCCCCCAACTGAGGCACTTGAAAACCTCCGGGGCTGCTCGACTGGAAGTGTTGTCGCCGTCCTTTCCGATTTGCAACAGTCGGCAACTCACCCCATCAGCCATGCCTAACAACTGACCGTACTGAACCTTGGTGACAGGAAGTTCGGCTGAAGCCTGCTCATCGTTCCATTTGCTAGCCAACAGAGCACTGTCCTTATTATGCGTAGCCAAAAATAGCTCTGCAGATGGGAATGCCTGCTTTTCTGTGCCGAATGGTCCAAGCTAGCGTTTTATGACGCCCTCCGCGATGGAGTTGTATGAATCATCGGTATCTGACTTGGTGTCGTTGATAACTTCCCGAGGTTCCGAGTTGATATACGCCCCTCGTACAAGTTTGATTCCCAGCGTGAAGTTTTTCTTCTCCGCTACCTCGAGATGAGCAAGGACGGTAGCCGAGGTGCACTTGAGGTACGCTTGGTAGGTGTTGTAGATCACGGTTTTACCATCTTTGTTGAAGTTTTCCATTAGTTCAAGGGCAATTTCATCAATCGCGGGCTGAACAGATTGTTGTTCGGCGTCGATAAAAATTCGAGCCTGGCGCTCCACGGCTCGCGCGCAAATCTCCCGGAGCGCCAGCGTCATCTGCTCGGGCAAAGGCTGTCTGGCCAGCAAGGCGCGCATGGCTGGTTCGCCCGCGCCGGTCAATCTATGAGATCGCAGTTAGTCAATACTAGAATTTAGAGTGCTAGAGTAAGGGTGATATCTCACTTCAATGCTAAGATGTCGCCCTTCCCGACCATTTCGACCATCTCGAGAACGCCTTGTCTCCATGCCTCAATGTCAGGATTATTTGAAGGAGTTGGCGAATGGGTTTCAGTTTCGCTCGCGGTTTCAGAGCTTGTGGTTTTTTCTTTGGAGGCATCTACCACAATCTCTCGCGCATAGGTCAAAATAACACCTTTAAATCCCATGTCTTTGATGTTCCTAACTGTGGATCGAACCTCCGTGCCATTCTCCCCGGCGCAGAAATGATTGTAGAACGTCGGTTTGAGGATGCCTCGGAGAACGAGATTCTTATTCACATCCAACAAGGCGATGCGCGGATGCACGATCAATGACAGAAACCAAAGCGCAGGCGTCAGTAGCCACCGGTGCGAAGAGACCGTCGCGACGAGCAAAGATCGGACTAGCATTTTAGTCGGGAGTAGAGAATGCGGCGGAAGTTGAGGGACGCTAGATACAGTCTTCGCACTGCTTGTTGAGGAAACTGAGACTGTAGATTTGTATGCGCGATTCCATGATGTGATAGTAGTCGCTCGGTATCTCGATTGCTGGAGAATCAATCTAGGGTTCTGTTGGAACCTGAGTGGTTTGATGACCGGCATCTTGTTCTAGAGAGGGAAGGAAGCTGTGTAGGGTGCGACAGTATTCGAGTGCAATGCAAAAAAAACAGGACTTCTTTGAGGTCATTAGCCAGGCGACTTGCGACCTGGATAACGCGCTGCTTCTGCCGTCGCCGAGTAGATCGTTGCTCTTCCTTATCGCCTGGAGTGGGGTCCGGGGTTGCATTGCCGGGGCTTCGGATGTGAGCCGAAGAGACCAAGCTCGGGTCATGTCTCCGGAAGGGCGCAGGAGTGGATGAGCATCGGAATACCCGAGGGATTGCATCCAATGCATAACAAAAACATGCATTAATCAGTAATCAGAAGGATAAAATAATCATTTGCTAACCATACATGTTGTTCAACCTACTGTCGTCCGGACTAGTCACTATCATGCAGGAAAGATATGAATAGGATGAAAAGGGCTGTAAGTTGTAACTTCTGAATATATGCCTTTTTACTTGTAATGCTAATGTATGGAACAGTTTTTTGGGGTCCGATAACTAGTCTTTGGTGAAACATGAAAATATATAAAGACAGATCTTCAAGCGTTGAAGTGTGCAAGTGAAAGATAAAAAAAAACCTCTGACATTCCCAACCAAAAGCAACAAACTTAGTAGATCAAGCATTCAATGACCTTATAGAAAGTAGAGTATTTTCGTGTCCCATGATTATCCTCGGAAACTCCACAGGCGTACTCGTTCGACTTGCCGACAGTTTCATATTCCAGACAAGTGAAAGGTAACTCAGCCGTACTGCATGTTACTTTACCCACTCTATCCGTCTTTCCGTTGTACTTGCAACCTTTATACTGGCCCAGAGTGAAAGAACCCAGAGATGCTGGAAATTGGTCAGCCGCCTTGGCGCTAACAGGACCAACGACGGCCTGGACTTTGTTGCAGACATCGTCCCTGGTGATTTGATTCCTGTAGCTGTAGTATACGTTATACCATGAATGTTCGCTAATGTCAGAGGATGTATCGAAGTTCTCTTCCTCTACGAGGTATTTGTAGATGATAAAGGAGTTTGGGATGGAGTTGTGAGCTCCGCCGCCGCCGTTGGAGCCGGTGGTTGTGGGAGCAGCGGTAGTTGATGTAGAGGTAGCGTCAATGGCGGACCAGTAACTGAGTAGTAGGCAGAGATATCGCTAGAGAGCGAATATTCAATTGTGGTATCGAGTGTCTCGTCTTTGTCAATAATGGTAACTGTGAATTCAACGAATCCGTCCTTATCTACGGTCTTAGTTGCAGTCGTGACTTCAGCATTGTACGCAGTAATGGTCTTGCAGGCGGTAGTGACTGTATTCGTTAAATAAGTCGATGCGGGCTTGACGAGAGAACTACTGATCCAGTTGGTGCAGCTCGCAGCCTCTTTGTTCTCGCAGTCACTGTCCTCGGGTTGGCAATGCTTTCCCGTGCAGATTCCATTCTTGCAGTCCCTGCCGGTACAGCTGACAACACGGCAGCGCGGTCCGGTGCATACATGGCTCGTTGGAGAGCAGACAGGTCCCACATTGACCCGAGTCCCCATCACAGTCGTCTCCCACGCAGCCATGGTCCTGGCAGCTCTTCCCGGAGCAATGACCTTTGTCGCAGTCGCGGCCAGTACAGCCAGTTGGCTGACAGTCCTTTCCTAAGCAGACTCCATCCTTGCAGTCTTTTCCGGTGCAGCCCTTTCAGATACACATTTCACCCTTACAAGTGCCGTTGACGTAGTCTGGGCCGGCACATGGAAAGACTGATAGAGGATCGTCATCGATAAGATCAACAAAGTCGGAGTAAGAGATGTCATTACAGTTGTTTAGACATGGTCTGCTACAGAACTGGGTGCAGATGTGGCCACAGTTTGTTGTGCAGGTTGGTCCAGGTGGGTTCCCTTGAGTAAAAGTAACTTTCGAGGGCTTCAAGCCCTCTGTGGACCATGGCCACGGTAGTAGATGAACAGTACGAGTACCAAGTGGCGAGTGTGAGACCCCTTTCTCCTTCATGGCGTTTGAATTATCAGTGATGATAACCGATGGCAGTGGAATACTGAAAAACAATGTCCCCACCAGATGTGTTACATTAGAGGCTGTGATGTTCCAATTGTAATATCCGTGGATGCTGGTCGTCAGTGGAGGAACAGAGATGGTTGTAGGCTGGATATACCGGGTGATGGTGGTTGTAGTCGTGGTAACGCCCCTTCGGTGAGGTTGTCGTGGGAGTAGCCAATGTTGTCGAGGGGAAGATGACGTTCACTGGTGCAATACCAGTCACACTGTTGGAGTCCGTATTGAGAGCTTTATCTCCTATAAAGAGATTCCCAGTTGTATCACTCCCCCTTTCTAGTTTGGCACTGCTCATATCAGTGTCTGAACCACTCATTCCGTTTAGGCTTTTTAAGGAATCAGGTCTTCCCAGATTCAAGGCCCATCCGAACAGCCCTCTCATGCATCTTTTGTTTGCAAAGTCGACTTTCTGCTTAAATGTGCGTGCATCGTCAAAGAAAACTCTATATAGACAGTTTGATTAGCCGAGTATCACAATATGCTAGACGGAAATATCACATACCATTAATTTTCGTTCTATGTTATCCAGTTACCGCAGCCTCTACGTTATATTCAATCGTTGGGTTATAAGACTTTATAACGCGATTGATCTCATAGTCTGATAGAATACCACTAGATTCGGTACACTCGCCTGGCATCACTCCTCCAGTGCTGTTGAAGACAGAATGAAAGTAAAAGAGAGATATATTCTGCTAATTGAACAGTCGAGTGGTAAGGAGATACCCTTTATATCGGGCCGCGTCCTCGCTTTGATAGAGTCACCATGGTAGCTGTAAAAGCAGGCCCTTCACGTACCATCAATGTATTTAAGCCGAGAATATCATTCAACGACACAACCGTTCTAACATTCCATTTCGACCCATGGTACATACTACTATACAGGTGGAGTAGAGCTAGGACTCACCCTAGCTCAGGTACATGCGCCAAGGTCCTTGGATTAGGACCCATTGTTTGTGGACCCTTAATCTCCCGGGGTGTTTTTAGCTGCATGTCTGCGGTTTGCTTGATCTGGCAGGTTGTTGCGAAATTTCAGGCCTTGAGACTCATTACTATCGGATCAGACGGATAACAAGCGCGGCCGGGGGTCCAACGGGGGCTAACCGGCGGATCCATTGGTTGATTCATACAGGCTCTAGCGCCGAGCGGGATCTGCAGGAGATCCTTTTAGTCTGTGTTTAACGAGGGCGTTAGGCTCGTCAGTGGAAACCGTCCCAGTAGGCTGATTCGGGGTTTGGTATCGCTTCGCTTAGTTGGCTCATAGAATGAATGGCATGTCTTTTTGCTCCGTGCCAGGTTACATAGTCTATCTCGTTGAGTTCGTAAATCGTAGAACCCCTCCGATTTCAGTGTCGGCTTGAATTGATGTCCGTCAACTACTACTATCATACCGACTGTAATAATAATAAGTAATGAAAATGAAAATGACTCAGGTTGAGCCTGCATAGTTGTTGGGGCACATTTGGCATCATTACTGAGCTCCTTAAAGCGCATGTCCACCCAGGTGTTCATCGTTTGGAAGAATCCAAGTGTGGTATACAATACTTTTCGCGTGTGCATTATGAGCATGATCCTTCATAGCAAGGCTGCCCACTCTCGGGTGTGTATTCTGACCATTCAAGTTCTACTGATCCTGTGTCTTGTATCTCTTGCAAATTCCTCTGACGAAGGGCCTTCGGGAATCCCTTATGTGGACACTCCCGTCAATTCTGACATGACCAACGTGACCCTTATCCCTGATCCCTCGAGGCACCTCTACAGACGGGAACAGGAAATCAGATCCAACTTTGTATTTGACGACAACTGCAATGCTCAATAGATGCGGTACTTAGATACATCGCTGAACGAAGCCCGAGATATGTAGGTGATCATCAGCACTTGGCTCGATCTAGTCAACATTCTTGCAGCATGATGCTGACATTTCAAAGGAAGTTAGGGCAGCGGGAGTTCTCCAGGACTTAGAAGACATCCTAACTGATAGGAAGTAGCCAGCAGACTGGAATCGGGCCCAGTACACCTCGTTATTCCGAACTCTCAACTTGTGGGTGCAGTTCTTTGGTGAGCCACAACTACGGAGGGGAATAGGGAGGCGCTCGATCGCTGAGACCATTAGGAAGATAAGAAGGGTGAAGTGTAAGTTTTATATTTATGATAGTAAGAAATTCCAATCCCACTAATAGTATTGCCATCTTTTTGTTAGTCATTTACGCCCAAATCAACACTGGTCTTCAAAAACAAAATAGATACCGCATTATCAGGGTCAATTGTAATAACAATTGGATGGTATATGACGAAGATAAGGAAGCATCTCCGGGAGCTCGTAGGTCCCGAACCTATACCATTTTTATTTGCTCATAACTTACCGTCGATGGCATCTAGGCATGTACAAAGATACTCGGGACAAAGATATTCAGAGATACATCGAAACCTTTGGAACATGTCGCGAGAAGCCAAGAAAGCGTACATCTTCATGCATAAGAAAGGGACGGACGAGGAGATGATCGTCTGTCCCAGAATTTTTGACCAGTAGAAATGGAATTTTGCATCGCAATATGCAACTACACCTTACGATAATATGATGGGCAAAAAGCTAGATGACCTCAAGGGCCAAGCTGCAGGGAACACGCTCCTCCATGAACTGACTCATTTGTAGTCTATGGTAGGCTATAATTACGCCACTCGAGGTCTGTCCCCCCTTCACCTCCTTTCCCCTATACTAAGATAGACTCTTAGATATGGGCGTTACCTACAAGGGCCAGACACGCGGGGCGTATGGAACAGTTCTCATCCGCAAGCTCGGCCGAACAGCAGACCATCTAGAGAAGAATGCCGGTATGTCCTTATAACTTGGATCTTGGGGAGTAGGAAATGCTAACAGCCATGTCTTTTTGTAAACTCATGTTACAAAACACTTCTTTCATGCAACTAGGAAAACTCGAAATATGCAGGCCTCAGGGTTCTATCAGGATCCGCAGAACTTAATTAAATTAGTACGGTAACGTGCCAAGAAATAGGAGGGAGTTAAGTACTGTGTACGGTCCAATCCTCCTGTCGTAAACCTCCATCGCAACAAGATGAAGCTTACCCTACTCCCAAATGAAGCGCTATGCATCATTGCATCCTATCTACCCCGTCAAAAAGATGTCTATTCCTTGATCAGAACAAACCGTCACATGTACCACGCGTTTAACTATTTTCTCTATTATTTCAATAGCTGTTACCGTCATGGGTCCGCCCTCTCTTTCGCGGCAAAACACAAAAATATCGCTCGCATAGAATGCTTTATGAATGGTCTACGGGTTTCCATCGGGAAGCATCGTTTGCCTCCATTCCAGCCGAAGCCCCGAAGCACGATGTCACTACAGGAGAAACTGGAAGAGGAAGACGAAGAAGAACTTCTGTGGTTATCGATGGACGACGAAGGGGACTTTTTCCTAGATTGCTACTGGGTTGATATCGCCACTCATCCATTGTATAGCCAGGGGTATAGCATGCTAGATGTTTTGAACGTCCAAAACACCCTGCTTGTCGCTATTGACCATAGATATAAGGACATTGTGTCTGCTCTGCTTGAAAATAGGGCACAGGTTAACTTCTACCGCGGAAAACACCGGACTCAAGGGCCTGGACCAAAGTTCCCTCAATCAGACTGTTGACTAATCATACGCAACCTACCTCCTCTATTCTTTGCCGTCAAACGAGGGCACACCGAGCTGGTCAGACTGTGGCTAGAGCGGGGTGCCAATGCAGAGCTATACAGTCCGTCACCATTGTACCGAGCAGTTGAAGATGGCCAACGAGAGATTATCTCCTTGCTACTAGCGCACGGGGTGGGCCCTCAGGCAAGTGCTTTGAAACTGGCTGTCCTACGAGAAGATGAGTCCTTGGTTCGATTTCTTCTCGACAACGGCTTTAAAATGCAGGAATATGCCCACTCTGCACTCTTCGGCGCCAAGATGAAGGCCGAATGATATAGTCGACCTGCTGGGGCCAAGAGGAGAAACCTTAGACTTGCATTCTGTCGACGAGAAGGATAGGGATGGCGTTCCTGAACCATTACTTCGGTTTTTCGTGACTACGGATGATAACGGAGTGAGTGAGATTGATGCTGATGATTAATTTTCTGATAAGAATTGTATGATTTTTGTCTTTTTTTGTCACATAGTAGCACAGTACAACATCCTGCATCTAACGTTGACCTCCAGCCGGCACTCTGACATACTCTGGTACGGCAGCTCCCACGCAGAGTAGTATCAGTTCTAGCTGTAACAAGTATTACCTAGTCAAGAGTGATGATACTTGCTATAGCATTCAGGACAGCTTCATGACTTTTACGTTACAGCAGTTCTACTCTTGGAACCCGTAGGTCCCTTTGACTACCATGCACAAGCAGAGCTAGTTCTAACAAAATATAGTTCAATCTCTACCGGGTGCGAGGGACTTGAGCCCGACTACTTTGTCTGTGTTGGGGCTAAGTCCTCTTCGATCCCTACAACAAGTACTGTGTCATCAAGCGCGTCGGGCCACCAGCTACAGCAAACCGGCATTCCATCCAACTGTGCGTTGAGTATTCCCGTCAAAATATAGGTGAAGTCGTTAAATATCTTTCTAACTCTAGTCATCGATCTAGGTAATAAGTGATACTGGGTAATCGACGGCGATGACTGCCAAACGATTGCCGACAAATTCGACATCACCAAAGACCAATTTTACGCCTGGAATCCGGTCACTGGAGCTACTTGCACGACTCTTTGGCAAAATGCCTACGTCTGCGTTGGCACTTCAGGTATAACACCCCCAGCATTTATCATCCATTCATCCCAAGATTCAATCCAGACCGCTAACAATGATTCCAGAGTCCTCGACCTCTTCCGCAACAATCACATCAACTACATCCACAACCGCGACAGGCCCGTCACCCACACAAAGCGGCATCGTCGCCAATTGCGTGTCATACTACAAAGTCAAGTCCGGCGACTGCTGGTCTATCGTAAACGAGAAATACACATATCTAACCCAGAATCTATTCACAAAGTGGAATCCTGCCGTCGGAAGCTCATACAGCATTCTAAAGGACGAATATTACTGTGTTGCGGTCAAAGACGCGCAACCCATGCCGGATGCGATTGACAGTTGCAAGGAGTGGCATCTGGCGCAGGAGGGAGATGGGTGCTGACAGATTGAGCAGGATAATTCGATCACAGCGGCTCAATTTAATAAGTACAATCCGCAGGTAGGGTCAGATTGCGGTAAGCTTTGGCTGGGATATTATGTTTGTGTGGGTGTGTAGAGACGAGATAATCAGGTTGGTCCATGGGCTTCGGGTACATCTTTATAGTTATATGAGAAGTGCGGCATGTTAAATTAGAGTATAGAGACTGAAGTTCATGCCTGTGGCATTCATCTGTTTGACAGATGATTAAGGGATCTTGTGTGTTTGTATAGGCGTTAATACGAAATTGAAATACAGCATCTGCTTGGTAAAAATTTAACTCTGTACAGCGAGTAGTTTTCTATTTCTACACTACGTTGGTAAGATTATCCTCTTAATATACGAGGAATAGCTGATATTCTTCTTGCTAAATAAAAGAAAATATGTAAGGGGCAGCGCCTGTTGTTTCAGAACACTTACTTTGGTTGTATGGGAGAACCTATAACTAACTTTGATCTGTGCCTTTTGAGCTCTACTCACTATGCACCTATGCATATCTAGTGTAGGCAGTAACAAACCCATTCTCAGGATGTTACATTCAAATTATTTATAGCGTGCAATTACTATTGAGATTCGCAGACGAAGTATATAATCTCCAACAAATCACCACATTTCCCATCCTACTCAACAGCAAACACACACTGACCTTTCTCTACCCACGATGAGCTGCGACCCCAACAGCAACATCCTACCTAATAAATATACCTGAAATTCAAATTCTCCTTATCAGTCAAATCACTAAACGCCGTCCTCGCCATCTCCGCCTGCCTCACTTCCTCCCCTTCCCCATCCCCCTCCCCCCCAATCCCCTGCACGCGATCCCGCCTCCGATTCTCCCACGCCAGCGCCATCCTCAACATCACGACCAATCCAATCTCCACGAAATTCGCCACAATCATGGACCAAATGCCCAGCGGATACCTTGGTGCCTGGTCCCCCTTATAGAAGAACGGGCCGGCGATATTCCCCGCACAAACACCCAGGAAGATCATCGCGTTCGTGACGACCTTCTTCGTGTGACCGGCGATATTGGCCGTTAGGATGGAGAGAATGATCACGAAGGAGGCGTTGTAGGAACCGGTTAGGTAGTAGCAGATGAGGCGGCCGACACGGTTTGATTCGGGGAGGTAGCAGAGCCCAAAGGAGCCGGCTACGTTTGGGAGAAGGAAGAGGATTGTTACTAGGCAGCGGTTGTTGGGTGGGAGGCGGTCGTTTAGCCAGACGCTGAAGAGGATCATGATGGCGATGAATGTGCCGTAGGGGATTTGCATGAGGGCTGTTACCACTGTGTGGTTCAATCAAAGGGGATAGGAATTAGTTAGCTTTAATGTTCGACATGGAAGGCCATATATATAGTTGGTAGGTATGGGTATGGTATAACCAGGCAAGACAAGACAACTTACACGTCGAAAACCCAAACCCTTTAATGATAAGTGTCCCAAAATTCGAGATCCCTCCGTTAGGAACATTCCCCGAGAAACCCAGTAGTAAGAAGAACCAGACCTTCCAATCCAGAAACGCCTCCCAGACCTGCGCCAGCTTGAGGGTCTTATTCTCCACACCGGTCTGGTTGTATCGCAGTCTTTCAACGGCAAGGCGCTTTTCTCGGTCTGTCAGGTACCGCGTAGACACGGGGGAATCTGGAAGGAAGAAGATGATCACGATCCCCCAGGCTGAGCAGAGGGCGCCGATGATCAGGAATTCATATTTCCACGACGCCAGGGCACCGTTGATCTGGCCGATGCCGTAGCCCAGTAGACCGCCGAGCGCGATGCCAGCACCGTTGGCTGTGTACCAGATGCCGATTCGAATGGGCTGTTGGCGCCGGGTATACCACATGCTGGTGATGAGCATGAATGCGGGATCGCTGGTTCGAAATTAGCTTGTTTGATCGGGGGAAAGGCAGGACTTGATGGAGAACGGATGGAAGTATACCTGCATGCTTCTGCAGCGCCGGATATAACACGCAACACGGCAAGCTGAGTAAAGTTCTTTGCAACAGCTTGATAGGTGTCAACATACAGCATTAGGAACGAATGATGTTAAGTGGGCTATTACGCACCTTGCAACATAAGAAAGAAACCCCACAGAAAGATATTAACGCCCAGGTATTTCCCCACAGGAAACTGTTGCATCAGGAAGTTTGTTGGAAGCGCCCAAACCTACTCATCGAAACAATCATCAGCTTAACAATCCAGTACAATCCATATACCTCTCTTCCAGGGATGGCATACCAAGAATCCAAAGTAAAAGACACTCGATAACCACGAATACTGATCACCCGAGAGCCCTAAGTCTTCATTGATGCCAAAGATGGCCGCATACGAGAGAGTCGTTTTATCGATCTTGCATCAGTTAGCAAAACGTATCCCTATGAGAACCTTTGAAGGATGCCGACAGCAACACACATAGTAGAATGCATAGCAAACGCTCAGAAAAGGCAAGATCATGAGATCAATCTTGCGAACCAAACGTTTGTTCTCAACCGGATCGATAGCTTCTTCTAGCTCGTCTAAGTTATCAAACAGAGCCAGGGCTGTGTCGCCATTGCGTACTTTGCCTGGCTCTGCTGGAACCGTTTCAAAATGAGCTGTGCCATGCTTGTCTGCCGATGGCTCGATAGCCGGAGCAGGCGCTGGCGCTGATATTGGGCTGTCGGACTCGGCAGTCATCTTTCTAGTAATTATAGATATTGTTTTCTGTTCTGATGATAGTTACAAAGATGAGAAATAAGAAGATATAAGAGAAGCATCCGATAACTGGATTTATCTGGATGGCTTAACCCGGCATGTCTCGTCGACGGTGATCTGCATGATATGATGTTTTCACCCGCAAAGCATCGAAGAAAGCGTGGGGGAAATCAGAAAACACGGGGAAGTGGATTTTCTCCGCACTCTCTCCGTGGGGGTTGCTGCGAGTGCTGGATATTGGATAGTAATAGGGACAGGGGTGTAGGATCGACCTGCTTCGGAGGTCCTCCGTAGTTTTACAGGGGTACATCCGGCGTGTGTTTGACATTGCGATGGACTTGACATTCTATAGAGAGTCTAGATAATTACAGGACGAGGGAAACATTTTTAATTTGATATCTCAACTTCAATATAATCACTTGCAGTACTCATATCACTCTATCTGTATCTATATGGCCCGATATAAATACCCAAGACCTACAACGAAGCCCTCAACCTCACATCCACAGCCCTCACCAACGTATGAATCGTCTCCAGAATCGGCGTCTCAACCCCCAACTCTTTCGCCTTCTTCACCGGAAACCCCAGAATCACATCAATCTCCATGGGGCGCTTATTAAGACAGTCCGTCTGCATACTACTCCCGATCCCAGGCATGGCATTAATCTTGTCCATCAGGCGATCAATCAGCCCGTAGTCCAGCTCCACGCCACACTTCCTCCCGACGTCAATGACCTCTCGCATGAGTTTACGCGTGAGAGGCGTGGCGTCGGGCGAGGAATTCAGCCAACTCTGCGTATCCAGCAGTGTCAATGTCGTGAGGGAATTCCAGGCTACGTTCCATACAACTTTCTCCCAGCGCTGGAGTTGCATGTCGTCGAGGACTTGGAATTTGGTTTGGCCGTGTTGAAGAAGGGCGGCGAAGGTGTCGAGGCGGGACTTTTCGAGCGAGGAGGGGATAGATGGGTTGGCGAAGAGTCCGATTTGCATGTCTTCGGACTTGGTGTGCGTGATTTTTCCGGGGGCGGGTTGACGGGCTCCAACCCATGTCTTATGTTTGTTTTTTATTAGATAGATAGTTGATGCTCAATGCTGGATCCTGGATGCTGAAGGGGAAGGTTGATCCGCAATTGATGGGAACAAAAACATACCACGCAAGTAATGATGGATGATCGAGGGTATGAGTTGCGGAACGCTTCCTCGTTTCCTACTCCATTCTGGATAATCACGATGGTCGTATCCTCGTTGACCGCGGGCTTGAGTCGTGCGGCGACGGATTCCTGATCGATTGCTTTGTGGGCGCACACGACGTAGTCGAAGGGGCTGGTGACCTCGTCAGGGGAATTGATCACTAGACTACAGGTTAACATTTCATGGCACCAACGTAGTGAACGTAGCCAAGGAAGCTCACCATTATGAGGTCGAAAGCGATGTTGGCCATGATTTTCACTTTCGATGAGAATGCCCTATTATGCTATGGTCAATATTGCTCGCTTGTAGGCTATTTGATGCAATTCTGGACATACATTCTCCTTGACAGCGTCAAAATTTGACCGTGCGACAACCGTTAGGCGCACGTTCTCAGACTGGCTGAGGATAAAAGCGTAGAAGGAACCTATGCTGTAGATTGCTTTAATTAGACAAATAGCTCATGACATTGGACTTGTGCACGTACGCTCCCAAGCCGTAGAGAAGGACTTCAATCGTATCGCTCATATTGAATGTCTAGGCTGTCACAATCTGCCTTTGAGTAGCTTTTTTAGAGGGCTATTGAATAGATGAGACAGCGAGTTATAACTCCGACGACGGCGACTTTGGATCGACAAGTGACAATGCGGGGTTGAATCGGGGGAAAGGCCGACGAGCGTGGGGGTTGAAATCCTGGGGAATGTGGGATGACTAGCAGGTGCACTGATCTCCAGGAAGAGGAGCTAAATGTTACAGGAGTTGTCGCCATTCTAAGCGCGTGGGGGTGAAGAAAGTAGTATTTGGTTGGTATCAACTATGTAGCTCTTTAGGATAGGAAGTTTACAGCAGCACCCATCATAACTTCACAGACCCAACCATATCCCTCTCCAACCGGGCTGTGTTCAGTAAATGTGGACCTAGCTCCTTTAACGACGTAACTCCCAGAAACACCATATTAGATTCGATCTCCTGTCTGAGGATCTCAATGGTTCGTCGAACTCCTTCCTCTCCATAGCCGCTCGCAAGTCCGTAGAGGAAGGGCCTACCTAGTCCAACGGCTGTTGCGCCCAATGCGAGGGCCTTGAGTACATCAGTGCCTCGCCGAATGCCCCCGTCAATGAAGATCTGCATCTTGCTTTCAAGCAGGTAGGGTGCGTAGCGTCGGATCTCCAAAAGAGTGAGAAGTGGTGATTGTGCTCTGTTCTCGTCAGTAAGACTCGACATTAAAACACCTAATCATAGTGTAAACATACGTATCTTGAGAACGGCCTCCATGGTTGGATAGGACAATTCCCTGTACCCTGTTCTCATATGCCAGCACGGCATCTTCGACGCATTGAATCCCCTTGATGACGATAGGCAGGGAAGTGAGGTCTCGTAACCACGTTAGAATATCCCAGTCGATGAACGGGGAGATAGAGCTCGCCATGGTCTTAGCAACGCCCTGCCCCTTGGTAGCTGGATTATCCCGAGCCTAGACAAGCATGTTAGCCACTGCGCTTAAGCCCACCCCACCAAGCAGAATACACACTTGAACCTGTAGATTCAACCTCTCATCCATCTCTCTCTTCCCCACCACCGGCGAATCCACCGTCACCCAGATCGCGCCCGCCCCGGCAGCATCCGCTCTGCGCACCGTCTCCTCCGACTTCTTAATATCCTTATTAACATACAGTTGCGCGAAGAGCGGCTGATCCTCCCGCACACGAGCCTTCATGACGCTCTCAATGGGAAAACTCGACCCGTTCGCCAGCACCTGAGCCACCCCTTCCCTACCCGCCGCGGCAGCAAAGGCCCGCTCGCCATTCGGGTGCGCAAGTTTCGCAATCCCCACCGGACTCATATACACCGGCAACGAGACCGATTTACCCAGTATCGACGTACTCGTGTCCACGGCCCGAATACTACGCAGGATGCGCGGTCGAAGCGAGATCTTCTGATAAGCCTTGGCGTTTTGGCGCTTGCTAGTCTCGTCGTCCGCGCCGGAGTAGTAATACGCCCATGCGTTCGGCGGGAGATGCTTCTCAGCGAGATGTTCGAAATCGTAGAGGTTGATCAGCGTCGTTAACGGCGGGGGCGAGTCATCCGTTTGCTTGATTTCGGGAACGTGGCCGTTGACAGTGCTCGATTTGCTCAGGGATCCTGGCTCGAGATGGCCACGAAAGGCAGAAGATGGTAAGGACTGGGCCAGGAGCTCCTGATCATGCACGGAGTCGAAGTCCCTTGTCGCGTCTCTCCCGGCGCAGCGGAGGATGACATGGGGTCCCCCTGGGTGTGAGTCGACGAAATCTAGAGAGAATTAAACCGATGGAGAGATCGAAACAGATCTGGATTAGACATACCGGTTACATCGTAGACAGATCCATGGATGGCGACCCAGCAGGAGTCTTTGTTGTTGTGTTTCTGGACTTCGTCACGGGTCAGCTGCATGACGAGCAGTTGAATGGGAGAAATGATGGGGATACGGGGGATGACATACTGATTTTAAATGAATGGACCATAGTAATAAAGGATTGGCAATGGCTGCGCTAAATTACCCCGGGCCCATTCGAGCTGGGACGTGGGGGTGCTCTTGGGTTGTACGAACTACAGATGAGGGCTGGACACGCCCGGAATCTTTTCCGTAGCCCTCGGTGACTTCTCCGCACACTCATCATCCCAGTCTCCGATGGTCCAGATCGATCACAACTCTACCTACGATTATCCTACGAATCATGCAATGTCATTGCGAACTTTAATTGAAATCGTCAAGGAATGTAAATACAATTTCATAGTCTGCAAACAATCCAAGCATCTGGTATCATAATTGCCACAGAGGGGATAAAGAAAGACAGAAAAGAAAAAATGAATAAGACACGATAATCACCACCAAGGCAGGCCAACCCATGCTTTAAAGCTCTATCAAACTCTCCTCGGCTGCTGGTCGAGTCTGCGGCGGCTGGTGGTGTTGCACGGGGGACGGATGTCCAGTAATCGGGGAAACATCCCCAAGGTACGCACCTTGTGGTGCTGGGGTACTCTGCGGATACATAGAAGGTGGCGGACCAAGCGGATGTTGTTGTTGGGGTTGATTATAGTAATATGAATGTGCCTGTTGCTCCGGGGGAGCATGTTGAATTCCAGGATGACCGTTAGGTTGCCCGGGTTGCGATTCTGCCAATTGCATATATGCGGCAGACGGCACCTGGTCCATCGAGGGGGGCTGCTCTGGTGCACTTGGGGCAGGAGCACCAGGCGGTCCGCCTGGCTGATAGAAAGAATTGGTTCGTGTTATAGGGGACGGCTGGTAGGAGGCTTCCACGTCACCCTGACGGGGAACCTGGTACGGGTGTGGAGCTGGCTCTTGCTGAGTAGGAGCCACATAGAATTGCGCCGGAGCGCCAGGGCCAGGATATGCGGCCGAATTGCTAGAGAATGCCGGGTTGGAGCTTGAGGGCGGAGGGGATGCAACGGGAGCTTTACCGCTCCAGGGTTGGTTGTGAGACAGAGGCTGGGTTGGAGGCGGGTACACGCCCGGGCTCATGGCGCCGCTCCGCGATCCGGCCGCTTGATGGTTTACCCTTTCTGATGGGTATGGAGGAGCATACGGGGAGTCAGATGGCCGCGTCTTCTCGGCAACTGGATTTCCATAGTAGAAGTTTTCGGCCCCCGCCTTGCTTTCGACTGGCTGCGAAGGCATTTGGTAGATATTAGGATATTGCGCAGTAGCGCCAGGAACGGTTCCATATCCGAGTGTGTGTTGCGAGTATGCACTTGACAGGCGCTCTTCCAACATACGATCGTAATACCGTACAACCGTGGAGAGTTTAGCATGTAGATCGAGAAGCGTGTCTATTTATCATCTGGTCAGCTAGTGCAGGATTGAACAGACCATCAATAGGCCGAGGATGAAAGAAACATACCATGTTTACTCATAGTTTCACCATAGCTCCGCGCCAATTTCGGCCTGAGTGCACCGATGCTCTCATAGAGTTCCTGAATTTGGGGCTCGCGCAAAATGGTACCAGGAGGTTGGTGTTGTAGTCGGTCAACAAGTGCGGCGAATAGGTGGATGTTTTCGACCTCAACCGGACTAAGTTCATACGGGTTTTTAGGCAGCTCTGTAGCAATTGGGACACCTTGGGATGGGGCTTCCGGAGCACTCGTGTTCTTCAGGGCGGCTGCATGTTGCTGCTTATGCTGTTCCATATCGCGCAGGGAAGCTTCGATGGCCGCCTTCAAATCCGCATCCTCCTCTTCCTCGGTCCTCGACGGTTCGGAGGGCATGGGCGGCTCAGCCGCCATCATTTGAGACTGCGGAATATAGCCGCTCGATCCTTTGTTTTCTGCCTCCTCCAAGCTCATCTGCAGGGCCCGACGCAAATCATCGTCAAACCCGCCTTCCGCCCGAGCCGTTCGGGGCTCCATTGAGTTTGATTTGGTGATAGAGTTGTTCTTGAACGCCGATCGATCGGAAAGGGCTCCCGGGGGGAAAGGTTTCGCGGTCAGTTTAGCGTAGCACCCATCGTCAACACGGACAGGCTGCAATATTCCCAGGTGAGGAAGAGGGAGGGTCTTGCTAGAACACTGGGCGTCGAAGACATTACCACAGTTTCGGCAGTGGTGTTTGCGGTTCATAAAACTAAACGGCGTGCGACATCGCATGCAGACGTCAGAGTCGATCCATTCGGGAGGCTATAGCACCAAACGGTATTAGCAGAGGCCACGGGCGCGCGTTTAAGAGGGAGAGAGCTTACCGCACTGCTCTCTAACATACTGCCACTCATCTTCGTCTTAGGCGGGAATCGGAATCCTTCTTCCTGTAGTTTCTGATATGTAATGCCAACATAACTTAAATCCATGCGACCTTGGGCCGCCATGGCCCAGTCCTGAATCAGCTCTAGCATCTTGTCTTTCACTTCGGCGTTGAGCGGGGCACCCTCCGTTTTCAACAAAGAGACTAGGTTATCCATGAATTCGCGAGACGCAATTTCGGCGAGAAAATGAGTGCCCCCATTCTTGACACATGTATCCGTTAACTACCGAGATGGCGGTTCCGTCAGTATGTAGATCGACAAGAGGGGAACTATGCGGAGCGAACCTTCAGCGTCGCTAGTTGTATATTGGGGTTCTTGTTTTCTAGTCGGCGTTTCAATGATCTCATCGCCTCCTTCGGTTGCACACTCTTCGATCGGATCAGGTCGGAAATTTCGAGGTTCAGGGAGATGTCTTCCCTACAGGAATTGTTAGCATGTTTTATGGGATGGATGGAGCTAGGGATCGACGAGAAACATCGACAACATACAGAGATGATGCGGTCGCCCGCTCGACCTGTTCATCGAGCGGCGATGCCGAAGAGAACCACCCCGCCATGACGACGGTGAGAAGATAGCAAGATCGCGCGATTGACGGACTTGACGAGACACGGGTCACAGGTACCCTATGACGTTGGGTAGCGGGCGGAAAGAGGGGATGGGAGAAGAGACGCGTTCCAACGGCAGCGAAAAAAAGGAAAGAAGAATACTGAGGCAGATGTGAGCGACAGGAAAGAAGTCTATGTGGGGGAGGACAAGGTATGCAAGCAGAGGAAGGTGGACGGGTGTTTGATGTCAAGTGCAGTAAGCTCTCCAGGCAGGGCAGATCCATCCATACCTCGCCGTAACCGCCAGCCTTGGCGCCCGCTGCTGGGGCTGAGTCATCCGCCAGGCCCCAGGCATCATCATGTTCCCCTCCCGGCGGTGAGGGGATTCTGCCGAGGTACGTAACTGGCTTTCGTCCTGAATGCCTGAATCCTGGGATGTTGTTCCCCGGAATCGCTGCATCCCGCCCGAGATCCTCTCTCCTCCATTCCCGATTGTTGATCTCGCAATCTGTCTGCCTGCTGGTCTGGCACTCCCACTCCCATCTCCCTGACCTCCTCCGGTCGCTTTCTCTTTGATACTTCTTTCCTTCCTCCATTTCGCACCTACTTGGGGGGACAGTTCCCATCCGAGTCCCCAAGGTACCGTCCCTCTACTTAGTCCCGCAGCCACCTCCGAGCACCTGCGACTACACTCCGAAACCTGGCTGGGTCATGCGTTGAAACACCTCCCATCCCAGTCGTTGCAGAATGTCCTCAAATGCAGCGGCTCTGCCTTCGCCTCCCGAATTTCCCACATGGGAAAAGACACCTCGTCCTCACTCCATCGGGGGGCTGTATTCGGGCGGTCAAGGGCACATTGGCCGACCTGCTGGCGCTCTTCAGAACAACGGCCCCTCTGCTCCACATGGTGCTCGATCCCCGCGGTTCCCTAGCATAAAAGACCTTCAAGATGAAGCCGCTGCGCTAGACGTGAACGAATCTTCTTCGGTAAGCCTTCCTGGCCGTAACCGCAATCAGCGAGCTGTCCTCCTTTCTATTGGCTAACTAACGTCCATTCGTCTAGCTGGATGATTTACTTAGTCGAGCCCAGGAGGCAATTCAGCAAGCCAGGAGTTTTGCCGACAACGATCAGCCCGACACAGCTTACGTCCAATACCTTCGCGCCTCCGAGATCACCGTTAATATTATTCCGCACCATGCAGACTACCGAGTCACTATAAGCCAACGTCCTGGGTGGTATAAACAGTTTGCAAATTTAATGATGGTATGATCTCCGGCGGGGCGTCTAAGCTCCTAAATTCCCACTTTCTGGTTTTACATAATTTGTTGTCTCTCGTGTTTTTTCTACTTTTTACCTTCTTGCGACGATCTTTCGGGTTGTCTAACTAGGCTCTAGGCTGTGCGAACGAAGCAAGGGACGATGGATGACATCAAGCGACAGATTTTAGAGGATAACTTTGTCAATAACGTACAGCCCTCCGGTACACCCAAACACAGTTCCCCGAGACCAGTTTCTGAAATACTTCCTGCGGGTACTTTTCGAAGCCCAAGTCCTAGAGGCCGTCGGAACGACTCGGGAGATGATTCAGTACGGATGCCCAGTCCCACGGAGTTCCAGCAGTCGCTCGATACAAAGATGAATAGATTTTCAAGTCCTCCAGGAGATATGTTGGCACAGAGGTTTGCGAAGTTGAGAGCCTCACCTCCCACGACAAATGGTTTAGATTCAGTCATCAACGGCCAAAATGGAACTATTTCCATGCCGCTCCAAGAAAACACCGATAATAACTCTTCTCGGCCATCTTCTTACGTCCCCCCACTACCACAGCAAACCTCCGCGCTTAGTTCACCTTCGCGACGCCCTCTCGGCCCTCGCAGCATGGGCGCTCCTCACGGCGCACCGACACTACCTCCGAAACTTCCCCTCAATACGTCGCTGCCTCGAGCCCCAGATCCCACTTATAGTCCTATTTGGTCGGTGCCGTCGCAGCCACCTTCAAATCCTCCTAGGACCTCTACCGAGAGTTCACGCCCCGTGAACCCGAGATACTCCCAATTTTCCAACTCGCCTCGCGGCAGTCCGAGTCGGAACGGATTCGACGACAACCCTTATAGATCTCGCACCCCGAACGGCTTCCACCAAATGAAAGAAACCCGAAGTAGCACTGCAGACATCCCACACACTCCCACTATTAGTGCTCAAGATTTACTTGAATATCTCCGACGGTATAATATATTGTTGATCGATGTACGCTCGCGCGACCAGTACGACGAGGGCCACATATTTGCCAAGTCTATTATTTGCATTGAGCCGGTGGTGCTGAACGAGAATGTGTCTGCAGACGACCTCGAGGAGCGGCTGGTAGTATCTCCCGAGCAGGAACAGTCTTTGTTTGAGCGACGCAACGAATTTGACATGGTGGTTTACTATGATCAGGACACAGGCTCTGTCAGTTACTTGGCAGGATCACCTGTTGGGACAACTGCGCCTCATCTGCGGGCGCTGCATGACACCCTCTACGAGTTCAATCCTTATAAGGCTTTGAAGGATGGACGGCCGCCGGCGCTTCTTCTGGGTGGCCTCGATGCTTGGATTGACCTCCTTGGACAACAATCCCTTGTCACGTCTAACACTGCCGTTGCCATGGGGTCGATTCAAGAAAGACGGAAACCCGGGAGACCACTCGGAAGGAAACCGACGATAGCAAGCGCCAATTCCAGCTTGGAAGTGAGGAGAAGGCGACTTCGCGAGTACAAGCCATTAAACCCCGAAGAGCTGACGGAGTGGATGGAGAAATCCAAAAACGAAGAGATTGATACCAGCACGTACGTTGGAGAGGGTGAGCTTACCGAGGAACCGGAGGACGAGGTACCGGAAGAGCAGCCACCTTCGCCATTCGTGCACACTTACGAGGACTTTCTGCGCCGCTTTCCGGAGCCACACACCGTTCAGGAATCCATGGTGGCACCACACACTCGAAAACCAGTCCCGACCGCACCCAACTATGCAGCTCCTGTCCCCGTGGCGCCTTCGCGTCCTCCGCCTGCCGTTCCTCGTCCCAGTTATAGCGGAGTATCGGATGGTCGGCAAATCCAGCCAACGCTCGAGCGGCAAAACTCTGCCACCAAAACCGCTCTGTACACGACGAACTCGATATTGAATCGCATCAAACTTCCTCGGACGGGGTTGACGAACTTCGGGGTCACCTGCTATATGAACTCAACGATTCAGTGCCTGAGCGCGACGCTCATACTGAGCAAGTTTTTCATCGACGATCGCTTTCGGTTCTACGTGCAGAAGAATTGGAAGGGCTCTCAGGGAGTCATGCCGGGCCTGTTTGCAAACCTAATTCGGTCTCTGTGGAAAAACGACGTGGAGGTGATCATGCCGACCTCTTTCCGGAACTTCTGCGGGCGTCTGAACCAGGAGTGGGCCATCGACCGGCAGCAAGACGCCAAGGAGTTTTTTGACTTTGTGGTTGATTGTCTCCACGAGGACCTCAACATCAACTGGCAGAGGACGCCTCTGCGGCCATTGACGTTCAGCGAGGAAGTTCAACGCGAGAGGATGCCGGTGTCCAAGGTCTCGCGGATCGAATGGGACCGGTATTGCCATCGGGAGGAGTCGTTCATCTCGTCGCTCTTCGCGGGACAGCATGCCAGTCGCCTGCGATGCACCACCTGCCAGCGAACGTCGACCACGTACGAAGCGTTCTACAGCATCAGTGTGGAGATTCCTCCGTCTGGAACGGGTGACGTCTACCAGTGCCTTCGAAGCTACTGCCAGGAGGAGTTGCTGAGCGGCGATGAGGTGTGGAAGTGTCCGTACTGCAAGTGTGAGCGAGTTGCAACCAAGCAGATTATCATCACGCGAGCCCCGCAGATCCTGGTGGTTCACTTCAAGCGGTTTTCGGCCTCGAAGACGCACAGCGCGCGAAAGATCCACACACCCATTGAGTTTCCCCTGCACGGTCTTCGGATGGACGATTTTGTCTTTGCGCCGTCAAGTTCGGGGGCCCCGGCAGATCCGAGGGCGCCTGCGCGACCGGAGATGATCTCGGCCACGACGCCGCCATTCACGTACGATGCATACGGGGTGCTCCGCCACATCGGGTCGTCGATGGGGAGCGGGCATTATATATCGCTCGTTCGCGATGCGCAGCGGCAGTGTTGGCGGCGGTTCGATGATCACCGGGTGACGGATTTCAACCCTCGAGATCTCCAGTATAAGGATCGACTGCAGAACGAGCAAGCATATATTGTATTTTACGAGCGAGTCCCGGCCAAGTGAGGAAGGACGCACCGTTATGTCCGGGATTTTGCTTGATTTCTTTTTCTATCTTTTGTATTGTTTGTGAATTATTTTTTTTCTTTTTTTCTCATTTGTTTCCATGACTGCCGGCACGTGACACGAGCATGTAACGAACTCTTTGTGATTCTGTGAGATTAGCATGGCGAGCCATTTCCAGCGAGTTCCGATGACTGTATATAGATAGAGAAAGAGTGAGTCTCTGTTTGGATGAGATTTGAATAGTGATCCACCTGTCTACTCCATATTCACATTAAGGTATTATAGTCCGTCTGCGGGGCAACTGGCAGACCGACTCGGGCAGTGATTCCCGACGACGCCACCCGACGGATCAGCCCCCGAGGTTACCTGGACGGTTATCTGCTGTCCGGCGTTGGGAGGGGGCAGTTCTACTGAGTAAATTCGTAGATCCCCTTGACGTTGGCTGCTGACAGCCACGTCCAGCCACGGTCCTTCTCGGTGGTACCCCCGGGGTAAGCGCATTTATTCCGCAGTATAGATCTACCAGGCCTTGACCCTCACAGTAGTCAGCACGCAGTACGGAGTAAGCAGCAGGACACTAGCACAGTGGAACCAAGTCGGACCTCCCGATCTTGATGACGAGACCACCGTGACTGAAAGGGGCAATCTTATCCTGTTCACAAGATTGGGAATCCGATACCGCCGAGGTCAACACGACTCTCCGGTTGAGAACGCCCAACGCGGTAACTGGAGGCCTCAGGCAGTAGATGACTCAGCGCGGTAATAAGCGGGCTGTGATTGGCCCGTCGCCATCCGGCCACTTTGGCGATTTTCTACAGAGGATGAGTCTAGACTGAGAGTGCAGCATAGAGTGTAGATGAGAGACGGTCGACGGTCGACGGTAGACAGGAAACAGGAGACAGGAGACGGTATCCTGTCAGGTAGACAGACAAGAGACCGTGACCGAGGACGACCTCAGGCAACGAGGGCCGGAAGAGCATCGCGGCAGCTCCGATCCTCAGGCGGAACCACCCATCGAATCACGTTGCTCGCATCTCCCCCAACTTTCCTGTCGCTCCTTCCCTTTTCTATTTCTCCTCCTCTCCTCTTCTCTTCCCTTCCTCTTCGGCTTCCCTTCCATTTCGCCTCGCTCTTCCATTCGCATCGCTGTTAGACATCCTCCCTTGCTATCCTTGTCATCCTTGTCAATACCCCCTATCGATCAATCACCTCCTTTCTCTGTAAGTCAATAAACTCTCGGGTTCGCACCTTTCGCATTCCCCGGCTGGCTGTCATCACATCATCATACCGGCAATTCCCATGTGCGAATTTCCTCCTCGATCGGAGGGGATAACGTCGCCATCAATACCGCTCTTTTCCCGTCTGCCATCTACCTGCATTGCCTGTCCTGGACGGTGTGAAGGTCTAACCGTCCGGAACTGGTTCCCTGCGCCGCTTATCCCTCTCCTTGCAGACACTCGCTCGTCCATTCATGCTGTCCTTTTCTCCAACCCCTCCGTCATCAATTCAACCACTCTCCATTCATCCGTCCAAGCTAACCCTTCTGCTTTTCCCCCCATTTCTCTAGTCTCCTAATCTATCATCATGTCTGCCAACAAGGAACTTACCTTCCAGGAGATTGCTGAGCACAACACCAAGAAGGACCTTTACCTCATTGTGCACGACAAGGTCTACGACTGCACCTCTTTCGTTGATGAGCACCCGTACGTGATCCTGACGCAAGAGTCCTCTCTGTGGTCCCCGATAGAACAATAGAGAAATGAATTAGGGGGTCGTTTTCCATGCCAATACTAACGTTCAATTCCAGCGGTGGTGAGGAGGTCCTGCTCGACGTCGGCGGTCAGGACAGCACGGAGGCTTTCGAGGATGTCGGACACAGTGACGAGGCCCGCGAGATATTGGATGGTCTGTACGTCGGTGACCTGAAGCGCATGGTACGTTCCTTATCGCCACCTCCCAAAAGGTACAACTGTGATCCGGATCAGAAAAGCTAATCTCTCGTGCGTCTCTCTAGCCCGGCGACCCTGCTCCCAAGGCCCATGCTCAGCCTGCTGCCTCCTCCGGCTCCAGCGATTCATCCGGTCTCGGTGTCGGTCTCTATGCTTTCGTCCTGGTCGGTGGTGCTATCGCCTACGGTGCCTACCAGTACCTGCAGCAGTCCGCCGTTGCCGAGGGGCAGTAAACGAAACCGACGAATAAAAAACAAAACCACAAAAATTCTGAAGAATAAAGAATGATCGAATTCCTTTGAGCCTTTTTTTTAATGTGAAACCATCTTCGTTGCTGTCGTTCTTACACCGGGGGGGGTTGTCAGGTGATATCCACTGCAGATATTTATGGTGTTGATTTTTGCTCTGTTTTTGTCAGATCTTTCGCAAGATATTCGAGAGAAAGACCAAGAATTACCGTTTTGGACACCACGACCATCTACCTTTCTTACTTCTCTCTACCTTGTTGTCTTCTACTACCTTCCTAGTCACTTTTTTACGACTTTCTCTCTATGGCAAATTTTTAATAGACCGCGTTCCTTGTGATATTAGACCTCTTTTTGATATTTGAGGGTGAATTTGTATCTGTAGAACTTATACCTCGACCTCAGATGTGAATTCATGCCTCGAGAAACCATGGCCACGAAAGACAATTAGATGAGGCTCATAACCAAGCTATGGAGATCAAATAGTTACTTTCAAGAGTTAAGATATTCCTATGAGAGCACGTTTAAATCACAAAGATATCCAAGTCGGAAAATCACAAAAATAAATAGATCCATAGATAAACTTTGCCTCTGATGCCAAGTAGGTAGTAAAATGTAGAAATAGAGAGAGAGAGAGAGATGTACAACAGTCTTTTTTATTTAACAAAACGCAATAAAACAAACATGAGAAGAGAAGATAATATTTTGAGCAAGATGCTTTTGACGTTGCAAAAATAAATATAAAATAGATAAGATAGATAGATAGATAGATAGATAGATAGGGAGATCAAGATTTCCTCCATCCAGTATGAAAAAGGAAAATCATTATAAACGCGTCTTTTTCTTACTTCACCAGCCGCTATAGTTCATTTCATCGGGGGTTTTTTAAATGCATTTTTTTACCTTAAACCCTTACCGGGAGTTTCCCTCCAGACCGGCACGGACAGCCTCCAGGATCATATCCTTGGCTTCTTCGAGGTTGTCCTTGCCGCCCTTGATTTCGATGGCCTCGCCCTTGGCCTGGTCCTTGGGGACGTTGATGCGGCAACTGGTCTGTTTCCGGATCGCGTTGATTTGGCTACCGCCCTGGCCGACGACAAAGCGGTAGGTCTTGGGGTCGGGGAGGATGAGGTAGCCGGTGGCGGATTGCTGCGAGGCGGCGGAGATGGCCTTCTCGAGGGCGGCCTTGGCGCGGGTGACATTGTCGCCGGTACCCGCGAGCACCCAGGGGATGGTGGCGGGCTGGGTCGGGTCGGCGGCGGCCGGGGGGCTGTTGTCGATGACCTTCCACGAGTGGGCGTCGAGGGACTCACTGGGCTCGTCGGTGATCAGGGGCATGGAAGAGCCGCCGCCGTTGACCGCGGCGCGTGAGTCCTCGACAACGGGCTTGGCGGGCACCTGCTGGCCGGCATGGTCGACGGTGACCTTGTAGTCGTTGCGGAGACGACGGAAGAAGGCGCCGTTGTCGGAGACGGCGTGGTGGAGGTGGCGGGGCACGTCGACCGACTCACCCTGTTGGTCCTTGAGCATGGCGAGGATGTGCTCCTTCGCGTCGCCGACGGCGTTGCTGGGACCCTTGATCTTGATGTCGGTGCGCCCAGAGCCTTGCTTGGGGATATCCAGGGTGATATTGAACCTCGATTCAATATCCCGGCGGGTGTCACCTCCGCGGCCGATGAGGAGGCGGTGCTGGATCTGGGGAACGTCGAGGCTGGCTGTCACCTGGTCCTCACGCTCCTTGACGAACTCCTCAATGGCAGCGATGATGTTGTCGACAAGCGCGCCCTCACCTTCAAGCTTGATCGCGGTGTCACTGCTCTCCGGGCGGGGGAATCGGACGATGCGAGAGGCGCTGCCATCAGTAGGACCGCCAGCGTCGGAAACAATCTTGCGAATGTTGGCACCTGGTTCAGAGTTAGCATGTGCACGGGCCGGTAGGCAGATCTCCATAGCGTTGTCAATAACTCACCTCCACCGCCAATCAGGGACTTATGGTGCTTCTTGTCGACCTCAACAGTCTTGGTCACGATAGCATCGAACTGGTTGGATCGTTGCTGCAGGATCTTCTTGGCCTCCTCGACCTGCTTCTTGGTACCCTTGATTTTGATTTGAACGCGGCCCGAGGCGTCGGGCGCATCGTTCACACCAGGGACATCGATTTGAGCCTCGGTGTCAGCCCGCAGCTTGTCCATCTCACGGCCGCGCTGGCCGATCAGAGAGGGAATCTGCGACTGGGCCACGGACACGGTGGCCGAGAAAGAGTGGTCAATCACCCACTGCAACAGACTGAGGATCTCATCGCGAGCAGAGTCGGCACCCTTGCTGGGGCCCTTCACGAGGACTTCATCAGCAGCCTGTTGAGGACGGCTGGGGCGCCCCGCCTCGCTGGAGGTCTCGTCGTCGGCAACGGCTGCCCGGGGGAACTGGACGCGGACAGCATAGCGGTCCTGGAGCCGGTTGACCTGGCTTCCCTTCTGTCCAATCAACTCGCGGTGGTACTGGGCAGGGATTTTGAGAATATGGGTCGTCTCGTCTTCCAGCTTCTTGCCCAGGTTGATGATTCTCATCCTGGCGGCATCGGCCTTGGCCTTGGGGCCCTTCACCTCAACCTTGCCATTTTCCACCTTGATGTCAACGTCGAATTCCTCGCGCAACTTGTTGATGTTCTCGCCCTTCTTGCCGATGAGGAAGTTGGCATACTTCTGGGGGAAGTCGAATGTCGTAGTATAGCCGCGCTCGAGGTCGTCCTTCTCCTGCTCCACGACGAATGCTTGGAGGGCGGAGATCAGGTCTCCCACTGTACCGGAAGGACCACGCAGGGAGACCTCGCAGTCCCGAGCGCCCTTCGTGTCACTGACGATGGCGCGAACAGGGATCTGGTCTTCACCCTTGACCTCCTGGTCACGAACGATGAATTTACGCACCTTGTCCTGGTATTTACCTGGGACGTTGACGGATTTGGCCACCACGTCATTCTGGTCACCCAGCGTGCTCAAAAGGTAGGCCTGGGCTTCTTGAAGACCCTTCTCGAAGGCGGCGAGTTCGGCCGCAGAAGGACGTTGGCGCGAGACTTCGGCCTGGGCGGCAGCAGCAGACGGACCCTCGTAAACGAGAATGACGTCAGAGCTGTCGACCTCTTCGGGAACCAAGAGCTGCACACCGTAGTCGCTGCGGAGCTTGGCGATACTGCGCGAGCGCAGGTACGGGTGGAAGTAAGGATCAACGGAGACGTAACGGATACGGGCCGGGGGGTGCGCTTGGACAAGGTTCATGATGTCGGACCGGGCGCGGATAGTGTTCTTGCCATCTCGGGAGTACACTTCCCAGGTGACGGGACCGTCAGAGCTGGGGGGAAGCGCGATACGGGCATCGTATAAGTTCTCCAGCTCCTTGATGATTTGGCGCTGTCTCAAGTACCGAGTGAGAGCACGAGCGTGGGCACTCGCTCCTGCAGGAGCGTTCAGGTGTTGACGGGACAAGTCGATGCTAGCCATCTGCATGCTCGTGGCGAGATCCATAGCCCGGTTGATTCCACTCTCGATCCGATCAAGGGGACCAGTGATGGTGAGGAATTCGCTCTCGTCGGATGCAGGAGGCAGCACGATGGCACATCCGGTGTCGGCGAGGAATTCGTGCAGCGCATCGGCGTTATCGCCGAGGATAAACTGGTGCTGACCACGGTTGATAGCCAATTGCCGCAGGGCCAATCGGCGCTGCAGATCAGCAGCGAGTCGCTCAACCTCAGCGCGGGCTTCCTGTGCGGCAGCCCGCTCTCCGGAGATGTGGATGTTCTTCTCGGGGACCGGGACAAATTGGACCTGACCCGGCTCGGCCTCCTGGGGCGGGGGCTGGCTAAGCCAGGTATCATAACGGGGCACGTGGACTTGCGCCTTCGTGCGCTCCTCGATGTCTCGGAGGTTGGCATTGTGAGCACCCGCGATGAAGGGGAAGAACTCGGGCGGGATAGTCTTGAGTCGCAGGCTCATGTTGGCGGCACGCTCCTTCACAATTGCCTCGATCTCTCGGCGGGCCATCTCCGCGGCAACAGCGTCACCTTCGATCGTGACGTCAATCGTGTCGGTGTCATCATCTTCTTCACCGGCGGCAGGATCCTCGGCACGGGGGACCTGCACGCGCGCGCCGGTCCGCTGCTGGATGTCCTGAACAACCACACCTTGTCGACCGATGATATGAGGGCGAGCAGATGTGGGGATCGGGACACGAACAGATTGCTAGACACAACGTTTAGCCTGCAGTCTGATGGAGTGGAGAGCGTTGATGAAGCATCATACCTTGGATCCAACCTGCTGCGCCACCTCTTTGAGGGCTTGTCTCACGGCATCCACCGAGCCTTTACCCTCAAAGATTATAGAACCTCCAGGTCCACCGCGCATATCAACGTTGGCCTTGGACCGCTTGGAGATATCACGCAGGATATCGCGAAGGGGTTTCTTCAGCTGACCGCGGGGGAGCATCTGGGAAGGAACCAGACGCAGCTGTTCCATGTGCTTTCCGGGAAGACTCATGATTCTGGGGATATCGAGACCTGGAGCTGATTCCGGGCACGTTAGCAGTATATCTCAACGGAGAATGCCGGAAACCCGCAACATGTATGCAACAGATTCAGGCAGAAGAGAAACTGCACGACATACCTGCTTGCGCAGCAATGGGGGCACCGTTGGCGACGGCGGCAGCGGAAGGTCCTTTAGCACCCCAGGCAGAAGCAGTCGGAACCTTAGGCTTAGGGCCGCTTCCCAGAGCAGGGAACAATTCCTCGGACTGAACATCGAATGCGGGAGCCTTCTTGGGAGCGGGTTTCGGGACCGATGGCGTGGCAGCCGGGGCTGGTGCCTGCGGCGTAGCCTCGGGCTTCGCCACCGACGACGGAGGGGGGTGCTGAAGATCATCCTCATCAGGCACGTCCTCCACTGTGGGCCTGTGCGCCTCGTCGCGTGCATGCTGTTCCTCCAGCATGGCGGCACGGGATTTGGGGGCGCCGCCGTTAACGTTCGACAAATCGGTAGCCATTGTCCGCGGTTGTTCGATGGATGGGAAGAGATATTTGAAGGGAATAGCGATGGGGCTCTGTATATGACACTGGATGTTATTGAGGATTAGCGGGGATGGCCATTGCCATTGAGGGGATGAGACAAACAGACGTACCAGGAAAAAAAAGCCGCCGGGGTTGCGGAGTAGTCGCTGCTCAAAGAGTGCGACGACCGATCAGCAGAGAAAGAATTGCACCAAGAGAACAATTGGATTTAAAAAAGGATAAATGGTCGGGATCAGATCTTGCGGAGAGACAAGTCTGAAGAAAAAATAAATATGGGGAGATAAAAATGCAATTGCTGTCTGATCAGGCTAAAGGCAAAAAAAAAGACACGGCACCCGAAGAATAAACAGAGAAAGAGACGAGGGGGAGGAGAGAAGAGGGGGGGAGCGGAGGGAGAAAGAAGAGATGGGACACGCGGGAGAGAGGAGGAGAGGAAGAGAGAAAGAAGAGAGGGGAGGAGGTGAATGGAGCGTGAGGCCGAGAGAGACAGGCTCAAGTGCAAGACAGTGATGTGATGGAACAATGGAGAGGAGAAGAGGACAGACAGACGGAGGGCCCGGGGGAGTCGGCCCATTGACGGCCGCTGCCGAGATTCTCTTGGAACGTTCCGTTTTCCACTCCGTTCGCCTTCCAATTCAGTTGATCCTCATTCATCGATCATCAAGCATTCATCTCCTTCCCTGTCAGTGGTATTCAACGGGGTCTATGCAATGTCATTCAATTGAATCTCTGAGAATGTTTAGTAAGAGTGCCACGGCATCTTCAATTAAATTTCTTCAAGTTGAAGCTCTGTTTACACCCTCATCCCCGAGATCTCCAGTTGAATTCGTCCCACACAATAAAGGCTGAGTCCGCCGTAGTCAGCCGAGTGAATTGACCGCACGTGCGCCTCAGGTAGCATCGCCTTCACGTTGAAGTAACTGTTACACGATTGTCAGACAGATATCCTTCATCGGAGTCTTCTAGCAAAGGAACTGGCTTAAGTCTGTCCCGGGGGGTGACAAGGCTGGGATAGCTCATGAGGACATCATCAGCAATACGATTGAGAATATGTTGGCGAATGAAACCAGACATTTGAATAAAAATCCATCGTATACATTGCACTAAGCCTGCATCTAGGACAAGACCAATTAGTTAGTGATAACAAATCCAATCCAATACCGCAGGGAGTAAGTAATCAAGGCAACCAACCTCGATGGAATGATTCCCGCGCATATTCTCCATCAAACCGTAAATCCACATACTGGTAACAATAGAATAACCCTAGGAAAAATTATTATTACCTTATTATTACATTGATAGGAAGTTCCTGAGATGCTATCATATGAACAATGTCCGGGAACAGGTGGAGTGCAGATATCATTCCACCTGCAGGGCCCTAATATACAGCCAAATATCAGTTACTTACTTCTGTCTTCTGTCGGGCTTTTGGGTCTTATGAGACCTACCTTTGATATTGATATGACAATGAGGATACTATTTGCTCGGATCTGCTTTTTAGGTAGGTGTTAAATCCTTATCTGTATATTCCCTTAGGGTTTGGGTCTCTAGATAGATAGTGTAAATAATGTATTTCTTGTTAGTATACAGCGGTACTCTTGAGCTATGAGCCTGGTCGCGGACGTAAAAAAAAAGAAAAGAAAAGAAAAGAAAAAAGAAAGAAAAACCTAGGGCATAACTCTATGTCGGACTTTTGTTCTTAGTCGGGCGCTTCTGTTCTTGCGGATCACTAGTTGATGTTGGGATTTTATGGCCTTTCTTTCCCCGTTTGTCTGAACGGCCTTACTTTACATTCGGGCTGTATCCAGGCCTTCTTTATTGTTCCGGGTAGCCCTTTTGAAAGAAATCTATCCGCCCAGGTCGTAGGTAACGGCATGTAAGATTTTCGGGGATAAGGCATGAGCACTCTGGTGCTTTCCTTCCTGTTTGGAATTCAGATTAGCGCATAAGCATCACATACAGATCGTACTTGAGCAAGAGCAAATGAGACCTATAGCGTAATTATTCCATAGTAGTTTCCTGGATTATCATGGAGCACACTCTGTTGTTGTAGTTGTTGCCTTCTTCGAATGACTTCCTCTATTCTGCACCTTTTTCGAATTGAAACCTATGTCAGTATCGATCATTTGGAGCATAATGTCTAGGCACTCAGCCTTGCCCGTTTCCCTTCTTGCTTAGGATAGTGATAGGGTCACAATGCTCCTCTCAGTGTTTCATGCATGCAACTTCATCATCGAGACAAGTGATTGTATTGTTACGATGTGAAGCCCGAGCCAATGATGAAGACTCTGCTTGATGATGCTCAGCCTTTGGCTGACTTTTGTTTGGGGCAGGATCACAGTGCTTCTCGGAGTGTGTTGCATGCGGTTTATTATCGAGGCATGTGGTTCCCTTGTTACGATGTAGGGTCCATGCCAATGGGGAAGGCACTGTTATATGATGCGCAGTCTTAGCTGGCTTCTTGGTGAGGTTGAATGGGGCCACTGTGCTTCTCAGAGTGTGTTGCATGTAGATCATCAGCGAAACAGAAAGGCAGGGAATTCGCAGGGGATATATTTTTTCAACGGTCAGGGTTGACCAGCTGCGTGTACTCGAAGCGACTGAGGGATTTCGACACTATGGGGTATAGCGGTCATCCTCTCTTAAACTGATATTTTGCCTTTTTCATACACTTAAGAGTGTCTGGATACAGCACGTTTCTCTGCGCCTGCTGCTGTCAAAGACAGATAGCTAAACCTGTGTGGAATAGTTGTATTTGAACAAGGTATGTCGGGATTACGGGGACTGTCTACCCCATAACTGAGGATCTTTGCGTTAGCGCGGTCTATAAAGAAAAAGCAAGAGTCTATATGAAATGATGTATCACTCTTAGGCAACCTAGAATAGATGATATCCCGATAACTGTCAGAATATTCAGGTACAGGGGCAGCAAAAACAGTCGAAGAGGAATCTGGCCAATCGAATTGTGTTGGAACGGTTCAAAGAATCCATGATGTACTTCATTCTGTGGAGCAATTATGGGAATCAAATCAGCGGGCTATCTCACACTTCATGGAAAGACGTCGAAGGAGGCAAAGACTGCTTTCTCAGGCCCTGGGATCGTCAAACCTCGGGTTGAACTCGCAAAACACAGCATCAGAGACCAGAGTGAAAGAGGTGAAAAGAGTGAGGCAAATACCTAAATCACGGTGAATGAGTCTAGTAAGATGTAAGAGGCTTGGGAAGGGAGGTTTGACTAGTGAAGTGAGAAGGAAACCGGCATAAGCTTGGTCCTTAGGTAAAGCATAATGGAGGAGCGCGTCAGCTCCGCCATACTCTTTCATGGGTAGGTCATCATGATGACCTTTCAGTGATAGAGTTATCGGTATTCTATCTTCCCTCCTGGGTCGTGGATTCAAATAGGCTATCAAAATTAGGCGTGACTGCTTAAAAAAGGTGTGCTTGCTTGGAGAGATGCTTGATTGTAGGAAGTGTGAGAGATGCTGCTTGACAGGCTGACCAGGAGTCACCTGATGGCCAGTTCCCAAACAAGCTCCAGTCGCCGTTCCTCTCAGCCCTAATGCTTAGACCTGCGATCAATGAAGAGTATATAAATTAAAGAGATGATATTTAGGTTGAAAGGGAGAGAAGTTTACAGTTGGTCACGTTTGGTCTTCGATGTAGGCGCTCCGGTAGATGCCTCAGGCATCTGAGACAAAGTAAAGAAATTTAATTAAGTGCGGGTAAACAGCAGGAGTAATTATGACTTTCTTAAGGTAGCCAAATGTCTCGTCATCTAATTAGTGACGCGCATAAATGGATTAATGAGATTCCCACTGTAATGTGTTGTTGACCTGGTTACCTCTGAATATGAGAGCATTTGGAGCGCGCTGTTCACGACGTTTTCCAATGACCGAGTTGGTCATGTCAAACGAACATGAAATCTAGAATCTACCACGCCTTCCCATTCACTTGGGAAGCTCGACACTTCATAGCACAGTATCACCTGTGCACAGGAATCTAAAAAGCCTTGAGTTCCAACCCGGCTCATATAAGTCTTTTTGCTTCCCTTTTTTTTGTCCGTGCTTCCTTAGAGCTATCAGCTTCCCCAATGCTTAGGTATTGCAATGGAACATATGCTTCTTTGCTTTTCTCATATTAGGAGTCACACATCCTGATCGAATCAACTCCCCATAGAGTCACTCTGACAGCTTTGGCCTATCCCTTGGTTTTGCCCTCTATACACAAAATCTATGGTTGTATATCTTCATATAGACCGCCTTTGTACTACATGATAATGGAGTGTAGCATATTGTAACAATACAATCTCTATATCCAAACAACCGACCACGAGATGTTGTACCCCTCGATCCTCCTCATTGACCCCCAAGAAAACTTTTTTTTTCATTCCGTGGCTGCTGACCCACCGGGGTGAAAGGAGAGGAGCGCTAAGCAAGGGCCGAAGTGGACCAAAAGCTTAACCTCGATATGCAGCCTGCATCGGGCATTTTTCACCGGGAAAAACGAGGGAGAAAAAGGAAAAGAAAAAAGGTTTCCCCTCAACGTTCCAAAGCTTGAATTCTACCAGAAACCTTTTCATCGTACGGACCCAACCTTATTTCGGTTATGCCTCGCTGGACAGTGCTTCTGTCCTCCATGGTTCTACCATGGAGAAGTCCTCTGTCTTCTACCGCCCCCCGTCTTCTGTCTCACAATGGTCTGGTGAAGCAAGGCTAGACTCGCAAGTTCCCAACTGTTCTGATAAGACCATCCCGTCCCACAAATGATGATCCGTCGTTCGGTGGCGGATTCCCATGTCCCAAACCGCTGAGAGATAACGGAACGAGGGTTATAACCCCGATGGGACGGCTCCGTTCCATCGCACGGGATAATTGATAATGACAGCCTACAAATACAAGGCCCGTCTACAAATGGCTCACGGTTACTACTTTCTATTCCGTAATAAGTTGCTTTCTGATTTGGGTTGGATTTGACT